CAATGATACTGATCTTTTTAATGTATATGGAGATGAGAGAGAGAGAGAGAGAGAGAGAGAGAGAGAGAGAGAGAGAGAGAGAGGAGATACTTACATGATAATCATTTTTACGATGAAAACATTGATTCTCAATCAATTATCGGTGAAAAGAAATGAAAGATTCTGCCAAGTTTTTATTCTGAGTCTCAATTGTTACCGGAAATTGATTCAATTCCAAGAAACTTTTATCCCGATATACTTTTTGTCTTTTATATATTTTATCTTCTTTATCATCATCACCATCACCAATAACAACAATACTTTTATCAAATTCTATTAATGCTCCAAGTTACCATCTTATTGAGTCTCCATGGGTTCCTTCAAGAGCTTCTTCCGGGTTTCTCATGAAGTTACAGGATGAAGATGAAGAAAAAATAGTTCGAAAGGAGCAAAAAAAAAAGTTCTAAATCTAAATGGAATTGCATTTCTAACTAACCTTTTTCCCTTCGTACACATGAGTTTTTATTCAACAATCAACTTTAATTCTGATCATTAGTTATCCCAATTATCTGACCGATTAACTAAACAATCATCAATTTAAAAAGCTCACAAAATCCAATGGTCACACTAGATTTTCAAATGAAGGGCCAATGTTAATAAACTTATATTATTTCAATCAATGGGGTTAATTAAATTGCTCTGTAAGAATTGATTGTAATATTAAAAGGTTACATTAATGATGAGCGTTGTAACATTAATTTAGTTGAAAGTAAATAATTGCTTGCCAAGAAAAAGAAACGTTGATTGTTTGGTTAACTTTGATTCTATTTTTTTTGTTGAATTTTCTGCAACAATTGATGAAAATTTATACACAGAAAACAAGTGATGATTAAGATTTATGTAAATCCGATTCAATTGTTATTCAAGCTTTTCGTGATTTCTGATTATCTCAGCAAGAAAATAACCATTTGCATTTACGATCATTTTATTTTCGGTTGATGTTCAAATGCGCTGGTTAAGCGACATTTAAAGTGCTTATCAATGCAGAAAAGTTATTCGAGAGTAACATTGTTTCACATTCATTTCGAAATCTATTTGGTGCTATTAACCCAAATTGGACCAAGTGTCAATTGAACTATTATCTAGTGGATATTTGGACATTTTGTGAGAATATTTTTAATTTTCTTCTTCTTCTTCTTTTCTAGTTTCGAGTGTAAAGAATACATTTATTCTGATAGTTTAAATTCATATCCTGAACTTCTAGCAGGAAATTCTGTCAGTCCCATTTTTCATTATCACCAGGAAACTTCACTAGCAATTATTAATCATCATGGTTCTGGTTAACTTGTGAATTCACTGCTGGCATTGATCATGAATGATTCTGTCTCAAGATTACATATGATAAGTTCATCTGGTGTCATTTCATGTCTACATTATCATGTCTCTATCATGAGACTAACAGTTTTTTTTTGCTGAGTTTAAAGTTCTGATACAATGTGAATAACATGAACTAAATTTCAAGTTATAAAGCTCAAAACTGACTTTCAATGAGAAGAGGTTGAACTGATTAACTTGATAATTACATTTCTGTATACAGATATAAAAAAGTTAATCCTAATCAAATGATTAATAGACAATCATATCAGAGATGAATCTCTTAATTGTAGTCATCAAAAGAATAGTAATCTATTATTTGATCGTAATCCTAATCAGTAATTAACTTTTTTTTTCTAAATATTCATTCAGATTTTGCATCGACATTTTTACACTTTCAATGAATCATTATAATACATGGTGGACTTTAATTGTGACACTTTTATCAAGCTGACAGAGCACATTAGAGTTGCCCCATCGAACTTGTTAATCAAAAAGTTCTAACTATTGTCCCAGAATAGGAGGACAATGAAAACAACTTGAAGTTAAATGAATGAAACAAATTGATGATCAGAGATGCATGAGTTGAACTTGATTGCCTTTGGGGGTTAAAGGTCATCATCGTAATAACTAATGATGCAAATCAGAAAATCTCCTAATCCTGGTGATGATGATTAAAATCCCATAGACGATTCACAATAAGTGAACTATATCTAAAGACTATCATCAATCATGAAAATTCAGGGTAAATTCAATCCCTGAAAGAAGTTCAATTCTTGTTGTTGAGTAATTCTGATGAAAGATGAAGAGTACAACATTAGAATTATATTGTTCATGGATAATTATCAATTAGGAGATGGAAATTTTTACCATGATTAATTAGAACAGTCAAGTCTAGTTAAGTTTATCATCCAAGTTCATGTGAAAATGTATTGATATTTGGCTAATTGATGTGAATGTCATCATGAAATTGATTATATTTATCATGATATTGGAAAAAGTCAAAGGTAAATACATTGATCGGAATACTTGAAAGTATATAAATAATAACCCTCAATGCCTTCAGGGTGATTTCCTTAGATTCATTAGACAACAGATACATGGTCAATATCATGACAATTTCCATGGGTCAAGAATAGTATCATGAAATTATCTCTCGAATAAACAATTGCTGATGAAAAAGAAGTTGAATTTTTTTCTTATTATAAGAAAATCAACTGAATCACTTTTACTTTCATTTCATTTCTTGATGAGTTGAAATTCAAAGCTCATATTCATATAATCTCACTGATTTTATCTGTTCATCAAGTTTAATGAAACAATTTGACAATTAGTCTAATTTGAGTGTAGAGATGGGAATTTGATTAAATCATATTAATATATTATATATTGTAATGAACAATTAGAGGAAAAGTTGAAATAATGAATTTAGAATAAGTCAAAAAAAGATTCAAAAGACTTACATATTAACTTTTTCTCCTTCTCAAAGATTTCATGTCATCCTTATGATTTAATTCAGAGCAATAATATCTCATGATGAATGAATTAATTATTCAGCAAATCATCATGTTCACATGTTGGATTGTGTTTTCAGTCAAAATTGAAAATTGGAAAATTTTAATTACAAATTAAATGAACAAACAGAGTAAAGAAACTCAAGTATAAAAATCAATGTGATTACAATAAAGATTCTGATTCATTTTCCATCATGATGAAATCTAAATTCAACAATTTCCTCATGAGAAAACATTGAATTATCATGAATAACATGATAGCGAAATTAAAAACTTGAATATCTTTTGTTTTCTGTTGATCATGAAAAACAAGAATCTGAATTTATATCATGAAAATTGAACTTTTCTTAACTTTTATATTAATAATTTATCACCAATTGAATGTTTCAATGTTTCAACTTGTATTCAAAATTAAACAATATCCAATTGTCCTCTAATTGTTTGGGATGTTCAATGACAATTTAAATTGTAATTATCTCTTGAAATCATAATTAATCAAGGTGAAAGTTTAAACTACCAGATCAATGAGATATAAACTTTTTTCCTCTTAATTGTCACTTGATAACAACAATTAGTAACCTTGATTTGATTAGAAAATTATCTCAATTATTGTTATTGTTTTTTTCTGCTTAATTGTGATTAAATTTTTTTCTGTTAAAAATATTTTCCTTTCTCATTTAAGGTTATAATTAACTTATACTGATTGTTGTAAGAAATTGATTTAATCATTGTAACCCTTGTTTTTTGTTCACACTGAACAATTAATTGTTTTTCATTTAGTTAACTACCGATATTAATTATTATAATCAATGAGAAAAATTTTTAATCAAAGTTTAGTTAATTGTCAACTAATCAAAAGGTTAATTATATTGATAAACTTATATGAAACTTTGTATATTGAGGTCAATGGTTTGAATTGCTGTTTCTTATAATTAATCATTTAAACTTAACAATTAACAATTAATCACAATTAATAAGTTAATTTTATTTGGAGGCAAAAAAATTGTTACAATTGTTAATTTAATTGTGATCAATAATGTTACTGAATATCAAGTCTGATTACCAACAAGATGATTAATTTAAATTGTGAAAAAATTTTTTAATTGTATTACAATATTGTAGCTAATTAAAAATATTGGTTGATTAATTAACCACAAAATGATTTGTTTAATTGATAAAATTAAACATTAACCATGTTGGTAATTTAATTGCGATGAACAATTTAATAAACGAAAATAAGTTTACAATTAACAAAAAGACTTTGATTGTTGTTGTTGTGTAATCAATTGATTGATTGATTGTTACAATTAACCAAAAATGAGAACCAATTGAACTGATTGTTAATAATTTAAACAATTGGGAACAAATTGTTACTAAATTGTTTGTTAATCTAATTCCAGGCCTGAGAATAATTAAAACTGGATTAAGTGTTTACAACTAATTGAGTGATGAAATTTGTTTCCACCTCTTAATTATTTAACTATTGCTTTAGTGATTAACAAGATAATCAAATTTCTTAATCATAAAAACATACTCACACAATCAACTAAATTAACTGGATTAAAAAAAGTATCAAACAATCAAGATGGCGAAAAAAATTTTCTCGTATATCCAAATAACAGCAATCAATCAATTGTCTCAAGCAAAGCAAAAAAGATCAACAACAATTAAGTTAATTGTTTCGGTCTTATGTTTAACTAAAGAGTCTGCGTATCAAACAATCAAATTAAATCACAATCCAACCTTTTTAAAAGTTTCTACAATTAAAACAATTTATCATGTTCGAGTCGTTTAAATTACCATTTTAATCATTTTGCTGATTGTGACAATTTAAAGTGTTTATATTCAAACAAATTAACTTAACAGTGTAATCATTAAATTCACTGATTGTCATTAGTGATTGAGTTTGCTAATTTTTCTGTGTTTGATCAACAATTTAAACTGATTGTCGTTTTTTTTTTCTTACCGAACGATAATTTTTAGCTTAATAGCTTAATGATAATTGTAAGTTTAGGTTAAACTAATTGTGAAAAATTGAAATAAGAGGTGATAATCTAATTACTAATAGTGAATTTTAAATTGTTGTCAATTGGTTTGTCGATTTTGTCACTTGATTGCTGATTAGATTTACGGAAGTTAATCATTGGCGTCGTTAGTTCATTTTCGTTCGTAATCATCAGTGTTAATTATAATTACTTTTTACTCGTTGTTTGTGAGGTTTGATCGTTCATTTCTCAACAATTTCAATCAATTGTTGTTGATTGAAACTCAAAACAAACAGTTAACTGTTTATTTATTTTCATCTTCGGTGTTGATTCTGTTAATCATTGTGAAATTTTCAACAATTTAAACCATTGGATTTTTTTCTTACCATTCAAATTATGTACAAAGTAAGTTAAACTTATTTCCTTAATCATTTCCAATAACCGATTCAACCTTTGAAAAATTAAGTTTCAATGTTGATTGTGATTGAAAAGATCAATGGTCAATCTGACTTGACCAATATTCTTGATATTATTACTTAATTGTTTTAGATTAAGTAGTAAATTACAATTCCATTTTGTAACAATTACACAATTGTTTCCATCTAAAGTTTTTCCTTCTTGATTCTGATGAATATTGTACCAGAAAGAAACTGGAGCAAGTTGATTTCTCAATGGTCGTTTTTTTTTGTCACCAAATGACCGATTTAAAGTGTTGTAAGAGGTTGATAGATGATTCTGTGTAACTTGTAAAATGGTTTATTACAAGTTGGATGAATACATATCTCAATATGATGAGATGTACACATTAAGTTGAGAATTTGATAGATTGGAAATTTTGTTCGTAAAAAAATTGGTTCATGTTGTTTGTTTTCACTTTGGTTCCTTTTACTTGTTGTTGTTTTAGCACTTGAAGTGAGCAATAGGCTATTCCCTCATCTCTCCATCTTCCTCTTCGTCTTCAACTCCCTTGATATATAAAACATTGTTACATCGAACTAAAATTTCACCAATATTACCGACGAAATTACCACCAACATATTCTTCAGTGTTAGCCAGCTACATATAGAAAAAAAGAGAGAAGAGAAAAAAGCATGTAAACAAAGAGATTAATTGAGAGAAAATTATGGAAAATTACACTGACAATCATTAAAGAACATCCTGAATCAAAGGTAACAGTTTAAGAGGTACATCTAAATTGTCAAAATTAAGATGCAAAGTCATTTAATTAATCACAATTTACCTGAAGATTCATGTAATTATCGGTACTGACAAGATATCCTTTGTACTCCATGCCCCATTTTAGCTTGACAACAACAGGTTTTCCAGTTAAACCATTTAGAAATGGTTTAGGATTCAAAGGCATTAAGCCAGCCGACATTTTGATTGATCTTTACAAAGACAATTAGATTAAACAGAACAAACAATTAATGATACAGAAGGTTATAATTAGAGACGAAAATGATCTTAACAAATTAAGAAAAGAAATTGAAAAAACCAAACCAACTGAAGAACCAATGGTCAGTGGCTCCATCTGTGGATCGAAAATGAAAAAAATTCTATTCTTTTTCAATGTTTTCTTTTCTTCTCAAAAATTGTTATTAATTATTTTCTCTTTAATTGGAACCAATTTAATTTTATTCGTCTACAATTTACTAATTGTGATTACATCTTAATGTTAACAGATCATAAGCTTCGTTGAACAGTGAATTTACTTTCGTTTGTCAACCTTTACTTTTCAGTTTAATTTGAATTATAATCAAAATTCTGAATTGTTTGGGTTTTGTTAAATTATCTTATCTTCAATTACCGGGTTGTTAAAATTGAGGTAACATAATTATAATTAGTGATTAATTTCATTAATGGTTTTAAGGTTGACAAACTTAAACTGGTAAATCAATTGAACAGGAAGTTTGTAAGTCAATCAATGTCCTTTTGTTTTAATATCTTTCTCTCTCCTTTTCTTCAATAGAAAAGTGTTTCAAATTCACTAATAATATTATGTTATATTGTCTAACAATTAACGTACATTTTATTTTGATTTAATTTAAAATGTGAAAAGAGATACAATCAACACGATTGAGTTAACAATAAGAAAGAAAAGTAATTCTATTCTAAATAGTTAAATAGTGTCTCGACTTGAGGTAAAATTAACTCTCTCCCCTTAACAGAAATCTAATGATCCAAATTGGTACAAATAATTTCAAATAGAATTAATTGTTTTTCTATATTTTTCGACTTACAGATAAATTGTATTCTTCTTCTATTAATCATCTCACTTCTATCTTACAATGTGGCCTCACCAACTCATAAACCAAGTAAACAATTGGAACAACAATCATCATCATCATCATCTACAAATCAAAATACAAATTCATTCAGACCGATAAATGGAGATAATCATGGAGGCGAAAAAAAGACAAACAAGGAAAATGTCGATGAAAATGGTAAACCACAAGGAGAAGGATTCGCCAAGGGTCAAGTATTTGAATATTCTTATTCAACCTTCCATCAAGATCCACAATCGGCTGATATTTTATCTCCAATGAGTGATGATAAACAAGAGACCATTTTGACCACTAATGGTTCGGATAATTTTGCCGATCATGAGGTTGCCCGTCAAACTTTACCAAGATTTTTCTCTTATCCATCAACCGGAGGATTAAATGATAATTCAACTGATCCATCAGCAAGTATTAAACAATTTGAGGAAGCATTTAAAGTGGAATCAACTGGAACCAGTGAGAATCCAATTGTAGCCAATTTTCAGCCCGCTCTTGGTGAAGTTGCCGCTGCCGCTTCGTATTTCAGTTATGCTCCACCATCGGTTCCCTCTTTCATGAAAATGGGTTTCAGTGAAAGTGATATTGACGATGGTGATATGGATGATGAATCTCTTGACGGTAGTGATCTTGATTTTAAATCGAGTAATAGTCCAAAAAAATTGGAACGATCATCTGAATACAAGGATAAAGATGGTGAAAATGGCGGAGAGGAAGATCCAAAGGTGAAAATGGTTCAAGTATTAATGGGAAGGAAAAATGAGAAAGGTAAACCTTGGGGAACCAAAACTACTCTTGTTTACCGAGATCCTAAAGATGCAAATAATTACATGCAAGTGACCGAGGTCAAGATGAGCGTTAAGAGTAAAAAAGATGGACCCGAATCGAGCGGAGATGAAATGTCCAAAGAGAGTAAGAGCAGTTTCCATGGGTCAAGTTACGCAAGTCAACCCACACTTGGAGGTTATGGTGGAGACTTTTTCGAGCCAAATGAACCACCGGAACCAACTTTCTAATAAATTTTCGCATCTCACAATTAATTAAAAATCTTTCATATACTTTTCGATAGACAATCAAATGTTTATAAATATAATACAAAACTTTTCAAATGTTAGATCAAAATTTTCCAGAAAGTGATTAACATGTGACAAATGTCAATGCAAGGTAATTGTTTTTTTGTTTCATAAGGAATCACGATCACGATCACAATTTAAATATTTCTCTCATGATTGAAACGTTTTTCCATCGAGTGAAAAAATTTTGATCTAAAATAAAATAATAATAAACTTGACAATTTGATGAGAAATTCAAGTTTTAATGAGCCAAAGGCAATTGTCTATCAATCGGTTGACATGTTGGTTTCATCATCTTGTGAATTGTCATCGTTAACATCACCATTATTTGTAACACCAGAATTGTCATCAGAATCGTTTCCATTACTTTCAATGAGATTTTGTGTTGGGGGTGGTGATGATGTCGAAGCTGTGGTTGGTTCAGAGGTTGAAATTGGTGATATTCTGTTGTTTTCATTGACAACATTTGAATTGTTTTCCTCTGAATCTGAATGTGAACCTTTGGTGTTACCATTTTTACCTTGAGATGAATTGTGATTACTTTTATTGTTGTGAATTTCTTTGGGTCCAGTTAATTTAGATGGAATAAGATGATCTTTCGATTTAGCCGCTCCAAGAACGGAAGCGAGAATCGGATTAGTTTGTTCTACTTTAAAAGCAACTTGAAGGAAAAATTGTTTCGAATCTTTATTCCAAAAGGTCCAGAATTTATCTTCACTTTTATCAACCTCTCGACTTGGAACTTTAAATCCAATCGTCTCGTAAGGTTCAGCAGCGAATAGAACATATTGCCATCGTCTATCGGGAGGTTCGATCTTTTGTTCATAAGCGGACATGAAACGGTGACGAGGTAAAACTCCATCGGTTATCTCAGGATAATCAACCTAAAGAAAAACAAACAATTAGACAGACAATTAGAGAATAGGAAAGCAATTGGTTTCAGAGAATTTGTTTAACTTTACCTGGAATAACAGTGATTGTTGACCTGATTCCGGATCTAATTGTTTGGTAACCCGATAACCTGGTCTTCCAATTTTAACAAATTTCTTGATCTCTGTTCGTGGTTTAGCTGGAGCAGGTAAAGCCGGTGAATCTTTTGAATCTTTTGCTTGCCTTCGAGCCAAATTGGTTTGATGTTTTTTACCCTGAGTATGGGCCAGATAAGAACCTTCATTATTGTGAAGAGTTAAACACAATTTACACTCATAAGAACCTAAATGATTCTTCATAAAATAAGGATCTTTCTGTAAATCAATTGATTCCAAGGCGAGTTGTCTTAATCTCTCTCTCCTTTCCCTATTGGTTTCAGACCAACTTGCAACTCCTCCGCTGCCAGTTTTACCACCGGCTCGATGTTGGAAATCCATCTTGGATCACAGGCAGAGAAAGAACAAAATTTTCAACACCAACAAAAATAAATCAGCCAAACAAAAAACTCAATCAATTAGAAACAAAGATAATCAATTGAACCAAAAAAAAAATGAACAATTTTTCAAAAGAAAACATATGATCGGATCCGATTGATATTCGAATGGGATTCGAATCCCAAACTCATTAGAACTCAACTTCGAGTCATTTAATTGAATTACAATTAGTTTAAATTGTATCGAAAATTAATGGACAATGCAAATATTTCAATAGGCCATTTAAAACAATTGAAAAGAAATAAATTTAATGAGGTTTTTTGCTGTTTATATGTACACAATATGATTGTAATTTCATCTTGTTCATCATGATGATGAAATAACAATTAGGGTGAAGATGAAAATTTTATCGTTTCCTTCATCACGATGAACTTGATCATTTCTAATTCTACCTTTTCTTTGTTGATGACAATTTAACCATTATAATCTTGAAGTATATCTCCCATGTGTTCATTGTGTTTCTTAAAGTTCCTTGGTTTCTTGGATGTTGGTTTTTTCCTTTTCTGCATTGGAGTTGAGTTTTTACCACCGACATCTTTCATTGAGGTGATTCCATGTTTTTCTAAATACTCTTCGATCTTTGCATCATCTAAACCATCAACGGCAGCGGTTCTCCAAAATTTCTGAAACTCATCATCAACCTTAAACTGGATCGATCTATCATTATAGTAGAGAATTTTCTTCTTATCCGTTGGCCTTGTTAACATAATGATCGCCTCTCCAAGAGCTTTAATACACCTATCAGCATTTGGAAGAGATTCTTGAATATCCTCCAATGGAATACCTCCTTGTCCTCTTTGATCATATTTATCTAATAACCGGAGTAGAGATTTTTTATCTTTCAATGGAAATGTTGGCTTGTAGAAATATTTCTGTCCATCTTCAGTTATATCCACTTTAGGGTTATTTTTGAGAGCTTCAGTTGCGAGCCATTGTCTCTGTCTTGGTGCCAAATCCAATTGATTTGTTTCATCTAACATATCCTCCAATGTAAGAGGTTCATTGTCACCATCAAGGTATCGTTGTTTCATATACTTGACAATCTTAGCCAAACAGGCAAAATTAGCATTAGAAGATGGCTTGTATTTCTTGAAGTCAAAGGTTTTCTCGGCAACCGGAGCTGGAGCCGATTTACGAGGCTTTTTATTTGATTCTTTTCCACTCTCTTGATTTGAAGTCACAGGCCTTTTAGCTTCGATCACTGGTGTGGCAAACGCTTTCTTTTTAAAAGCTTCTCGAGCTTTCAACAGAGCAGGATCCATACTCTCAATAAGCACAAAGTCAATTCACAGAAAAAAAATAAATTAATTTAATCGGAAAGGCGAAAATAATTAACAAGATTATGGAAGAAAAAAATTCCAACCTCAATTAAATGATCAATCGAGAGAATAGAAAACAAATTTTTTTTTGTAAACACAAATTCTAATTCGATTGTTTCGCCATCTAGAGTTCGTTTATTGTACTAAATGGTTTTTGGAAATTTTTTTCCATTCAAATGAAAGATTTTGATTGTTTACAATTACGCAGAAATTAATTAATTGGTTTTATTTAATTTGTTTGGATTTTTTTGGTTCACAAGTTTATTTAGATTTGATTGAAATGTTTGGTTTAGTGTCCAGAATTGGTAACAACTTTAATGTTTGTCGGTTGGTCCAACAATCATCTCAATTTAGTGTAACCAGATTTTCAACCAGTGATAATAATCAAAAGACTGACAATGTCAATGGTAAATTTGATTGTATTGATTTAGATAATGGTACTGAACCTCCGATACCATTGTACCAACGTTTTAATGAAAGTATTGATGTTAAAAGAGCCCGTTTATTGTATCAAAGTCGAAAACGTGGAATGTTGGAAAATGATTTACTTCTGAGTACATTTGCTCATCGTTATTTGGATACATTTGATGGTAAACAATTGGACATTTATGATAGTTTGATTAATAGTCCATCAAATGATTGGGATCTTTTCTATTGGGTTGTCGGTAAAAAGGAAACACCATCAGAATTTAGTAATCCGATTATGGATCTACTCAAGGAACATGCTAAAAACCATCACAAGGAAAACAGGACTCGACAGCCAACCCTTTATTAAGGTGATCGAAAATCTCAGCAAAATAAATAATCAACAAATTGGAATTACAATTAGTAATTAATGTAAATTCTATAATAGATTTTAGTGTCAAATTGTATAAATTCAATTAAAGAGGTAAGATAAATGTGCTGATAAAAATGTGATTGTATCAAAATTTAGATTAGCGACAAAACTTTACAGTTGAAATCGAAACAAAAATGCAATTTGATTTATTTCGTATTGAATATTATAAATAATCTCAATGTGATTTCAATGAAACACAATAATTATATTAGACGATGATGAGGAAGTGATGAAGATCAAAATAATAATTACAAATTTCAACAAAATAACTTTAAAGTCTATGAAGGAGAAGATGATGATCAGGGTAAATTCATGTACATGAGAATGAATTTGTAAATGTTTTATGTACGTTGAGAGGTGAAGGTTATGAAAATTAGAAGAGAACAAAAAAAAACAATCATCGAAATTGATTAAATGATGATGATGGATAGAAATATATGAAGCAATTTACACAAATTTACACAATTTAAAGGGGATCAAGTTAAATGGGCTGATATTTTAGAGAAATATCTTAATTTTAACAATAATCTCAGTTCAACTGAGCTCAAAATCAGATCGTATTTGCTTTTTGAACACTGGGAGAAAAGTGTACAAATAATAAATGATTTTTTCTCCATAAATAATTAATCATGGAAAATGAACAAATGAGAAAAGAGAGAGAGAGATGATTATTTAAGATGATGAATTAATTGCATTGTAGGTAAAACGCAGAAGAAAAAGTTGCTCAATGAGTAGATGATTAAATTAAATTACCGAAGATGCGAAAATGATGATGATGATGATGATCATTATCTCTAAAACTTGGGCTTAGAATTAATTGAATAGTTTTCACGTTGTTTCCGAATTTAACCGAAATTAAACTATTCAAATTAGATTTAAATTATGTGATTCTCTGATTGTGCGCTCGTGAATATTTTACGAAAATTGATTATAGTTGGTTAACTAAAAGCGCCTTTGATTGAATGATCTTCTCCTCTCAAGGAATCTTTCATTTCCTTTGTAACTATTATCTTCCATTGTTGGTCTCCTTAAAAAGTGATGATTAGGAGATACGGATACCCTAAAATTAGAAAAACGATTCCAAGATAATTAGTTAATAACTAGAACAAATAGACAAAATATATATGCTCGAAAATAGATTGGAAAACATTTATTTTAAATTAGATCGAGGCAATAGGTTCATACCTTTGTTCATTGTGAAAATTTTTCAACGGGCTAATTGTATAATTTGATTCATCACGACAAACGCGATCACTTTCTGTAAAGATGAAATTAGTTGATTAGTTATAACATTTGATGACAGTTTTACATTTTTTGTTAGATCAAATCATTTACCTTTGTGATTATCACGATTCTTTTTGGGAATTCTATATCCAATTAGGGCTGATGCTCTGGTAATAACAGAATTATTTACAATTTTATCTTCTTTAATTGGATCAGTCGGGCTTGATTTGGAGCTGATGGTTATTTGATTATCACTTTTGGTAATACTTTTCTCTCTCAAAGTATTTCTAATAGACTCTGACTTAGGAGAGGTTTGATTAATGGGAACACTTTTACTCCGTAACGGTAAGGAAGTTAAAATTGGGAATCCGTTGACTTTTGTCTGTCCATTGTGATTCTTATGAGATCCATTAAAGGTAGAATAGCTTTTGCTACCTTTAGCTTTTTGTTGTAATTGTGGTGATTGAGGTGATTTTGGAGATTGTTGTGATTTACCGTTATCACTACTTTCACTTCGCCTTTGAGGATAAAATTTTAAATATGGATTTGGTCGATGGTGTCTCCTAAGTTTCTCAATGTTATCATTTCTCATCATGTTTCGTATTTGTTTTATCAAAACTTTTGGCTTATTTTTATCGCGTATATCGTAATCGTCATACATACAGCTTGAATTAATCACTTCTTTAGCGACTTTCATCCTCTCTTCTTGAGGTGCATTCGTCTTATAATTATATGAAATGGAGCTTGTTGTTGTTGATTCAGGTTGATCATCGCAAGATGGAAGCGGAGAACCAGTAGCAAAAGCAATGGCATTTTCAATTGTTTGTTGATGTGTTTTAACCCAATTACTTTTGATCTTTTCACGGCGACACAACATGTAACTTAAATTACGTATACGTTCAAGGTCCACCCTGAAACGTAAAATACCAGCGTGTTGTTGGAGTTTTAATCGTTCAAGAGATGTTGAATTAATCATTCGGATTAATGGTGATCCATAATTAGAGACTCTCTTCATTTTCCAATATTGTAATACAAGATCAATGTACATGAGTAGGCTTTCTTTTGAAGACTGAGGAAACTCAGTAATTAGCATAGGCAAAAACTGTTGGATAAAAGGAAAGCAAATCAATTAACAAAATCAAAAGTTCAAGAGATTGAGAGAAATGTACAAGTGCAACAATTAAGCCTTTAAATTGTTATTATTGGTCATCGATGAAAAGATTATAACCATTAGCAGCTAATCTTTTCTACGGTTATTTGATCCTAAATTCATGACCAGTAACAAATTAGCAAGGCTTAAAATTTGCAATTAAAGTTATAAGTAAACTAAATTACTTCTTGGTTTATTTGAGTAATGTCAATGTATTTCCAGAATTCGTTGCATGGATCATCACTGTCATTCGGTATTATGGTCAATTCTTCGAATGAATCTTCTTTCTTTTCCTCGCAAGAACTAAATGGAACAAAAAATACAATAAACAATTAAATAAAACCATCAAGAAAAAGAAAAGATTCGTATCAATTTAATTACCTTTCTCCTGATTCATTATCTTTTGGAGAGTCTTTACTAGAGTGTTTAGAACAGTAAGACTTCAATTTAACTCCTTTCTTGTCATCAACAGCGAAAACATTCATTTTGAGCTTAGCATTAAACGCACACGTTACATGATAAGCTACTTTACACGAGTTGACCTGAAAAAAAAGAAATAAAAAAAACTCTTCAATAAATCAATTATCAATTTAGTAGATTTATTTACTTACTGAACATTGGATCGGTGCTCCTTTTTTAATCTTACATAAAGAACATACAAGATTCAGTCTTGTGGGTGATATTTGTTTCGTTTTTGTAATTGGTTCCATTGATTTAACACATCCGATATTTACCTGTAACAAATTGGTAGAAAATTGATTAATATGAATTGGGAAACAAAAGTAGAGATTATAATTTACCTCTGGAATCCATAATGCACAGGCAACATGAGCCCATTCACCTGAATGTGAGGTTGGTTTAAGAGCACCACCACTATTGGGACACAATATACAGGGTAGATCTTTCTTGTAACCTAATTCTTTACATGGTCGACATAACCATTCACCATCGGGTATATGAGTAATTCCATAACAGGCTTGATGTACACAAATATTACATGAGTCACAGAAAACCATTTCATTTCCATCTTCGGCATCAGGACTTTAGAATGATAGATATTATATAAGAATAAGGAAAAACAATCAAATTAGTTTAGAAATTAGCTTGAAATCTGTTAATTTAAACAGTTAGAAAATGATTTAAAAATACCTTCGACAAACATCACATAAAACGTGATCATCATATTCAATTCCAACTTGTTTGGCTTTCATATTGCGAGCACACTGGTGTTCAAGTTCATTGATCAGATCTTCAACAAATTTCTCTGGTAATTTAATTGATTCATCAGATTCATGTAAAGTCTGTAACCAAGCCAAGTCTAGTAAATCCAGTTCATATTGTCCATACACCTCTAAATCAGTCTCATCAGTCTAATGGTATGACAAAGATAGAAAAATAGATTGAAATTTAGATGGTTGAATTGTAACAACAATTAAATGGGTCATTGTTTGATGACAGAAAAACGAATATAAGAAAAAACAATTGTTTCTTTTTGTGAGATGAAGAAGAAAAAAAAAATAGTAGCGTATTTATGTAGTAATATACCTTATTGATCTTTTTCAATGTTTTCACTTTGTTTGTGTCTTGAGAATGTGAATCTTGTTCCTTTTTGAGAAACCTAAAACTAGGTTCAGGAAGAGAATCAGGATTTACTGGTACTTGTACTCCTTTTTCCCATTCTTCTTTCCAATGGTCAGTGATTAGTAAATAATCTTCAGGTGAAAGTTGCTCGCCATCGGCCATTTTCATGGCAGATATGAGATCCTTACGAAATAACTCGGCTGGTTTTTTAACATAACCATAATTGTAGATACGATTTTTGTTGAGAGATGAGACATCACCCATTATGGCAGAAATATCTATGAGTGTAAATATGTGTAAGAAAAGAGAGACACCAGAATAAGAAACAATTTTGTCAACCAGGAACCAACAAGTGAAACGAGGAAAAATAGGAAACACAAAGAGAAAAGTACACAGTAAACAAATAGCTCTAAGTGGAACTGTTGATGTACTAATATGATGACGATGAAAGAAGAAAAAGAAAACCATAGATAAAGAAAAAAAAAAGGTTTCCCTCCAAACGGCCTAAGAGTAGAAAATACCTTTTTTGAACTTCTTTTTTCCATCTTCCTTGTTTTCATTTGGCAATAGTAGACCCATTTTACTTGCTCGTTTACCTAAAGATGAAAACAACAACAGGAGAATGTTGAATTATAGAGATGGAGAAAAAAATAGAGAAAACAAAAGATGTTATGAGTTCAAATTGAATGACAACACAAGAAGCACAATTATAAGAGTGAATGTATTATTAGTAGTCAAGGTAAGATTGGAACACAAGGTATACTGGTTCTTTCTGTTTCTCTTTCTCTCTTTCTATTAGCAGCTATTCATTTAGTGGGATCAGCTCATCCAGAGCAAGGTGGCAACAAGAACAACACACCCCACGGCTAATTTATAGCTGCTTCTTACTGTCAATATGAACAGGGTGAGCAAAAGAAAAGATAGAGAAAGATAATCTATGCCTAATGTTTACGGATGAAGCTTTAGAAATGGCAATGTATTGGCCAAGCATTTAGAAGATGGGGAATAATAGTATGAGAGAGGTTAATGAGATTAACATGATTACCAGAAATGGAACAAAAAATTGAGATGAGAAATTGAATGGAAAATATTGAAGAAGAAAAAACTGAAACTGTTAGAATAAAAAATAAGGAATAAGAAAGAGAGAGAGAGGAGAGAGAAATTGAAAGACAAAGTAAGAGAAGCAAATGGAAAGAGGAGAGAGAAGATGAAAAGAACGAGAGAATACAAAGAATGGAGACAAAAAAAGAAAGAGAAAGAGAGGAAAAAGAAAACGAGAAATATTAACATTTCTTGGAGAGAAAGAGAAAAAGAAAGAGAAAGAGAAAGAGAGAGAAGTGAATGTTTGTTGTTGTGGACAGAATATCAAGAGAAGAGAATTTAAAAATTGGAATTAATATTAATCATGTTCGACTTACCCGATGAATTAGCATCATTCTTGTTAACACTAATCATCCTAATTGGATGAAATTAAAGAAAAATTGTTAAGCCAGTTGGTAACCTGAGAATCACAATTAACTTTAATCAACACAAAAGACTAAAATTCAATCAAAAATCTATCATTTTCTTTACATTCACCTTCTTGTTTCTCTTTCTTTTTCTCTTTCTTTTCCATTCGCTGTCTTAGTCATTCTTCTGGGGACCATTTCCAAATAACGGCAATCAAAAGCTTCTCTTGGTAACATGTGACATAAACACTAATTTATTCACAAAACAATTGACCATCAATTCCTGTGTAAATCTGATTAGTCGAGAGCTTCCCTTAACCTTTAATCAATAGTTTTAAGGAAATTACTGTTTAGTTATTTAATTAGTTCTTGGTTTGACTGAAAGACCGATTAAAATTCACTTGTAACAAAATTCACTCTCAAGTGTCACATTATTTAACATTGAATTTGCATTGAACAAGATTCGATGTTTTCGAGTTTTTGTTCTCCAACAATAGATGGCGACACTTTATTCTAAATTCGTTGCAATCGATTAACTTTAATTGTAAGAACGATATTTAATTGCTTTGTGAACAATTAGTAGTTTTTTGTCTCACGTTTAATTTTATAAGAATTAGAATACTGATCTTTAAGGTTTACTAATTGATTTTTTTTGGATGTGGATGATTAGGTGATAATTGATGTTAATCAATGAAATTGAAATTAAATTGGTTGTTTGATTGTTTGATTTGTTCAAGTGAAGTGATTGATTGTTAAGCTATCCTAATGTTGATTAACTAATTGACAATTTAGATGCAAGGGTTACAATTTTGTAACTTAATTATTTCCAATCAAATCATACTAATTATATAATCGTTGATTTGTATTTTCGCCATGTAATTGTTTAGTTTTTCAATGATTTGTGGTAAAAACAATTAACAATTGTAATGATTAAATCTCAGATTCACCGGAAAACTAATATGAATCAGAACAATTAGGAAAAAGGTTAATTTTACCTTAATCATTTCCTTGCGAGAAATTTAAATTGTTCTGAACACAATCAAGTAAATAATTTTCAACTAGTTAACCTTGAGAAATTTACTAACTAAACAACAACATTCACAATCAACTAATCATCATCATCATCGTCGTCATCATGAGTCTTCATCCTATTTTAATCAGTTGAAAATAAAAAAAAATTAGTTAATTTTGTTGTTTAATTTGCTTCAGGCTTAACCGTAGTCATTATTATTATCACCACCAGAGTTAATCATCAACAATTTAACTATCGTCATCAAATCACTGAATCAAAATTAACAAAAAATCAAATATATGGTCCAAGGTTAATAATCAAAATTAAATTTCCGTCAACAATTTGATAATCATCAATATAATTGTTACCATTTAAAAATTATAACTCGAATGTTAATCAAATTAACCTTTAATTGTAAATGAAGAAACAAATAATCAAAGTGATCTCACTTTTTGGTTAGTTGATTCCGGAATTAGATCACAATTAAGCTGATTATCGTTACGTTATCCTTGATCATAATCACTTAAATTAACTAATTGCTCTAATCAAATGAACCTTCAATAGCGATGAAAATTTGGATATTCAATCAGGAAATTATATTAACACCTGATTAACAATTAACTGTTACACAATTAGCAACAACAATATGAGAATCGTTAACAATTAAAATACAATTTAATTGTTATAAAGATGAGTTAATTGAAGAGACAAAATTTGTTTTAATTGTGAACCAAATTTAATTCAATTGGAAGGTCATCTTTTAGTTCACAATTAACTAAAACAATCAAAATTTATTACCAAATCAATTTTAATTACAACAATATAAATAATAATACATTTAACTGGTGATAATTAATTTGAAGGTTTTCAAACTGATGGTTATGAGACAATCAATTGATTGTTAATTGTAATAGTTAACTATTTTTTTTCTGGGTCTTTTAGTTGAACTAAATTGTTGAATTTTCAATCTTTTCATTGTGGTTAATCAAAATTGTTCATCAAGGTTAAATTGTTCATTTTAATCATTGTTTCATTATTATCATGCATATCAATTATTAAGAAATTCATAACAATTAAGTTTAATCAACAATCAAAAAATTAACAGTTAGTTCAATGATAACTTTTAAATCACACCGAGTTTAATTGTTGTTAATTTTTTTCTTGACTCAATATTTGGTTGATTGTTTGGATTTAATTTTTGTTCATCAGGAACTTTGGTTGATTAAAATTAACAATTAATCAGAAAATAATAAATTATAAATGCTTGATTGAGATTCATTATAAGGTAATGATGGTATCGAGTTGATTGTAATCAACAATTTGATCAACAACAACAATTAAATGTAACAATTTTCGTACTTTAATTTTTCCTAACTAATAAATATATAAACAATTAAGGGAGGAAATGATAATGATTAATGATGAACAAACAAATAACATGACAAATTTGATTGGAACAATTAAAAATTAAACAGTTAATCAATTAAATGATTTGCAAATTTTGATAGAATGACAAAGGAAACTTAATTGTTACCAATATGATTTAATGAAAAAGAGTTGATGTTCAATGTATTAATAATATTTAAAGTTAATTAGATTTTAGATCCATAAAGTTAATCAAAAATCTCAACAAGAAACGAATTAATTGTCAAGCAATTAAGTTAAGTAGTTAATTTTTGCCAATCAGTAATTGAGTAATATTTGAAAGGGGAACTAAAATAATGATAATTATCATCTTGTCGACAGAGAAAAAGACAGAGATTTTCAGGTTTTCCATCATGATGATTGTCGAGTGAAAATAAAAAGTGGATTAGGAGACACAAAAAATACTAATAACCAGAAAATGATGATAACCTTAATTGAGAGGAACCTTGAGAGAGAGAGAGAGAGAGAGAGAGAGAGAGAGAGAGAGAGAGAGAGAGATGATAAAGATGATAAAGAACGAGGATAAAAGGGAAATTGAAACAAGAAAATGATTGAACCGGGAAGCTGAAAATGAACATTCAGTTTGACCTAAAAATCGTATTGATATTACATAGAGAAAGAGATCATCTTTATCATCCTTATCATCATCATCTCCATGAGGCCCTTATCCAGTCTGTGTCTTCAGTTGATGAGAAATTGTGATATTTTTTCATGATAATATTACGATAACCATGATCAAGTTTTCTATTTGCAATTAGATTAATCATTTCAAGAGGTTAACATACTAATAGACAAGTCAAATTATCCCAACAATCAATTCCTTAATTCAGTTTGTCTTATATTTGGTCCATTTTTATTATCAGATTAACAATTAATTGTATTATCAAACAAAATCGTTAATTATTATGAACCTTTTTTTTTCATTGTATCCCCAATTAAACTTCAAATAAGGTTGATTAGTTAATCAACTTTTATTACTAATCTTTTTTTTTCGCTGCAATTTAAGTCTAACTAAATTGTCATTGATCAACAATCAATATCAGCATTTAATCAACCCAATTATCATTTACATGATTAACTTTTTGAATAAAGGAAATTAAAACTTTTTGATTGTGAGCCAATGATCATCAACATGGTATTGATTGGGAAAACAAAAACGTCAATTGTAATTACCCTTAAGGCAATAATTAAATTTGATCACTTTGATTAGCTAATATAATCAAGGAAATCAATGATTAATTTGGGATAATTAAGAGATTGTTAATCAAGTTCAAGGTGTTTTAATTCAATAAGAATCAGGAAGAGATTTTTTTTCTTCAAATAATTAACAAAATTGATTAACCACAATTCCAGAAGTGATAATTAAATTACGTTTCATTTTTGGCAACAATTAGTTGATTGTTGTTAACTTTCACTTTTTCAACATATTGAATGTAAAGACTCACCATCATCATTGATTAATTGATTGTGATTTTTATCACATTAAATTTAAATCATTTACACTTAAATATTTTACAAAAATCTATTGATCAGTTAATCAAAATCTGTAATCATTACCTTTTTTTTTAATTACTTACGTTGATTTATTGATTATTTGATTAACCTTTTCTTTTCCTCCTTGTGTGTATGTGTAACAATTAACAAGATTTTTGATTTAATCAATTTATTGATTTGATTGTTTTTCCTTCATTTTCGTTGATTTGGTTAATTGTTCAAGAGAGTTTCAAGTATTTTTCTCTTCAACCATTTTCCATGTATTCCATATATTAGACAATTTAAATTGTCACAAAAGACTCTTACAGGTTAATTGTTATGGTTTAGATTTTAATCTACAATTAATTATGATGATTATTCTCATTGTAACCAATTGCTGTGTAACATTGGATTATGATAAATGTTATCAACCAAAATCCCAAATGAAAACCTAAATTGTAAAGATTAGAGAAGAGAAAAAGAAAAAGAAGAAAAAAAATGGGTTCAGCAATTAATTAATTGTGATTATAATCATTGATTGATTCAACTTAAACCTTAACGCCTAATCAACCATTTGATTGTTGCTTTTTTGTAACCAATCGTTTACGGACAAATTATGTTATTAGTCTATTAAATTGTCGAAATGCTTCATGAGACCACAATTACAATTTGCTTCTAATTGTCTTGATCTGTTGTTGGCGTTGGAGAGAAGGAGAAGAAGCAAAAAAATCAACTAATTGTCGTAACAATTTAGGCAACTGGTGGATTGGTGACAACAAAAAGATGATCAACACAATAGACATTGACAGAGAGATCGAGAGAGTCGGTTACAAATGAGTAGAATCTGTTAATCACGTAATCATCAAGTGTCCATCATTATCATAGTCAACAGGGAACATTAATCAGCTTCATCATTCAGAGATAAACCCTAGATAATAATAGCATTAGAATGAAGGATTAATGAGAATAGAAAACAGTAAGAAACCAGTTTGGGTTGGTTAAGAAAAGAATTTTTTTTTTCCATAGAATAGAAAATCAAAATGCAACAATTTAAAACCATTTACCGCATTGATGGAAATTGGATTAACAGGTAGATGGTGGAAACGTATAAATTTGAATGACATTAACCAGGTACAAATAATCATTACCAATTAGGATGACGATGATGATGAAGATGATGATGATTAACTTTGAGAGGAGAAAACAAAATTGTAAAAAACAAAACAAAATGGTGACCAGAAATCAAGACTATGTTAATAGGTTTTGATATGGAAGTGTGAATTTATAACTGTAACCCCACTGATGATCAATCTTTAACAACACAATAAATTGACTGTTAACAAATTGTAACAATCAAGAGAAAACCAAAAGGGAAAAAATTAACACGAACCAGTTTAACAATCAAAAATCACATTTAACAAACAAAAAAGATTAGTGTTACATAAACAAAATGGAATCACCATAAACACCACAAATTAGAGCAGTAAAAACCTCAGTAGATTGAGGAGTAAATACTTGCCAACAATTAAAATCTATCATGAAGATGATTAAAAAAATGGTGATAAAAATGAAAAAGAACAACAATTAACCAGGTAAAGAAAATAAAGTAAACAATTAAAAAGAAAAAAACAAAAATCGCCGGTAGAACATTTGGTTTTCTATCCGCTAGATGGCGTTGGAAAAGAACAATTCGCAAATGAAAAGAGAGAGAAATCAAATTGTCTCTCTTTTTAATTTTCTCATTTCAATTTCTTTCATTTCTCTTTCACGAACCTGTTGATTATTTTTTAATTTCGTTTTGTTTTTTCTAATTTTTTCTTCATTTTCTATCTTTTTTCTTCTAAATTCTAAACAATTAACTAAATTAAATTTCTTCCCTCTCTTTATTAACCTGTTGGTCTTTTTCCTCCAACGAATGGTTCAAATGTTATTACCCATTTTAAGACAATTATCTCTCTTCATGTATGTGCTTGTTTATTTTTCTTCTTGTATATATGTAAGTAAAATTTGAATTATAAATATGTATCATCACCATCAATCAATATGTTCAACAGTAACACCAACATTAATACAACACCAACATCTACAATCACAACCTCAACCATTAACCCTACGACGATCAACACCAGCAACTCAACCACAATCACCACAATCACCACCACCATCAACAGCAACAATAACAGTAAAAGCAACTTATTCATTTCTAGTAACAACAATACAACTTCTAGCAACCAAATTAACCGATTAAATATGGCTGAATGTGCCCTGATTAAATCTTCACAGTGTTTCCAGGATAAAAATCGGATAAAAAAAGATTTAACTAAATTAACTAAAAACCTTTTACTACTCGTTGGTACGTCCCTATGATTACCTCTTTATTCATACTACCCTACCTACACCTTATTCCCAACCTCCTCTGTATCGTTTACCTTTTTTCCTCTGTCTATTTTAATTTCTCTCTCATTTACCTTATCTCTCTTTTTCTCTTTTTTTATCTAATTTCTCTTCTTCTTTTTTTTCTTTCTCTCCTTTCTTTTCGATCAATTTCAACGGGGGAAAAACCTCAGGCCTGGAACGTGTGGCACAGGAACTAGTGGGTGGACGAAGATGGCGAAAGTTAACAGCACCATTCAATTCCCTTGAACCAGAAGAGATTCAAGATTGGTCTCCATCTGAGATTTGCTATTTCTGCAATTCTGACAAACACCACGACTCTGTAAGCCTCTCTCTCTCTCTCTCTCTTTCTTTCTTTCTCCCTCTTCTCCTTTTCAATCGTAATAATTATCTTAACCTAAAATGAGCAAAAACCTAACTGTTTACATGCTCCTTTCTCAATTTCCTCTCGTTCTACTTTAGCCTTTTTTTGAATTAAATTAACATCTTAAGTGATTATAACTCAAGTCATCGTGTACTCACTACAACTCTCACTCACAAATATATCATCTATCCAATGACTCTCTCTCTCTCTCTCTCTCACTCTTCTCATTTAACTAGCCTCACAGTCAAACGTCACCAAATATAATTGCATCACCTTGGTTATTAAGTTAATGATTGGTAGTTTTGTGTATCTCACTCACTCACTCTCTATCCCCTTTTCTCCCTCTGTAGTTACTATGGAGTAAAACTTAACCCAATCTTCTGAAATTATCAGAAGAATCAACAGATTATAACCATTCTTAATATAACAATGACTGAATTTCTCTCTCTCCCTCTCTCTCTCGTTCTCTCTCTCTCTCTCTCTTTCTCTTTCTCTTCCAAGTGCATCTTAATCTCGTTATTTTTTGTGTTAGATTTTGATTAACCATTTTGTTTTGAGATCACAATCTTAATCAGTTACATATTACAAATTAATCTGAAATTCATCATAATCATCCCACCCAAAAAAAAACACACTAATTAGTTTAATACACATAACATTAACCCTTTTGAATCACTGAGACAATCATCATGATGATCGGTCATGATTAAATTACCAAAAAGTAAACAAAAATTTCGTTAACCTTTGATTACTTATTTTCATTACTATTATTATAAGATTAATGAGATTGATGATTTACTATTTACAGTTAATTTGTTGTTTGTTAATCTATTTAATAATAATAATGATGCTAACTGCAATCTGAGAAATTGAAATGTAATTAGCTAATTATTATTAAAAGGATGAAGAAGGTTAATTGTTGTTTATTTACGTTAACCATCATCAACAACAACAAAAAAACAAATTAAATTACAGGATAAAAGAATAGGAAAAATAAAAGATTGGGAAAAAAGGGAAAAAGATTCAAGATGATTAACTATTATTATTTGATTGTGATTTAAGGGCTTTATGATTAAGCCACATGGTTAATATATAATAATGGTTAAAGAATAGCTTTTGTTTTATTCAATAATTACAAGTGTCTATGGTTAATTATCATCATCAACAATTGAATATCTTGTGTGTTGTTTTTAAGGTTTTTCTTTCTGTTAATTATTATTTTTGTCTATGGAAATGTCACCGAGTGAAAAATTAATCTTCAATTGGCATCATCACTTATTTTCCAATTAATCGATTATCCTCTTAAACTTGATTCTCTCCAATTAATTTATCTAATTTTCCTTATACTTTTAATTGATTTGCCCAACTAATTGACTAATTAATTCATTACCCTAATATCCTTAAATTTTTTCCTTTTCTTCTGTTGTTTTGTTTTGTTTTTCTTTTCAAACTTTTGTTTATTCTTTTTCGGTAATTAATCGGTTTCTCTGCGACTTAATTTTTGTTTTAATTCACATTTGATCTGCACAATTAACTTAATCATATCTATTTCAATTTGGTTTTTAATTTAATTTAGTTTTGATTCATCTTAATTGAGTTAAATGAGATTAAATTGCAATAAGAGTTGTTAGCCAAGGGGAGCGAAGAGAGTGAGAGAGTTGATTTAATAAGGTTATGTTAGAGAGAGAGAGAGAGATTACATTTAACACATAGACTCACTCATTCACTTGACTTTCTCACTTTTCATTATTGTACTAAGACAATGAAAGAGTAAGATTATAAAAGATGAAAAAATTAGAGGGAGAAAGAGTAAGATGAATCTTTAACTAAATAAATGATTGAATAGACTCACTCACTCACTCTCTCAAAATGTTAATTGATTCCATAGATTATGATTTGATTGAAAATGCGATTTAAAGGATTATTTTACCAATTATCCTTTAAGTTAATAATCAAATTTATTTGTAATTAAGCATAATAACGATATTAATGAGAGAGTAAAGTTGTAAAAAAAAACGTACCAGGAACAAGAAGTTGAATGAGAAGGTATTGAAAAGTTGTTCTAATTATTGAATTAAAATGTGTCTCATATGAATTGCATGATACACTTAATTAGATGTCACTGAGATTGGTTAAAGTTAAATGAAGCCTTGGATTCTCAAATTGCAAAATTATGATGAGAGAGAGAAAGAGAAAGAGAGAGAGAGAGAGAGAGAGAGAGAAATATCTTCAATTTTCATCATCTTCCTCTTTCTCTCATTTATCTGTTATTCATTTTCTGTCTGTTTTTTAACATGATGTTTATCCAATTTCTATCAAATCACAAGGTCTTGCCTCTTTCCACCACAAACTTGATGCTCTCTCTCTCTCTCTCTCTCACTCACTCTGTCGCTTTTTTATCATCCTCAACCCTATGTGTGCCTCTTATATCGTTTTCAACTTATATTCCATAGACAATTTTTTCTTCTTTTTTCTCTTTCTTTTCTTTCTCTCTCGAGTATCAATAGGGATCATATTCCCTTTTTTATGTGTTTTCGTTGGGGAAAGGAGGGTTAAATGAAGTGGAAATAGTTGAAAAATATCTCAAGTGATGGTGAATATGTGGTGATACTGAGCAAAAAAAGTTCAGTGTTAAATTAGAAGAAAAAACAATTCTCACTTTTGGTTGATTCCATTTCACCTTTATGAACTTTTACTTCCTTTCCATCGGTCTTGTTTATTTTTGATTTATTCACAATTAATTAGGTTGATTATCCTAACGATTTACTAAATGATTTATGAATTTACAGTTAACTGATTTCTTCTTATGTGTAAATAATATTTGATCATTACAATTAACAGTTAACTTTTAAATCTCTCTGTAACTTTTACTCTCTCTCTCTCTCTCTTTCTCTCATTTATATTCATTTATTTCAATGTGTCTCTTGTCTAGGAGTTTCCTCATCTTCATATTTCCTTAATTTCTTGTTAATTGATCTGATTATCTTTCTCACTCGATCTCTTCCTCTCTCCCTTTATCCTTGATTATTTGGATAATCTATCAAAGGGACTATCTGGATGTCCTCCAACAATCAACCTCTTTCAGTATTTTCTTAAAAACCCATCATAATGATGATAATTATGGTAAATCATAACTAATTGTTTTGAAATTTCGCTCATTGTACCTAAAAAATGAGCGAAATTATTAAACATCCTAATATCTCACTATTACGTTTTTCTATCAACAATCTTCAAGTTCCCATTTTATTATTCCAATGCGGATGATAACTAATTTTGATGATCTTTTCTCGTTTACCTGTAAAAATTATCACCTTTTTTCCCCTGACAAACTAATTGTGTTTCTTTTTTTTTTGCTAATTGTTTATATGTGTGTTTTTTTATTGTTTAAATTGTGATATTAATCAATCAACTCGTTTGATCTACTTTATCCACTGAACATTATTATCATTGCTATACCAGGACAAATGGTCCATAGCTTAATTATCAATATTTACCTATGTGTTTATTATGTTTACCTTAAGTAATTAATCCTGGTTCTTTTTTTTTTGTTTTCTCACACTCAAATTAATTATAAACCTGATTAACTGCGTCAGATTAACGTTTTTAATTCCTAATGATTAAATGCCTTCTCTGCGTTTGTTTGATTTGTTTTCTCTTTGAGATTTGAAGGCTTTACCTCTTTATTTTTTTTACGATTACGACTTGTTGATTATGTTCAACTGATTGTGATTATCAAGAGCATTTAAATACAAACACAAGTTAACTTTGTGTGTGTGTGTGTGTTTATATTCACACAAGAAGCACATGAAAATCGCATCAGTTAATGAGGCAGATTAAGTTGAAGGTGAGGGTGTTAAGCGCGACGATCATTAATTTTGGATGTTTTAAAATTTTCATTAACCTTGATTGGTAAATCTTGATTTCGATAAAGTTTTTCTAAATTGAGGGACACAATTAATAAATTGATTCTTTTTTACTCACTCATTAACTCACTCGATTCTTTTTCTCTTCCTTTTAATCTTCATATTTTAATGTTCATTTCGAAAACACTTTCCATCTTTCTCTCTCTCTCTCTTTCTTTGATTTCCTTAATTACTGCTCACAATTATCGTTCTCCCTGATTTTCGTTAATTTCCTTGATTTCTCAGCTTTTATGGTCTCTCAAAATGCTTCCTCGAAAATCCGTATCAACCCTGAATTTGATTTTTCTCTTCTTAATTTTCTTATGCTTCCTGATTCTTTTTAATTCCATTAATTAAAAATAGAATCGAAATAATTTTTATTATCTTCTTCCTCTCACATACTCTCTCTCTCTCTCTCTCTCTCTCTCTCTCTCTCTCTCTCTCTCTCTGGCTCCTTTTCCGTTTCTCCCTTTTTTCTCTTCTCAATTTTATTATTTTCTCGAAATTAATTATTAATTATTTTTCTTTATGTTTATCTTCCTTTTCTTTTATTTCTCTTCTTTGAATTAATCATCATCATCATCAAATATCTCGTTCTCTCTCTCTTGTACTCTGTGTGCTCAATCAATACCTGGAATTATTTATCATCCACTTGGTAATCTACGAAATTTGTTTTTGGAAAACTTGATGATTCTCTCTCTCTCTCTCTATTTTCCTAAATCTTGATCGATTTCTTAATGTTCTATCATTCAATTCTAACGGTATCATCAACATCTTCATCATCATCATCTTTATATTTTATTGAAAAATTACAATGCTTCTTCCTGGTCCAATCGATATTGTCGATAATTTATCATCAAACTGTTTATCATCTTCATCATCATGTCAATTGAAACAGAATCATAACGAAATTGTTAAACATTCAGACGATTGTCCACTTTCAACATCGTCCATAACAACCACCGGAATCGAATCAAGTCAATTACAGTCACCATTAAATCAATCGAGCCAACAATCAACACAACCACCAACAAGCTGTTCATGTTTACCTAATAATAATAATTCCAATGGAAGTGATAATATCAACATTCCCATAATTAATGTTCCAATCAATATTCCCGTTGTCCAGGCTTCATCGGCCACAAGTAATTCCGTTACTGCCATGAGTAATGTTACCACCACCTCAGAACAACCATTGGACCTAAGTTTACATTCCCGTTCAATGTTAATTCCAAACGAAATTGACAAATCAACAAACCATGTCAGTGATACCTCTTCATCATCATCATCACTTTTACGTATTCCTCATCCAAATCAGACCAACACCAAACAAGGGTTAGTATATAAAAAGAGCAATAATAATAATAATATTGTTCAATCATCATGGTTTCTAATAACATCCGCAAAAATTTCATCAAGGATCACAACAACTAAAAAAGAATAGAAAAAAAAACTGAGAGAGAAAGAGGAAGTTTTGATTAACCCATGCAATTGTTTTCGTTATACTCCTACCCCATATCTTCCCTATCTTCATCTCTCTCTCTCTCATTTCATCCCCATTTCAATTAGTTTTTCCCTCTTTTCCCTCATTTCCTTCTCTATGCTTTTTTCGTGAAACCGTTTTATTTTATTTTTCTCTCACTAAATTGATTAGTTTGGTTTCATTTTTCAACAGAAAGAAAAATCGTCTGGAAACAACAACCACAACCACCACAACAACAACAACAACATCGAGTAGTAATAGTAATTGGAAAAGAGCTTACACCGAGAAGGAGCTGCAACAAGCCTTGAATGATATTCAAAGTGGTAAATTGGGTACACGTCGAGCGGCGGTTATTTATGGTATACCTCGATCAACCTTGAGAAATAAAGTTTACAAATTATCGTCTCCAAATGTTAAAAGAGGTCAACCAACAACAGTTCAATCAACGGCAGCGGGAACAACAGTAGCAGCTTCAAATAGTCTAACAACCCAAGGAGCCTTTAACTCTACAGCTAAACAACTTTCCGCCAGTTTGCCAGCGTGTGCTGCTGTTGCTGCGGCTGCAGCAGCGGCAGCAGCGGCAGCAGCTAATTCACCCAACAATTTAACAAAATGTTCATCAACATCAACCACAACCATCACTGGTCCTGCCAATTTTTTGTCCGGTCGAAAGTCAATCACACCAATACGTAACAATAATGCTAACAAAGAAAGTCTTTCAGCTCGAACTAAATCAACAGCCATTTCAAGGCGATCATTAAAACAACAACAACAATTACAACCTGTTGATGATATCGAAACATTTGATAATTCAACCATTTTATCGAAAACCATTAATGATAATCAACATGATAACGATTATGATGATAATATTGACGATGAAGATAAAAGTAACAACCTTTCAACTAATCATAGCAGCTTAATTCAAAATGATTTGAAACAATTCCTGAAACGAACCATCACTCAAAAGGCAGCTAATACTAAACCATTTCTTTCATCAGGAATTGATCAACTATCAACCGATAACAACAATAATCCTAATCCTAAATCAGATTCTGATATTATCAACATGGGACCAACTACAATGCCAAATATTTTCAATGATCCGTTAACAACGTTACAAATGTTATCATCAATGGATTGTGGTAACGCCATTGGTCCGTTAATTTCGCAAATTTTGTTAAACGTTCATGCCTTTCCTCTTGCCAATAGTGTTAATAACCTTATAAATAATACCAATATTAACCTTAATTACAATAGCAAGCCCACCGAAAACATGGACTTAAACAATAGTATTTCCGGAACTTTGCCTTTATTACCAGAATTGATTCATAAATTAGCTCAAGAACGTTTAGAGGCGGAAAGATTATCATCTGGAACATCAACAAGTGACCATGGTCAAGAAAGATCGACGACTGATGAAAGTTGTGATAGAAATGTGATATTAAAGGTTCCGTCCTATCAGCCTAAATTGAATATTGATGTTGGACAGAAAAATGATTTAACGAAAACAATCAACAAAGAAGGATCAAACTCTAATCATTCCAGTATTGGAGCAATTAATACAAGCTTTACCAGTGGTGTTAGTAACCTATCTAGTCATAGTATTGGTGATTTCAATGTTAATATGGTCAAAGATGAGAATAATAATTGTGGACTAAATGATAAACGTTATAAATTATTTCCTGTTAATTCTGATGAATCAAGTTCAGATGCCTTAATCAATGAGAATGCCAAGAGTTACAATTTCTCTCGTCGTAAAGTTGAGAAACGTAATCAAACCAATTCAAATAAAACAAGTGATCAAAGTGCCCCATCAACCCCTGATCCTAAAAGAAATCGACCCAAACGAGGCCGTTACCGTAATTATAAACGGGATGATCTTGCCAAAGCTGTAAAAGCCGTTCAAAATGGAGAGATGAGTGTCCATCGAGCGGGGACACATTTCGGTGTTCCCCATTCAACATTAGAGTATAAAGTTAAAGAGAGGCATTTATTAAGGCCTAAGAAAAGGCAGACTACTTCAACCTCGTCGGGAGCGGTTTCGTTAATCAAAAAGGAAGACGGATCATCAAGCTTAATATTACCCAAAACTGATTTAGCAGCCGATCCATTGGTTTTAGCTCCGGGCACTGGGCCGTTGAGCTCTAAAACACCAGGCCTATTAACGCAATCACAAACACAACCACAACCACAATCACAGTCCATTGAGGGATTACCAATGATTAATCAAGTTAATCAAGCTTCTCTTTGGCAAACTGCATTACCTTTGTTTCCATTTGATTTCGGTGCAGCTCAGAATAGTACCAACTTTTTCGCTTCCAATATGATGAGAAAATTAAAGGAAAATGCCCAATTACATGAAGAAAATTTCAACAATAATTCAAATGGAAGTTCAAATGCTAACAACAATGTTTCCGGTTTCAGTGATTCAAATCCAATGGGAGCCACAACTGGATTAAAGGAACGAGAGTTTGGCAGCTTACTATTAGAAACTTTAATTAAATCATCATTGGAAAGGAAAATGTTAAATACAATGTCATCAGCGAACAGTGAAAGTGACACTCGACTGAATCGAAATACATCATCAACGGTTCCCTATCGTTTCCACAATGAGGATTAACAATTCGATTAACCAAATTGTTCTTTTGCCTTTTTTTGTTTTTTGTTTTTGTTTTTTTACCTCCTTCTCTCTCTCTCTTGCTCTTTCTCCTTCTCTATTTTGAACAGTTCATCGTTTCGACAACAGATCATATTAATTGTTAAAATTTGTTAAAAATCCTACGATTGATAGGGAATCATAACTATTATTATTATTAACATTTCCAAATTTTGATTAATCAACAATTTCTTGTTAAATGACGGCTAAATTGTCCATGAAATTAAGTTATTTAATGACAGTTTAAATTTAATGAATAAAGAGTTACTATTTTGGAGCCATTTTAAATGTAACAATTTTCGTTGTAACAATTAATCGTTCATCTTTCTCAATCCTAATCCAATTTACACGTAAGCTAAATATCAATTTATCTTTTAATCTACTTAACAATCAACATGTGAATAGATAATCACAATTGATTGTTACTTATTATTGTTAGATAAATATCTCAATTAAATTGAAGATTTAATCACTTGTTAATTGTTAATCTAATCAATCGTTGAATTAATTCAATTGGTTAGTTTGTTTTACCATCACTAGATGAAGCTCAAAGTGCTCTAATTGTTGGAGCTAATTTTGATTGTCTTAACATTGACAATCAATAAATTCTGTTTGTTTTTATTTAAGTTAAGTCACAATTAAAGTTAGTTGGTTGACGAAGAGAAAATCTTTTACAACAATTAATTTATTCTGTGAACAAATTGACTGATCAAGACAATTGTCTTTCGCTGTTTACTGATTGCTTACAATTGTTGGATTTCTTAGTCAATCGCTATGGTATCATCAAGAGCATCCTCATCCTCGTCCTCCTCGTCGTCGTCATCGTCGTCATCGTCGATATCAAATAGACCTTTGATAAAAAAGTTGTGTTTCGGACTATCGGATAATGAGATTTTCGCAATAATTTGTGTCATCGGTGCGACAATTCAAATTGTTTACATACTCGATCGTTTCTTTTCTTATGAAGTTCTAACCCGATCTCATGTTGGTGTTCCTGAAGTTACACCGATTCCAGATTTATCGGTCTGCTTTCCAATAATTGATACAGTAAATTATACGAAATTGGCATCAACTTATCCGGCGATAGCAAGGGACCTTGGCTGGCGACCTGGGAATCATAGGGAGCAAGAATCCGTTGCTAATATGCTTAGAAGAAAGTTCAGTGATCGAATATTGTTACGAACCATCATGAGTCCTCTTAAAATCAGTCAACTATGGGAACTCATGCTTACATTTTCCGAGATCTTCAATAAAGCGGTAATATTTAGAATAACGGAAGATTCATTCACCGAACAACCTTGTGGGAATATGGAATTTTTTTCGGAACAAGCTTATTGCTATTCGTTTACCTGTACAAAAAATTCATCTAAACAATTGATCAGCGATATGTCGGACTTGTATAAGAAATTGTCTTTCCAAGAGATTGTTAAAGTTTCAATTCATCAAAAGTTTTTCGCCTCAGTCAATAACTATTGGATAACCTTAATGCCCAATGGTCGGTTACCAAGAGGTGAACAGGTCAAATGGGAATCACAGAATACATATAATGTAACTCGGAAGCATACATTTTTTTTCTACTCGATCACCTCTCACCTTTTGCAAGCACCTTATCCAACCGATTGTACTAACTACAGTTTAAAAGGTTATGTTTCCAAAGCCGAGATGGAGGATAAATGTCAAATCAATTTGGGAATCGAGAAACTTGGTAGCCCTTTACCCTCTAATCTCTTTGAAAGTCCACTTGATTCACCGTTCGGTTTGATCAATTACGCAAATAACCAATTCAACGAGACGTTTATTTCAATGGTTTCCGATATCGTTGATTATTGCGCTGAGATTACAAAGCAACCTGATTGTAAGATCACATTTTACATTCCCTCAAGTAGGACACCGTTACCGATAACGGGTGATTTCACCGAAATTACAGTCGAACAAATTTCAGATCCAATTTACATAATCGATGTTGCCGCTAAACAAACACCATTGGATGTTATCATTTCGATTGGAAGTGTTCTAGGAACTTGGCTCGGCTTTTCGATTGCATATTCGATACCTCAAGTTGCCGGACTTGTTAGTTACAAGTTTCTCAGTTTTTCGAAACGGAAAAGGATCTCAAATTATCCGTTAACCAATTCTAAAGATAAAAAGTCCAACATTCTCTCACCTTTAAATCTTAACTATGATTCCATCTATGGGATTAATAAAACGTACCAAAGAAATGACCAATGGTCAAGGCGACAATTCAATCACAAGTTCCCTCCATTCTATGCTTATTATAATCAGCAAACTTGGCCATTGATTTACGATTCCAAGACTAAACCTTGGTGGTTCAGATAATTGCGACCTTTGTTTGTATGATCAATACTCTTGATATTGTCATGAATTAAAGTAGTGTTCAATTAGATTGTTTCAATGATCTGTAATTAACTTGCTCTTGGAAATCAATTCTGTGAGAATTTACTTTTATTTGTATTTGCTATTTAAATAATTATGAGTTAACTGGAACTGAAAATATCCAAACAATCAGCTAATCAATACTCAGGGCATTTGGTTGGATCATTGATAGTTAATTGATCTTTATCAATTGAATAATCAGCCAATTTTTGGTAGATTTGAGTCTTAATTGTTTCATTAAGATTTGTCGTTCGTGATAAAATCCAAACGATTTCTGTTCAAAAATTAGTTACAAATTAATTGATTTAGTTGGTTAATTCATGTCACCATCATCAATGGAAATTAGTAGGAAATTAAATCAACTTACTTTTCGTTAGAGATGAAATTTGATTGTTTGATGAATCAATTAAATCAAATGCAATTACAATTGCATAATTTTCATAATCTGTATCAATCACTGAGTACAGATAGTTATCTATTAAGGGTTGGAATTAGTTAGTTTTTAATATGATTAAGTGAACAATTAAGGAAATTGTTCCAATAATTACCTCTTCCATAGTCCAGTATTGCTTCACCTTCATTCAATTCAACATTGGCCACATTAAAGTATTGATTCAACCTAATTAATTTCGAATTTTTTCAAAATCAATTCACTAATACAATTTACTAATCAATGACTATTTGTAACAATTAACTTACTCATCATCGAAAGCTACCTGTTCGTAAGGATGTCCATTCAGGTAAGATGTACCAGCGACGAAATCAAATGTCACACAACTCAGCCCCGCTTCGAGTTTGTGGTCAACCCGAGCAAATTCATACCATTTACCATAGAACTGTTAATTAGAATGATAATTAATCGGTTAAAATGAACAATCTATTAGCTAATCAAGTAAATTGGTGAAAGAAAATAATCAAACCTTATCCCAATCAACTCGAATTGGTTGAAAAGTTATATGGTCACTTGGATACGATGAAACTGTAACCACAAAGATAATTAAACTAATGGACAATTGGATTAACATTTCAATTGTTTCAATTGTTTCGGAGGAAAATAATTAACTAATGATGATTAGTTTTTACTCAGTGAAAATCAGTTAATTGATGCATCTAATTTAAACCTAATTAGCACTCACCTTAAACCTAATTTATCAATAGGAGTTACAATGATTGTCATAAAGATATCCAATTGATTTTGTCAACTATTTTTAATTGTGCAAAAATTAGTTCAACATTAGCTACAATTAAGTCTTAATTTCAACAATTAACAAAATGATTCCATTAAGTTTAATTGTCTCTGTGTTAATTGGATCAGCTTTTTCTTATGTTACTCTACCTGGTCCCTGTCCACAAGTACCAACCATTGAAAACTTTTCTTGGGCCAAAGTAAGTAAATTGTTTCCAATCAACAATCAAATTAAATTGTTTCAAACTTTAAATTAGGTTTCAGGTTCATGGTTTGCAATTAAGTCTACAAGTGATGTTAATGGTGAATATGATTACTGTCCAATTGTTAAACTGTTCATGCAAAACAATTTAACTATTTCATATGTTGAACAATTTGGGATACAAGGGTAATCAATTTAGCTAATTGTTTACAATTAACAAGATCTAATTGTTTCTAATTCACTTTAATCAGATATTTACGAGGCCAAGGAGGTCCAGGTAAAATTGACTCTAAACAATCAAACAAATTATCAGTCAAATTTTTACCTCGTAAGTTCAGAGATGAAATCACTTTAATTGTCGTAATTAATTTCTAATCATTTCTCTTTACAATTAACTTATATTATTTTCTTATACACATATTAAGATGATCCAAGTTTTGATCGTTACATAGTTAAAACTGATTATAAAAACTTCGTGACAATTTATGGCTGTGAAAGTTACGGTGAAAATCATAGAGGTAAATTTTAAATGACCATTTTAATTTTCAAATTATTCCAATTTTAATTGTTTTCTAATCACAATTAGCCTATGGTCGTATAGCAACAATTACGAAAACACCATCAGCCGAGGTGAAACTCGCTGGTTACTTAGCACTACAAAGTTTGGGTCTACCGATTACATCGTTGATTAACAGTGACTTTACAAACTGTAATTTCTCATAATTGATTGTTTCAATTAAATTTACTCATCAATTTGTCAATCGTTTCAGCGTTGATTTAATTTGTTAATTATGTTTCCATTGATTGATCACCTTTACAGGTAAATTGTAAATACAAATGTGACTGGAATGAATTCAAGACTACCAAGATGCTATTGCGCTTAATAATATTTGGACTCAGGTTCGAAACATAAAACCATATCGAGCTCACTTCGAACCAGGATAATCAAGTGTATGATATTGTCAAGAATACTCTAGATAACTTTTCTATTGCTAATCTGGTTCTTTATCAAAATCATTCGGGGTTTTCAAGAGTCTCAATGATCTTCATGATGTTCACTCATGATGTTTTCCTTTTGTGGTCGAGCATCAGCAGCCATCTTGAGTAGTTTTGTGCTCATCGATTTTCCTGTTTGAGCGACAAGTTGCGAAAATATTGACGATTTTTTCTGTAAAAGTTCATATGGAATATCAAATTCAACCACTTGACCTGCATCTAAAACCTACGATGATAAAACCCAAAAATAAGATATCAATAAATCGTAATGTAAGTCAAGTTTCGGTTCGAACATTTAAACAAATGTACTTACAAGAACACGATTAGAGTCAATGATGGTATTTAGTCGATGGGCAATTGTTAACACGGTACATTTGGAAAATTTTGTTCGAATTGTATGTTGGATAAGAGAGTCCGTTTTAAGATCGACATTTGCTGTTGCCTCATCAATCACTAGAACTTTATTATTACGAAGCAAAGCTCGACCAAGACAGATCAACTGTCGTTGTCCAACAGAAAAGTTTGATCCACCTTCTCTTATTTCATGGTCAAGATGGTCATGTAACTCAAGAACTGTTTCTTTTAACTGCACATCGTCAAGTGCTTCCCATACTTCGTGGTCTTTATGCTCATTAAATGGATCTAAATTGGTTCGGACTGTTCCAGCGAAAAGAACTGGCTCTTGAGGAATGATTGAAACTTTTTTCCGTAAATCATGAAGACCAATATTCTGAATATTTATTCCATCAATTTCAAGGGTTCCTTCAAACTCCACGATTCTGAAAAGACATGATAACAACGAGCTCTTACCAGCCCCAGTTCTACCAACAACACCGATCTTTTCACCAGGCTCGATGGTGATTGTAATATCTTCCAAGGTTGGCTTGGGTGCTGTTGGATATTTAAGTGTTACTCCATTGAACTTGATTAGACCTTTGGTTGGCCATTCGGGTGGCGGTGGTTTCTCACTCTCCAGCTCGGCTTCTAAATTCAATTTAGTATATTCAACAACACGTTCAACGGAAGTCATCTGACTCTCAAATTCAGTCGATTGCCGAATAAAGTATTGCATTAAGCCCATAAGTCCAATAGCATTCGATAAGGCCATGCCAGCGTCACCGGCGGGTATCACTGTACAAAAAATAAAAATTTGGGTCATTCATCAAACGGTAAATTGTACTATTATTATCAAATGACAAGAGCAGAATATCACACATGCAGAATTAGTTATCAGGACGAATGTTGCGATCGTCACATAGATAACGCAAGTCCAATCGATCCACATCCCTAGACTTCTGGATGCACTGAGAAAAAGGAACCAGGTAGACGAATGGTTATTCAAGATAATACGAAACTGATCTCTGAACATCTCTTCTATTCCAAAAGCTCTGATTGTGGGAAGACCATCGATTGTCAATGAAATATGAGAATAGACTGGACTTCGAGCTGAAAATTAAAATGACATAATCGTTAATTTGGTCAATTCAAATTGAGTGAATCGCATTTCACTTGTTGGATCGAATCACATTTCGAGTTAGAATTTCTAACCATAGAGATACGAATTAACGACCATAGGTATTTCGCTCGAAATTAAATTCTTTCCAATTGAGATCGTGATTCATTCAAATGATTTGACTGTAAAAGGTCTTAAGCTAAGAGAATTTTCAATCTAATAAATATACTTATAGCTTCCAGACGCTTAATTGCTTGTCCAGTTGGAATATAAAATGACCTCCAGATTAGTGCCAACACGATGAGTCCTATTGCAGGAAAAGCTAAATACCAAGATACGTAAGCAACAGTGACCAGAATTCCTGACGATTGAAATAAAAGCTAAATAAAAAGACAATTGAATCATGATAAGTTCATCGAGTATTTAATACGTTTGATTGTCCATGTACTCACTCGGATAATTGTGGAAACAGTGGTTGGAAGAAGCTCATCAATGATACCCAGGTCACGAGAAAATCGATTGAGAATACGACCTGAAAAGGAAAAGATCTTATTATTAGTGTTACAACTTAGCAAAGCGAAAATCGAATCCCCCCTTACCTATTGGTTGACTTTCAAAGAGAGACATTGGCGATCTTAGGACTCGGAAAAAGATTGAATTGTGAAGATTAATTGACGACGAGTTGCACATGTAAAATAAAAGTAATGAACGGGCAAGTGTGGTAATCATAAGAGCGACAATCATGACAGAGTAAACAATCGAGTTGTAGGCCAATTGTGAATCTTGAGGCTCGATAATAGTGTCATTTGAATTTATGGTTTCGTTCAGGGAAATCATTGGAATAGTATTGACTGTTGATTCTCCTTTAACTCCATTAGTCCAAATAGATAACCAAATATCAGTTCCATTGAACAGCAACTGAGAAACTAAATTGAGTAGAATACAAATGATTATTGTGAATAAGTTTGCTCCTGCTCTAATGTAAGCCCAATAAACCTGAGGGGCAACTGCACCGGTGCTTCTACTTTCTTCAACGATTCTGGGCTCATCAAAAAGCGTTTGTTTCTCAATAGTCAGTTCAGAATTAGAAATGCTTGATGTAGTTGAATCTGCCCTTTCCCGTTTTGTTTGCTCTTGTGGCCCTTTACCGTTCGATTGGCTCTGAGTTATAGCTAAACCAACTCCCATGGGTCCATCGTCAAATTCTGATGAATCTTCATAGAATTTAGATTTTCCTTCATTCAAAACTAAAACTTTGTCTGCTCGTCGCAAGAATTGAATTTGATGAGTTACCAAAATAACAACCTTATCCTTGAGATAATCTTTGAAACATCTTAATGTACATGAGAGGTAAAAGAAAATAATTAATAAGAGTTTGACAATTTATCCTTAATTCAGAATTAACTGACTTTTGGAAGATCGTTGCAGCGACACTCGCATCTACAGCACTCAATGGATCGTCGAATAGGTAAATATCTGCTTCACGATAAATTGCTCTTGAAAGAAGAAGGAAAAATGTATTAAAGTTGGATCATAATTAGATCCAAATTGAACAATTAATTACTCTTACCTGGCGAGATTAACTCTTGCCCTTTGACCGCCACTTAATCCAACCCCTCGTTCACCGACAAGTGTCTTATCTCCATAAGGAAGGATCTCTACATCTCTTTGTAAAGCAGTTACTTCGAGTACTTTTCTGTATCTTTGCTCATCGAACGATTGTCCGAATGTTATATTATCTCGAATACTTGAATTCCATGTCCACGATTCTTGTGAAGCATAAGATAAAGTACCATTTATATCAATGGTTCCACTTTTAACAATAATTTCTTTCATTATCGCCAAAAGAAGTGACGATTTTCCTGATCCAACAGCACCAACAACAAGAGTTAAATTGCCACTTTCGGCTTTGAATGTGACCTTGTTCAGTGTCGGTTCTTCATCGGTTGCATCCCAAGTGGCCACTAGATTTTCAACTTTTAAATGCTTTTTACTTTGATCTTTTCTGCAGACTTGCTTAGATGAGCTATTCGATGTTATTAGATCAAGAGCTTTCTTTTCCTCTAGTAACAGAAAATCCTGAATAAAATTGGCGAAAATATTTTTATAAATGTTGACCAAAAAAACTTTGAATAAATGATTTACCGTTAATCTTTTACATGAAACCAAAGCTTCCGATAAGTTAGAAACACCTTCCGGAAATAGACTAGTTAGTGACAAACGAAGTGAGTCAAAGAAAGCCGTTGTCACGAATACATTTTAGCGGTCAACTCATGTCCAGTCAGAACATAAGTGATGAAAACTGCGAATAAAATTGTCTTCGTGGTGACAAACATTAAAGTAAAATTGATCGCTTTAAGTGAACACGATTTACGAATCTGCATTATTTCAGATCTATGGATTAGAGGGAAATTCAATTTGTTAGCTTGATTTAAAGACTACAATTTTCAACTAAAAATTTCCATCAAATTTCACTCATTCAATTTGGGTCACAACATATCTCGTTTCTAACGTTATCAAAAATAACGAATAACATAAGTTAAAATTCGCGCGCCTTTTCCATTCACTTTGATTTAATTGTGTCAAGAACGAAGTCTCTTTTTCGCAGAAATTACCCTAAATGTCAATTCCTATTTAGTCAGTACTGAAAACTGAATAATCTTTTGATTAGATTTTTCGGTTCTTTGAAGAGAAGAAAAATTGAACCATAGAATTGTAGAATTGTTATCGTAGAATATCAATTTTATATCTTATATATTTACCTTCTTATTTTGGCGATCATGTCGGCGAACGGTTTTTCCCAAGCATATAACTTGATCACTTTCATTCCGCTTATAATCTCACTCATTGTACGAATTCGTTGGTCAGTCCATTTTGCTGTTTTTCTACGAACGATTCCAAAAGCTCTTCCAATGGTCGCTTGTAAGGGCACAAAAGCGAGAAGTAAAACAAGTCCAATTATATATGGATAACCAAGGCTATTGAATAGAATGACGGAGATCACAATAGCCTCACAAGGAGCCATGAACACTGAATGGCCAAGCATCGCACACTAAGGGACTCGAATGAATTACGATGACAGAAAAAGATTGACGATTAGCAAACTGCTTTTTCGAAACCATTTTACTTTCTTGATGAGAATAATTTTACCTCATCAAATTTGGTGACATCGTTGGACATTAGGTTGATTATGTTTCCCGCTTTGTTACTGTAAAGAGCTGATTTACTAAGAACGAATGTTTTTTCCAAGAGTAAACTTTGAACGGCCACACGAGATCGCATACCGATTCGAAATATGTACAATAACCATGCATGATGACTGATTATAAAGATGACCGAGCAAAGACAAAAAGCTATGGAAATATAATAGATATCATAACCTTCCGTGTAAGCGATACCATTGAAATAGTCCAATATCGCACCAAGAAGAAAGGGCTGAGCAATTTTCAGAATAAGTTGCTAATGTGATCGAAAAAATAATTAATATCGAAACTGATCGAAATTAGTTGAAAAAGTGACTCTACTTCATATCCAGCGATGATTATCGTTGAGATTATGTATCTTGCTCCAAACGTTTTGAATATCGCCAATGCCAAATTGGGTTTCTTTTTGTTCAATTCTTTAATCCATTGACTATGATTGAGAAAGACAAAGATAATCAGTCAACAATTTATTTCGATTTGATCCGATTAATTGTTTATTTAGATACTTTGACATCGAAAACATTAATTAAACTAATCCTACTTACCCTTTTAATTGATCTCGTAATTGATCTGATTGATCGTTGACACTCACTTGGTAAATGTCACTTAGATTCAAATCTTTCTTCTTGTATCCAATACGGAATAATGGAAATATCCAACTTGATCAGGTAGATGGAATATTAATCAATAAGTGATTATTCATATAATAATCAAATTTACTCACATGAAGAAAACTTTTTGAAAAAAGTTGCAGTTATCATGAGGAAATGGTCGCTTTAGCTCTTGAAACTCCATGATTTGGATCAGTATTCATTTCGTAATTAATCACAATGTCTCAATTAAAATCTCATATTAGCTAGTTAATTAACTGGATTCAATAAAGAGTAACTTTTTAGTTATGGTAAATCTACTCACTTACCAGGTAAATTGAGTTTCACTGATACGCTATAAGTAATGGTAGCAATTAACAGTTTTCTTATCTTCATCTGATTGGAGATTAGTGATTGGTGATTACTTGAAATCGTAGGAATAACCATTAAGTGCTTCAATCAAGTGATCGATTGATTCAACTCATTATTAGCTTTTTATCATAGAGACTTTTAAGAAACTTCTCTGATCATTTTCTGAAGTTGTCTGGTTAGGCCTCAATCAGCGATTAAGTTGTAAAAGCCGTGATTAAATGTACCCCGTTGAACTTGGTATGATTGGGTTACGTTGATTGACCCATTTCTAATTAAGAGTAACATCGACATGATGTTTGGTCCAAAATTTGGTATGACCGATGATCTGAGGGATATTGGAATTAATAGAGACTTTGGTTTACCTGAAATTGAAACTTGAACCATCAGAGTTACTATTTTGATTGGATTGACTTTGATGATGATGATGCTGCTGGTGGTTTATTGTATTACGATTTTGAGCGGCCGATGAATAAGCTGAACCTGAAGCTAATCGAGTTGGTTGAGGTCGAGGTGTACCTGAAGGTTCAGTGCTCGAAGCTGTTGGTTTAAGAGTTACAGTTGTAATCGGATGAGATGAAGCTGATTCTGGTAAATGAACTTTGGAAACGCTTGGTAATGATGAAGATACCGGCGATTTCTCAGTAATCATTGTTGGTACCGATGTTTTCAATTCTTTGGTCACTTTGGTTGACCCTTTATTATACCGATTGAAAAGTGATACTTTATTTTGTTGCTGTTGTTGGTGTTGATGATTTTGGTGGTTTTGATGTTGTTGTTGGGGTTGTTGAGGCTGATGATTAACTTTAGTTTCCTTATGATTAACATTAGCATTTGCTTGCTTTTTACTATCATAATTAATCATCGGTGTGTTTATCTGTTCGGGTTCAGAGTAATAGGATTTACCAGAATCTGAACCATAATCTGAATCAACATTACCCGAATCGGTACCGTATCCATTTGGATTATAAGCCGCTTCACCCAAATAAGGTCGCCCTGGATCTGAGCCGCCATGGTTAATATAAATCTTTGTATTCTCATAATCATATGGATATTTCATATTTGATTGTGGTGCATAACCAAGCTAAATCATGTTTATCAGCTGATGATAGTCCATCTCCTCTGTGAGGCCAATCAGGTAATGAATATGAAGATGATGATGATAATGATGATATTGGTGTGCTGGTGGTTGTGCTTGTGATGGTCATTGGTGTAAATGGATTCTCAGTAGTTGAACCTAAAACTGTAATCAATTCACTGTCAATTGGTGTTGATTCTTGATGGTGATGATGATGATTATCTTTTGCACTTGAATCGTTATTTTCAGTTGAATTTAATTTCGAGCAAAGTGAATCTCCTGGTTTATCATAATCGCAGGTCATTTGTTTCTGATTAAATTGAGATCGAGGTGGACATACAAAAGTAAATCTAAATCCATTTGTTTTACAATAATGAAAAACTTCACAATTAAAATCAGGATCAGCATAATAAGATTCAGCTCGACCCGAACAATTAAATTTAACTTTGGGTAATATTTTCTGTAATGGATCCTCTTTGTTTCCATTAGTACCACTGGTCAATGATGATGATGATGATGACCCACTGGAATCATTTTCACCATTTGATTTGATTGAATCACCAGAATCACTATTCACATAATTGGGAGTAGTGGTCGATGAACCTGGATAATAATAATGATTTGTGGTCGACGATGACCCAATACTGGACGTTGGTTCACTTGGATCAACATCGTCATGATAAACGGCAGTTGACGATTCGATATCATCCAAATCACTCAATCACTTAAATACAGCCAAAGACTTTGAGTTTGCAACCACTTTTTAAATACTTTACGTAGGTGAATATAATCAAAGAGTAATAAGACTATTATTCTTTGAATATAATCAATGAGAGATAAAGTTAACCCAGAGATATGATAATAAGTATTGTCCACTCATTTAACTGATGTAGTCGCAAAATGGTCAACTGATTAGATATCAAAAGTTATCTTTACTTGCTTATCATTGACTTTGTGAATGTGAAGAGAGTGATTACAAACTCAAAGTATAATTTGATTTAAGAATAAAGAAAAAATTAGTTTGAAAAAAAAACTATTTGAGAAAAAAGGATTCTATTAATGATTAAACATAATAATAAAGAGAGAGTTACCAATTAGTCTTAACAATTAAATATCTAATCAGTTTGATGGTCATTGATATAAATAGGCTAATCCGATAAAATGATTTTGTCAACGATTCAACTCTGTCTGCATTTGTTTGTGTCAATTTGATGATTTGTGATTTTCAATGAGATGAAACTAATTAAGTGAATCAATAAATTTACGTGACGACGAGATTGATTATCAGGTAGATACAATTAGCAATTATCGATATTTCATGAAGGTGTTAAGATTATCACTTTGATTCAATAAATTACAGAATATCGAGTTCATCTGTTCAAGATTGAAAAGCTCCAAGTCCAAGATTGAGATCGAGATTAGAACTCGATCACATCGATAAAGTCGCTTAGTACATGAAGAAGATGAGCCAATACTTAGTCGAAATGAACGCTTACAAATTACTCTCTCTCTCTCTCTCTCTCTCTCTCTCTCTCTCTCTCTCTTCTCGCTCTTCTTATCTTCATGTTTTTCAGATTCCAAAAAATCAAATGAGAACTTGATCAATAGATGGCGAGCTTAGGAAGAAAAAGGTTAAAATAAGTTGGAAAAGTAAGAAAATCTCTTTCATTCATCTTTCTTTGCTCATCTTCATCCTCTCACTCTAACGGTTTCTCATCTTCCTTATTCTCACTCTACTACAATGACTCCCTCAATTTGGTTTATTGTGACAAACAAAAAGTTAACCAATATATAAACAAAAAGTTTTCATCTTATTGTTAACAGTTTCAATTAGTATCAACGTTGATTAACTTTAATCCAGTTAAACTAAATAAGAGAGACAAAAGTTGATTAGTTGTTGATTTACAATTTTCAACCAACACAAAGTATCAGCTTTATAATTATTATTGATTCTGTGAAATTTACGATAAAAGTTTTGACCAAAATTATTTTACCAACGATAGAAAAAGTTAACAATTAAACATTGGAACTTATAATTAATCAAAGGAAATTGTTTGACAATTGTTTGTTCATTAATTACCAAAGGAGAACCAATAAAGTTTAAAGTGATTATCCAATCAAAAGATAAGTAAGTTAATCCTTTTTTCCTTAATCCCAATTCCTTAACTCGAATCATCTTAACGGGATATTAATCATAATTATCAGATTTAAATTTAGACAATTGATTTCATCTAATCATTTAAAATCTATTTTTGTATATTATTGAAAATTGTCTCGATATAAATTGTCACCATGATATTCAATCATTATCATGATAAAATTACTCGATTATCGGTACGATAAATAGAGTAGCTAATTCACCGATTAACCAATACAAGAGGATTAATTGAATCGTCGAGAGAATTACAATCAAATTAAGAAAAACTTTGTAAGAATATTGAAAGATTAAGAAATAAATAGAAATCAAGTAAGAATCAAAATAGTAGAAGAAAAAAAAATTGATTCTAATCGATTGACCTAAATCTAATTACTAAGCTAAATGCATCGTAACGGTTAATCAAGTGAAGAAGCTGCTGATTACTGATGATATATTTTAAAGTGAAAAAAAATCATTACCATTATTATTATTTTAACAGTAACAATTTACTGATTGTGTTCAGTTATAAATAAAAGGTAATATTCAGCTCATTACCAATTGAATATGAGGCTTGGTTGAACTTGTCATGGTAATGATAATAATACAATAATATTATCAAAAAAAAATCGTAATTGTCACTTTACCTTTTGTAAACTGTTGCTGGTTCAATATTGTATATTGATGATGTTCATCATTAATGTGATTAGTTAATTGAGTGAGTTAAATCATTAAATTAAACAATTTTCAATTGGGTTTGGTTTTAACATGAAAGGTTAAGTTTTTAGCTGAAAAGTAGATTGATTAATTTTTTTCTGCGAAAAAAGTTTCCATCTAATTTACACCTTGATTATCGTTCAATAATTAAGATTAATAATTGGATAATGATTAGAGATGATCAAGAATTAGAACAATTAACTAATTACTGTAATTATTATCATCGTTTTCTCTCTTTTTTGGGTTTATTTTTCGCTTTCAAGTTCGAGAGCCGAATGTTCAAAAAGCGAAGTTGACAAAATTATTCTGATTGATTTTCACTCCCGTTTCGATAATTATTCATAATCGATAATCATAATTAATAATAATACGAACAACTTAATTGTTAATTTGTTTTTACTTTAATTCTAAATGGTTAATTTAATTGATATATTTATATTTTCTTCTTTTGCTCTCATATTCTAATTGTTTATTGGCATCAACGATATTTAGATTATATGAATTTGTAACAATTAAACACGATTCAAAATGAGGATTATCCCGTTAATTAGTATTCTTTTAATCTTCTACCTGGATCAAGCTTCATCAGATTATACAAGGGTAAGTAATTACTAAATTAAATTCTTGGATGGGGTAATATGTCATGATGATAATCATGAATAAGATGGAGAGAGAGAGAGAGAGAAGAAGAAAAAAGTTCCAATCTCATCTTAACATTGTTGATAATTTGATAATAATTTAAATGAATGAATTCCTATTATCATCATGGGCATTTCATATTATATGAACAGTTAGAGATTTTAATGTAATCACAATTTGAGAGATTAAATTGTTGCCCTGAAATCTCACGATTTTAAACTTCAATTTGAATCTACAAACAGTTTCCTAAGATTAATGATCAACTTGTTTTCATGATAATTTAAGGAAAGTCTTTGCTTATTGTTATAACGGTCTAGTTACCATCGGTTAATGGTCAAGCGGTAGTTGGATGCTGAACAAAAATGAACAAATTTTAATGTTTTATTTGTAAATAATAATAATAAGCTGTTTGTCCAGTTGAAAAGGGTCAGTTCGTGATTCAATGAGCATTTTACTTGATAATATTTACCTTTAATTTTCAATTTCATTTCTATTATTATTATTAATTATTAACAATATTATAGACAAAATTAATCTTCCCAAATTTGCAAATGAAATTAACCTTGAGATAAATCGTGAATCTCATAGGCTCATCATCACTTGGTATCAGAATTAAATTAAATTAACTTGATAAAAAAAAGTTGACAATCAACAGTTATTATCATCAACATGTAAACCCAAGTATTATTAATCACTTGATAGTTGTAATCTCTTGTTAATTGCTGGTTGATTGTCTTGTAGTAATGATTAAGGTTAATCCATAGGAATTGACCAAATAATTTTAATATTTGATTATTTGATCATTTTGATTTTTGTTTTTGTCAATTGGGTTTGTTGAATGGTTAATCAAACTTCAAGGGCTGATGATTTAATTTAATGGTTAATCTTCAATTGATTAGAAAGTCAATTAACCGGTAAATTGTAATGGTTCAGCATTTGCATGGTTACGATTAGGTTAATAATAGAGATGTTGATTAAAAAGAGATTTATTATTTTAAATGATAATCGTTTTAATCACCACTTGAGAGATAATCTTGACCCAACTCATTATAATTAAATCTTTCAGATAAACAATTAGCCCAAATATTGCTCACAGTGATTGAATTTACCTCCCTCGCTCTCTAAATTACTACAATTAACCGTATTGCAAGTTAATCATTTTCGTTATTGGTTGACAATTTAAACCGGATTCGACCGTTAATTGTATTAAATTTTCTTCTCGATCATTTAATGACAATTAAAGGTCGATCAATGAAAATCAATCAATCCTTTTTTTTTCATCATGTACCTTTTTTTTACTACTTGGAAATCTAATTTAATTGTGCTAAGTTTATTATCAAATGTCTGATGGTGCTAATGATAATTGTTAATGATTAGTGCAAGAATTAAACATAAATAGGTCTCGATGATCACTCGATGAACTGTCCTGTCAACGAATCAAATCAAATTAAACTTCAATGTTTACCGTTTGTTGTTGTTGTTGTTCATAAATTGGATATTTATTTTTACTCACAATCAAGTATCATCATAATGTTCAGTTAACACAACAGTTAAAGTAATCATCTAATGTAATTAGATTTGATTAAATTGTTTGATTGACAGTCGGCAGAAATCACCAAATAACAACAAACAACAATCAATGAAGAAGAAGTAAAAAAGTTTCCATTAAAAAACAATAACAATAATCATCATGATCGTCAGAAAATTAGTATCAACTTTTTGCTCTGTTTTCAATTTGGAGAGAAACTTTTTCCGTTTCAATCAGTAAATCAGTTGAAACCATTACGATTATCATGATGAACGATTTGAAATTAAATTGTTATTAAAACAATTTAGAGAGAGAGATAAAATAACATCAATTGAACAAAACTAATAAATAGCTCATCGTTTACACCAATTGATTATTAATCAGTTATCAATATTGAGATTAATTCTGACGATTAACAATTAATCATTATAATGATTATTGGATCAAGCTTTAAGGTGTGATAATAATAAGACGTAACAATTTGAATTGTAATTGATTGTGACAAAAGTTTCTCGATACCCTCACAAAAAGTTTTTTTTATACCAACAACAACAATTAACTGATTGAAAGTTGAACAATTATGCAAGTGAGGAAAAAAAACAAATACGAATTAAATTCTAATTGTAACAATTAACTGTTGATATGATTTATATTTTTTCTTCTTCTTCTCATTTTGATGATCAATTTAAATTGTCTCAACGTGTTGACCTTGAATACAAAATAATCAACATTCATTAAGCATGTTGGTAATGTTAATTGTTGTTGTTATTGATGCATTATTGTTATACAGTTGCTTTAACTTAAACACAAAATGATTATATTGTCACAATTAATTGTTGTGGCAAAAAAAAAAGTTTATCTTCCGGTCACAGGTAGTTGATAATATTGATTGAAGCGTTAATTATATGCATACAATTGCGATATTGTTTCATATCGAGAGGATTAAAATCATTTATAATACATGAGAAAGAGATGGATGAAGTGAGATGATGATGATGATTTAAACGAGAGAGAGAGAGAGAGAGAGAGAAAATACAGGTAAAGATGAAGATGATGATTGGTAAAGTTGATGGGTTACCCACTCTCTTCCACTCCTCCTCATCTCATCTCAACGTTTCGGTCTCATTCTTGATTTAATTCACTCATCACCATCACCATCACCAGCATCATCATCATCATCATCATCGTTCATCATTATCTTTGTACCTGAATTTTGACTTAGATCACTTCACTTCAGAGTCTAATAAATTTCCTGTGAGATTTAGGTTATCGTTTATATAATATTGAGAAAGAAAAAAAAAGTTATATCTTAACCATGGTTCTTATATTATGATGAAAGCAACATCATTTTTTGTTGTGGTCATTTGTTGTTGTTTATTGTTACTGGTCAGTTTAATTGACGGGTGAGGGTGATGATTATAATGATAATGAAAAGCAAATCCAGGAAAGTGAGAAAAAAATAACATCATGATCAAATTCATGATCAACATCACCTTGAAAACTGAACAGTTTTAATCCATTTTTTTCATTTACTTTTGAAGCCTTTTCTCATAAGATTATCATCACGGTTTTCTGGTTATCATCATCATCAACATCATCTCTCTCTCTCTCTCTCTCTCTTTTGCTCATTGATTAACTGTTTATCATCAACAATTTAGTAATCAGAAAAAAAACCCGGTAACCAATTGAGATTACAGATGAAATTGTTGTAAAAGTTTCTCAAAATTTGAATGATGATGATGCAGAAGCAGTTTGAATGAAGTCACATTGGACTGAATCAAATCAACTAATCTGATCAATTATCATTTAGATTGAAATTTGATCATGATTATTATTACAAATAAATATTATCTTCCAATATATTGATTGAAACAACAGGAAAAAGAGAGAGAGAGAGAGAAAAAATAAATAAATTGATTTAAATTCTCACAATTGCCCAACCTAATTGTTGTATTATTTTTCTTTGATAATCGATGTTATTATTTTCATCATCATCATGTAACCGAAATTGATTGATGTTTGATCGCGATGATTGAACACATTAACTAATCGTGATATGATACTGATGATACAAACTAATACAACTACAGCCAATTACAATTAATATTCCGATTGATTAGAAAATATGAAAAAACAGAAACGAAATAATCAAATAGAACTAAAAAGTTTTTCTAAAATAATCTCTCTCTCTTTCTCGAATCTTTTTTATTTCTTTGATTAACTTGATTGTTACTGATTAATGATAACTATCCATCTATATTTATCTGAGTAGCAATTTCACACCAGATTGATGATTAATAAATCATTTCCTCTTCTATCATGATCATCATAATCACCAAGGTTAACACTCAGATAACATGTATGAACTTTTTTCATCCATCCAATTGTACCGTTTGATTTGTTGTTACTTTTTGTAAAGTCCACACCAATTAAGAGATCCATCAAAAAGTGATGAGGATGATCAAAGGATTATGAGAGAGATATTACTAAAAAGGGATTAGGTGACTTCCTTAAGAACAATTAACGTTTTTAACAGCAGAATAAGAGAGAGAATGAGAGAGAGAGAGAGAGAGAAAAAAGCGAAATCGATTCGAAAACCAATTGAACCAATAAATTTGTGAATACTTTTTCTCCTCAAATCTAATCAACAACAAAAGCATCAGAAATTATTTTAAGATGAAATGATAACAAAAATACACCAATGCACTACCTGTACTCACTGATGATGAGGGTGATGATTGGGATGAGGATGAAAAGGTAAACAATAACGCGAACAAAAAAAGACAAACAAAATTTCAAGCTCAACAGACAGAGTAACGGTAAAAGATGGAGGATATTGGTTTGTAGTATGTGACCTGATAATTGGCGTGTGACAATATATCCGTTTGATTATTCATCCGTTTTTGATCATTGGTGCTTAAAACTTCATTTAATTTAGTAACAATTAAATCAATACTTTTTTTTTCTTCTTCTACTTTTAATCAATTCCATTTAACTGGATACTGATATCATCATCTCAACGCTCATTGATTAGATTTGATTGTTAGCATGAAAGATTTTGACAAAAAAAAATCAAAGAGAAACCAGAAAATTACCAGAAACTGATTAGATAATTAATTGTTAAGACTAATTGGTAACTCTCTCTATCTCTCTCTCTCTATTATGGTTAATCATTGATAGAATCCTTTTTCCTCAAATTGTTAACCTTGATTTTTTCTTTATTCTTAAATGTAATTATAGTTAAGTGTCCATTTGGATGATATCGAATCGTCAACTGCCGTTTATCATGACGATGTTGATCCAAGTGAACCAACGTCCAGTATTGGGTCATCGTCGACCACAAATCATTATTATTATCCAGGTTCATCGACCACTACTCCCAATTATGTGAATAGTGATTCTGGTGATTCAATCAAATCAAATGGTGAAAATGATTCCAGTGGGTCATCATCATCATCATCATTGACCAGTGGTACTAATGGAAACAAAGAGGATCCATTACAGAAAATATTACCCAAAGTTAAATTTAATTGTTCGGGTCGAGCTGAATCTTATTATGCTGATCCTGATTTTAATTGTGAAGTTTTTCATTATTGTAAAACAAATGGATTTAGATTTACTTTTGTATGTCCACCTCGATCTCAATTTAATCAGAAACAAATGACCTGCGATTATGATAAACCAGGAGATTCACTTTGCTCGAAATTAAATTCAACTGAAAATAACGATTCAAGTGCAAAAGATAATCATCATCACCATCATCAAGAATCAACACCAATTGACAGTGAATTGATTACAGTTTTAGGTTCAACTACTGAGAATCCATTTACACCAATGACCATCACAAGCACAACCACCAACACACCAACATCATCATTATCATCATCATCTTCATATTCATTACCTGATTGGCCTCACAGAGGAGATGGACTATCATCAGCTGATAAGCATGATTTAGCTTATGGATTTGAGCCAATTGATTCTGGTCCAAGGCCTTATGGTCATTTTCCAACATCATCATCTTCATCTTCATCTTCATCTTCATCTTCAACAGATGAAGAAGATTTGAATCGAGGAAATTCACATGATGTCCAAGAAACGAGTAAAAAACCTTCGTTTGCCGATCCACCGAATGAAGTTGAACATTCATACAAAACTTCATCTTCTTCGTCTAAGTCGAACGTTGATTTAGCTACTGTTTCCACAGAATCGATTCCAGATATCGCAATTTCAAATGGTTCACCAATTTCTCGAGGTTATTCATCACCAATGCCCGATATTCATGAAGACTCAAATCGAGATAATTCAAATTCTGGTGGGTTCAAGCCTTTTTTCTTGGATAAAAATTCACCAGCAGGAGGACCAAGAAAATATTCAACAGTCGCTCCTCCAATTCTTGAAATTGAAGCTGCTGATAATTCAGGAAAAGTTGACCATCCAATTTCAATGACCACAAGCTCATCAATTGGACCAGCTTATTCAACATCATTAACACCAGCATATTCACCACCAACCTCATCATCGTCTTCATCAGCTTTTCACCATCTTTGTCTTCCTCTTCCTCTTCATCACCATCATCATCCTCTTCTTCATCTTTTACACCATCAGTCTCAACAACAACTCCATTACCAACAAGTTTACCGACTTCTCAACCATCGACAATATCATCACCACCTCGATCAAAATATCATTCACTTGATGATGGAAATGATCTTAAACCTTTAACCAAGATTACGGTTCAACCCATTGACTTAAATTACCTCAATTCTAATCGTCAAAAGACATCCAAAGGTTCATCACAGAAAAATGCTCAAAGATTAACACCATTGACATCTAGTGCCTACTATTCACGTCCATTGACCACAACAATGGACAAAGATGCTTATAGCAATAAGGTTATCGGAAACATCGGTGGTAAAAGTAACACTTTAAATGGAAACAATGGAATAACTAATAATCTAAATTCTAAATCGAGAGTAAATAAACCAACAAAATATTCGACCTATTCTTTATTCAATGATAATATACAACGACCAACAAGTCCACATTTATCACAATCAACCAATGGTAAGAAAAATCTACAAATTCAATCAATTTTTTTTTCGAAATTACGAATTCTCATCTAATTGAACTTTGTTTTCTAGTCTCACCAGGCCAGTTATCTGCTTCCATATCATCGATATCATCGGCACCGACCGTTAGCTCCGCTTTCCTGGAAAGTCAAGCAGCTAAATTTGCTCAAATGGCGAAATTAAATCTTGAGAAAGCAAATTCACATCGAGATCCTTTTGGTTTTGATTATTCGGCTCTTTCTCAAGCCGAGGTACCGATTTACAGTCCAATCTATGATTCTTTCCATCCTGGTGGTCAAAGGGCAACATTGACCACAGCTAATTCACAGTTACAAGATAAATTTGTCTCTGAAAAAGAGCAACTTTTCAAGAAACTAAGGTAACAATTTTCACTTCTCCATGTGTCTAATGCTCCATTCATTAAGCTTCAGGGTTTTCCGAAGGTTCCAATGAGACACTCAACTAATCGTAAAGTTTATATTCAAGAGAAAGTCACAATCTTTTGGTTCAATTTACTTATCGGTTGATACATTTTTTTTTAGATCTACAATTAGCGTTAATTGAGAATATTACTTAGCTTTTCTAGTGAACTTTCGTTGTTGTCCAAATCTCGACAATCTATCGTTCGATTCTGTAAGTTGGCATATCGAAATGTAGAACTGAACCAAGTCAACTATTAGAATATAAAAAAGAAAACAGATAAAAGAGATAATCTATTCAGGAGATTAAATTGTGATTTCGCATTCGAAACAATTTAAAATAGTTTTTTAATTTACCACAAGATGGAAACTTGAAGCTTATTCAATTCTAAAAGTAAATTATTCGTACAACAGTTAATTTAAAACTGTTTCGTATCCCAAATGATTGTTAAAGTATTCTAATAAGAGAGATTTGTTTTAATTATTTTTTCTTAATAGGCAACAATATGCACAAGATCAGATTCGTAAGCAATTACATCAATCATTAACTGACCATGTTGTTGGTCAACAAGGTCAACACTTACAACAGCAGCAATCTGGCAACAATGCAATTGGAGGACATTCATCATCATCTTCATCACTATTTCCAATCTCAGGTAAACCAGCATCTCTATCAAATCTGTCACCCGGACCAGTGGTCACACCAAATGTTGGACCAAACATGATGTCGACCGCAGCAAGTTCATCGTTATTACAAATGGTCCAGGGTAATCCACTTATGCCAAGTATAACACTCGATGAAGATGAGGCCAAATATCCTGACTATTTTTACGGACTTCCAAAGTTATCGGTTCTATCCCAACCTCAGTCACTTCCTGGTAAATATCAGTTTAACCTTTTACCTCAAAAATTATCATCATTACAACTTTACTAATCATTTGATTTCTTACCTTACAGGATTACCGTTAGATGGAAACAAAAACAAACTTGGACAACAACAACAACAACAACAACAAGGACAAATGGACGCATATCGATTGCCCATCGGTAAACGACCTGCTAATCCGGTTCAGTCGAGCTCATCTTCTTCCATTGTCTCATCTCTCCAACGTCTTCCATGGTTCAATTCAAAAGGATCTTCACCTTCATCGTTACCGGAAAATTTAGCCGCTTCGGCTTCAAGTAATGATCAAAGTGTCTCATTCGCTTCGTTGTTTGATCAAACACCATCTCCATCAAATACTAATAGTCAACAATCAACCCGAAGAATACCATTTCTATCACAGATAAGCAAGTTTTTCAGCTCAGCTTCGTTTCCCAGGCCATCGAATATTTTCCCACAAATTACCGCTAAATCATCGTTAAACTATCCATCACCCTACGATCAATTGTCAGCAATTAACTCTGGATATTCAAACTTTTTCCAAAACAATGGTAACTATCATCATCTAATTACAACTTAAATCATCAAATATTATGTTTATGTTCATATTAATTGAGACAATTTATATATATATATTTTCCAGGTTTATCACAATCACAAGGTTTGAATTCAGGGTCACTTTTTGGTCAACAATCAAGTCGATCACCTTTGAACATGATGACCAATGAACAATCATCATCTATTTATCAACAAGGATCAACAATGAATAACAATAGACCAACTCAGAAAATAAATCGACGACATTTTTCACCTTCATGGGAGGAAAGTTTTGCTTCCACCTCAATGTTAGAGCCAATTGTTGGATATAATCGTCGATCATCAAATGGACCAGTTAGTTTTGACTATTCTCGTGGACCTAAACCTTTTTTCTCAATTGAATCAGGAAAAGATGGTTGGGCTCCATCGGCACCACTAACTGGACACTCTCACAATCGACGAGAGATTAAACATGAACCGGATACATTTAATCACGACTCTTATCATAATCAAGAGAAACATTCATCACGAAGTAAACGTTCATTACGTTTAACCAAACCCGAATATCGATTCTCATCTCCTTTTAGTACTCCATCATTTTCACTTTTCCCTCGACTTTTTAACGGACTTCGACCTAATTCATTAACCTTCCTAACCAATCCAAATAAATTGGTCTTCGGCGGAGGAATGGGACAAGGTTATACTGCCGCAGCTTCAACATTAGGACCAACTTTCCTTTCACCAAGTTACACACCTTCGATAAGCCCATATACCCAAGGATCTTATATGGGGACAACTTTAAGGCCAGTTTTTACCCGACAATATGATACCACCGGTTACAGTCATTTACCTTTTGCCTCGGTAACCTCACCAACCTTTTCACCTTATGCCTCAAGCGGACAAGCCTCGAGTTTAGGACTTAGTCCACATTATGGTCATCACCATCATCGTGGTTTAAATCTAGAATCACATTTTCCGTTATCTTCATTGACCTATGAAGATGATCTGAAACAACGACTCCTAGCTCAGCCCAAATATCTTCAAACCTTTGACAGGCCAAATTTAAAGGGAACTTCGGGTTTTTATGAGACTGGTGATTTTAATCCTTTGTCCATCGATTTAAATGAATTGAATGAATACGATTCACCGCCAATTTATGAAGCATATTCGAAGAAAAATTCTAAAGATTATGATTCGAAAGATTATGATTCTAAAGATTATTATTATCGACCGGTATCAATGCATAAAGGAACTTCGAAACGTCCACCCAAACGTGAAAAGGTTCCAGGTCATTCTTATCATGATAAATCATCTTCTTCCTCTCTTGAACCAACTCAACATTCATCAAGTCAACATCATCCATCTTCCAGTGGTGGTGATGATACATCTTATTCTGATGCTCCACATTCATCACCTTCATCTTCATCTGTTCACATGGATGATGATTCTTATTATAAGGGTTCGTCAAACTATCATGGTTCAAATTCATATGAACAAGGAACAGATTCAGGTCCAGCTTATATGGACAAGGAAAGAGAGCCCGAAATTTATGAGGATGTAGGTGGACATTCAGAAATGATTTCAGGAGGACGAGGATCAAATGGAGGTTCAAATAGCGGTGGCGATGGTCGTGATCATGGTTATGCTCATCATCCTCATCATCAATCAGGTTACGATTATCATTCTGATGGTAAAAAGTACGATCATTATTCAAGTATTGACCATTATCCTGATGATGGTTATGATGATGGTATCGGTTCAGGAGCAATGGTCAGTGGTCATCATGATGCATCAATTGATTATGGCTCATTGGTGCCACCTTATGCCAAAGAGTTACCCTCTGACCCAAATTCAAAATCATCCTCATCAACCGGTGGTGTCAATTATTCAACAATTTCTGAAATTTATAGACCCTCACTAACTATTCATCAACATCGTATTCACCATGTAACACCTTCACCTTCACCTTCACCCTCATCACAAGATTACCAAGAATCAAATCAATATACTCCAAATGATCAACATTACGTTAAACATGAAATGGTTTCCAATTTAAAACTCGGAAACGGAAAAGGAGACACTTATTCAAAGGGTAATCATCAGGGTAACGATTATATAACCACATCTCAAGGTAATAGTGGTCGACCAGTAGAATCAAGTAATTCAGTTAATCACAAGGAGAATAACTTTAAACTTGAAGTAATCGAAGACGATTATGATAACTCATCACCACAATCACCGATAAGATCAAATAAACAATCAACAGGAAATAAACAAATTGTTTATGATGAACAACAACAATCTAAAAATTATGGTTATGCACCACAATCAAATATGAAATATCCATATGATTATGAGAATACAAAGATTTATATTAACCATGGTGGCTCAGATCCAGGGCGACCTTATTTGGGTGAAGCGGCTTATAATCCAAATGGATACGGTACCGATTCGGGTAATGTTGATTCAGATTATGGTTCAGATTCTGGTAAATCCTATTACCCTGAACCCGAACAGATAAACACACCAATGATTAATTATGATAGTAAAAAGCAAGCAAATGCTAATGTTAATCATAAGGAAACTAAAGTTAATCATCAGCCTCAACAACCCCAACAACCACAACAACAACATCAAAACCACCAGAATCACCAACAACAACAACACCAACAACAGCAACAAAATAAAGTATCACTTTTCAATCGGTATAATAAAGGGTCAACCAAAGTGACCAAAGAATTGAAAACATCGGTACCAACAATGATTACTGAGAAATCGCCGGCATCTTCATCATTACCAAGCGTTTCCAAAGTTCATTTACCAGAATCAACTTCATCTCATCCGATTACAACAGTAACTCTTAAACCAACAGCTTCGAGCACTGAACCTTCAGGTACACCTCGACCTCAACCAACTCGATTAGCTTCAGGTTCAGCTTATTCATCGGCTGCTCGAAATCGTAATACAATAAACCACCACCAGCATCATCATCATCAAAGTCAATCCAATCAAAATAGTAACTCTGATGGTTCAAGTGAAATGAGTTCTTCCACCGAGAAATCGGTCGCAAGCAAGGTCAGTTTATTTAAGAAACAACGACCCGAGTTTACCAAATTAGCATATAAATATAAACCCTCAGCATACCAGCAATCGCGTCGTGAGGCCAATAAGCCGGGTTCGACCTCATCGTCTCCATCATTGCCATCAGAATCTGTACCTTCAATACCAACACCTTCAACTAGTACAACAACAACAACATCAACGACAACAACATTGAAACCCGATACAAGGTACACAGTTTCATCGTTACATTATTATCCAGAAAATTCTGGTCTATCTTCATCATCACTAGTATCATCTGCATCTTTATCATCGTCACCCGCTCAACAACAACACCAACAACATCAACCATCAACCAAATCAAGTGTAGCCACACAATTGGTTGCTACATCAACCTACCAGCCAACCACAGCTCGTAATCATGTAACAACCAGCTCATCGTCATCATCATTATCATCACCACCAGCCGATTCATCAAGTCCAGTGCCAACATCCTTGGGAGATTTAGATTTAGCCTCGTATGGTGTTAGGATTTTCAAAGGGTCAGGAGGAGTTGGAACAACTAAACGACCTTCGGTCAGTGTTAAAGCCTCTTACAGTACCGTATCTTCATCGTCATTACCGCCAGTTAGCGCTTGGAAGGAGAGGAAACGAGATGAACAATCAAAGAAACAGGAACAATATAAGAAACAATTAGTTGAACAACAAAGAGTTAGAGTTCAGCAGCTTTATCAGTAAGTTTCAAAGATAATCAGTTAATCATCATCATCAACATTACGATTCAAATGAAATCAAAATTCATCAAAATTTTCTGCTTATGATTATATGAATGTTCATTATCTTGTAAGGGTCACTCAGTAACTCTCTCATTTTTTCATCGATGGTCAGACATGATAGTTAATCATTTTCCCTGTCAATGAATACAATCAACCAACAGTGTTAACCAGTTGAAACATTTCACAACCAATTTGACCATTTAAATTGTTTGTCTCTCACTCATGTTGACCAATTGAACAACAATTAACTTGCATTTATTTATATTTGAAATGATTTGATTGCGTTGATTTGTTCAAACAAACAATTTACTTATTAACAATCAACAACAACAAGATCACAACCAATACAATAATTTGCTTTCATTATTAATCGAAACAAAACTAAATTAAAAAAGAAAAATAAAATAAAATAATAACAATTGATTGTAATGGTCATCAGAATAAACGATTGACCACAAGAAGAAAATAAAAATTGAGAACTTTTTGGACAAAAAAGTTCACATCGAACTGGAAAATAAAGTTTCGGGAAAAATGAGATAACAATGATATAAATACATCATCATCATGATTTAATTCAGTTATCATGACTTTTCATCACAATTCATGGTTAATAAGAGGATAGAAAAAAATTTTGATGTAACAGTTAACTAATTATTATTGTAACAATTGGAAATTACTAAACAATCAAATTGTACGTGATTTCGATGCGTTTTTGTGAATCGTAATTGTTGCTATTTATTGATTGTCGTAAGTTTATTTATCTATGATCTCCTTTAATAAATGGTAATGATTAACATGATTTAACTAATCATGACGATGATCAGAATCGATGATAAATCAACCGTCATCATTGAGATGGTACCAGATGATGATGATGATGATGATGATGAATTATCATCATTACCCCACCCACAAAATCCTCTCTCCCTTTTACCCTTCAATACCTTAATTGTTGTACTTGATTCACTAATTAACTATTCATTATCATCCATTATTATTGTTATTAAACATTAGAACAATAATCAAACTATTAATAGACAATCAAATAAATGGTTACATTAAATAATTTTCTTCGTACCTGTTGACTCTTGATTGTTTCATCATCATCATCATTTGATTATCATCATCATCATCATCTTGATACTGATGAAGATGAAATTAGTTTTCATGTTGATGTAATTATCCAAATGAACCTGAACCTTGATTTAATTTATCATGTTTGATATAATCAAATAATTTTCCTCCTTCCCGAAAACTGACCACTAATCATTTATGATCATCTTGATAACTAAATTAACTTGATTATGATAAGGGCTACAATTGAATTTCTGACAATTGTAAACAATAATTATCATCATCGTAAACATTACAGTCTAAATTATTGAAAAGTAATCAATGGACAATCAATAATATCTTTGACCAACCAAAACGTATCAATGTTGTTGTTGTTGACCAATTAACATTTATAATCTCTTGATTGTTATAATATTACAATCAACAAATTATTTTATTGATATTTGATTGTTGCAACTGAATAATTATCATGATTTAAATGAAAGATATGAATGAATAAATCTAATTCATATCCTTAACTAATGAGTTATCATGAATAATATTATTCAAACCTGATTGAAAACTGATTAGTTGACAAAAAAGCTTAATTGTTACTGTTGATTGTGTTGATCTTATTGTTAAATTGTTGGCTAAATTGTTATAAACATTCTGATACATATAAATTTTATTAAATTGCTTTTGTTTTCTGTAATTTCATCCTTAATTTTGTTAAATTGTTTATCTTTGATTGTGTCAAATGATAACCTCAATTTCAAACATTATGATTAACCAGAAACTTTGAAAGTAATCAAACAATTGTAAATATTAATTGTAATAACTGTTAAAGTTAACAATTAACTAACCACCACAATTAACAAACTCCCAAATCTACTACAAGATCAACATTTAAATTATTAATTGTGATTAATTAGTTACAATATATAATAACATAGATAATAATAGCTGATTGTTAGTTAATCAACTTGAATCGGTTATTATTTTCAACGTTACAATTAATTGTAACTTTTATTTTTCTTGTTGATTAACCAAAAAAAGTTAAATTGTTGTCTCATTGTTTTTTTAATAGTGATACAAAATATTCATATAAATATTAAACTAAATTAAAACTAATTGTTGTGAGTAGCTTAATTATCAGAATTATCTAAGGCTTAATTGTATCAAACATTTTTAATTCACTTTCAAAAATATTCCAACAATTAACTAATTGTTTGATTCACATAATAAACTATATTTTTGGTTGTAAAAACCTTATGGACGTGCGGATGTTTCGTTAATCAACAATTAGCAAAATGATTAACATGATTAACTAAAAGTTACACGTACCCAACGTGATTAAATATCCAAATTGAATAAATGAAACAATTAAATAGTAAAGAAAAAAATAATTTTCTTAATTTTTTTTTGCTTCAATTACAAACAATTTAATCGGTTGACAAACTATTTATATATTAATCGTAATTCATATTTAGTTAATGATTAAAACAAAACGACATGAAATTAAATCATTTATTATTAGCATTTTGAGACAACAATCAACTAATTAACCTGGTGATATGAGACAACACCTTGATTGTTGGGAAGAGGAAAAGTTAAATTATAATTAACGGAAATATACACAAGAAACAATAACGTTAATCAACATGATTTATGTTGATTACCATTTCAATTAAATAATCAGCTCTCTGATTTGATTAACTGGACACAGGAAACTATTTGATTTACAAATCAGATTGTTAATTGTTACATCAATTCAAATTGTTTAATTGTTACTCCATTTTTCTTCCTGTGATTAATATATTGCAGAAAAATATTAAATAATAAAACAATTAATTGTTTCTCTCTCTCTCTCTATCATCTTTCCAGGGAAGCTAAAACTGGATCAGATGGATCTTCATCTTCAGCATCCTCATCCTCATCTTCCTCATCCTCATCATCATCTTCATCTTCATCATCTTTAACCTCATCTTCAGAATCTAAATTACCTTCAATATCAGCATTAGTCTCATCTTCATCTCCAAGTACAACCACTTTAAAACCTATTCCAAGATATTCAGTATCTTCACACCATCAACACAATCCAAGCAATTCTGTAATCACCTTATCATCAACATCATCACCACGATCATCATCATCATCATCATCAGTAACTTCCTCTTCATTGAGCAAGTTGAGTAAATCAATTAAATCACTGAAATCATTGAAATTGGCCACAGCAACTTCATCTCCATCAACACCTTCAACCCCCATCGGGCCAACATCAACATCATCCTCATCCTCATCCTCATCATCACCATCATCAACTTATCAATCAACAACAGCTCGAAGCAATAATCACAATCATCACATAACAACAAGCTCAAGCTTAAGTTGAAATGATTTAATTTAATTCATCACTTTTGATGAACCAAAAAATTATCCCAAACTTTTAATTGTCTTTACAATCAACAACCAAAAAAGGGAGCGAAAACTTTTGTTATCTCAATACAATCCCATTGATGATTATCAATTAAATGCTCAACAATTAACTGTCAATTGTTAGTAACTAATTAATCATCCGTCATTGGTTTAATTCAATTGTCATGTTGATATAATAATAATTTTGTAATAAATAATCAATAAAAACAAATATCAACTTTAACGTTTCCTTAATTGTTGTTAATATCCTTAAATTGTTGATACTTTTAATATCATAATGATATTTGCTAACTAATTATCATTGATTACCTGTGTCAATCTAATTACTTAATTTACAATTAATCAAGATGATAACAATTATAATATATGAAAATTTATAATTAGGTTGATCAATTTGATTTTTGTTGGGTCATTGATTTGATGTTTTTTTTTTAAATACAATCAATTTTTTTTGCACAATCAACTTTGTATTTAATGATAATAAATGAAACTTTTTTGATTGTTAATATAAATTGTCCACAACTAATTGATTATTTTCTCTAATTTTCAACTGTTAATTTGTGCTTCTTAATTAGTTAATTAATTGAATTCGGATAAAATGATTTGATTCCGTGTGTGTGTGCATCTTTTTTTCTGGTCATAACAATTAAACTAATCAAGATGAGATTAGTTAAGTGCATCAAATAATTTACGTGATGGTTTAATTGATTGTCAGCTAATCGCTTGATGACAATGATCATCATTTTATTTGATTAAGAGTAGATTTACAGATCGACATTGAACTACATAACAATTAACTAATTATTGTATTAACAATTAACGATTTTATCTGCCTCGAATTTGTATTAATATGACAAACAAAGAAAATTGATTAACTCATTAATTTCGCACTCGAATATTATTCAGTATCTTTACAGTCGCACGTTCGTTATACTAACAAGTATAGAAGATGATTAAGATAATTAGAGAGAGAGAGAGAGAGAGAGAGAGAGAGAGGGGAGGTTAAGATAGATTTTGTTCGTTGATTTTTATTATTGTGATTTGTTTAATTAGTCAATCGATTGTTGGAAATAGTCTTATTGTGATGAGGTCGAGATAGAACTGAAAATCGCCAGTAATTCGAGTAACAGTTCGAGAGAAAAGTTTTTTTATGCAAATGAGAAAGTGACTGTAAAAGTGAAATGACGAGAAAGAGACATGATGATAATGAAGATGAGGATAAAAAGGTGGGATCAGCTCACTTAATATTCTCTCTCTTCTTTCCATCAATTTTATCTTGTTTCCTCTTAAATCCAACCTCTTACTCTTTTCATCTCTCTCTCTCTCTCTTCTCTCTCTTATCATCGTCTTCCTCGTACTCACTCTAATACAACGACTCCCTCATTTCGGTTTGTTGACAAAAAAGTAACCAATATATAAACAAAAACTTTTCGTTTGTTGTGAACAGTTTCAATTAATACCAATTCCATGAACATTAAATATATTAATTCAGTTTCCAAACAAAAGTTTACCAGAGTTACAGTTAAAAGTATCTTCTAACTTTACCTACTATTCTGTGATTTTTTTCAACATTTTTTGCTCAATTCGAGCTAAGTAGCCAAAAGGAATTGTATCAAATTATCAACGGAAAAGTGATAATCCAATCAACTGACAAAAATACGTAAGTTAATCATTGACTAATTTCCTTTCAATCCAAACGATTCCTTCAATATCATCAACATAACGTTAGAATTACAAGATTATCTCATATATGACAATCTCATCATTTGAAATCTATTTTCATGTAATTATCTCAGTCTTCATATTGTCTTCATGAGTTTCATCCTATTAATCCCTTGAAGTGTCACTTAGATTAGATCATGATAGTTAATTCACAATCGACTGATTGAATCCATGAGAAAATCACAATTAACATGACAAAAGCATCGCAAGAAAATAATAAAAGAGAGAGAGACAAGAAGAGAATCGAAAAAAATTGATTCTAATCAATTGACCTAAATCTAATTACTAAGCTAAATGCATCGTAACGGTTAATCAACTGAAGATGCTGCTGATTACTGGTGATATTTTGTAGGATACAGAAATGATGAAGAAGATGAGGATGATGATATTAGAAGAATATTTTTTTTCTCTACTTTTTTTCTGTTACAATAAATTCCAAATATTGATCAACTAATATCATCATGAAGATTGTAATGTTTCTCGTTCTTTCAGCTATTCGATGTTACAACTTTTTCCTCTAACTTGATTATTATCAATCGATTGATGGTAATCATCATCATCATCATCATTTATTTCAACAGTTACAATTAAGTAATTGTGTTCAGTTATAAATAATATCAACTCAATACCGTTATTATTATTATTATTGAATACAAGGCTTGGTTGAACTTGTCATGTTGATAATGATAACTATTTTTATTGATATGTTTGTATACAATCATGATGATCATGTTATTAAATCTTAATTGTCACTTTACCCGTTACTTTGATTATTATATATCATTAATGTTATTTTAGTGAGTTATCATTAGTTAACTTTCAATTGGGTTCGGTAACAAGATGACAGTTGAACTTAAATATTGAGTCTGAATACAAAACAAAAAAGTTTGAAAAAGAAGAAAAAAGTTTCGATTTGATTATCAGCATCCTCATCATCATCATCTTGTTGATCGTTATTTTTTTTTTCTTCTTCACCTTGAAGATGATGCTTCAGGATAGACACTTTCATGTAGCTGAAAATATCGAAATCATTTTGATATTTGAAAATTTCCCTTTTCTATATTCACTTGAGAATCCAAATATTGATATTTACAATCACAATTTGAACTAAATCAATAATATTCAGTCATCATCACTTGAGGGTCAGTTTGATGATCATGATTTGCTTGACCAGCAGAGAGAGAGAGAGAGAGAGAGATTAACAAATGAGAATCTTGAAAATAATTAGATTATCAGTCCAGGTAAGAAAAAGAGACAAAAGATGATCAAGATGAAGATGATGAAGAAGATGAAGAGAAAATTTTTTCTTCTTTCAAAACTTTTACCTTTTCTTTTCAATTGAAACTGTCAATCAACTAAATGATTATCATGATGATGACGATGAACCTGAACTGATTAACCATGTTATTAGGTTAGATTGTCTTGTTAACCTCTTGATTGTTGTCACAATTTAATTTTTCTTTCTATCAACTTGTTTATTCAAAGGAAACAACAAGTTGGAAAGAGAGAAACAAAAAATTTAGTTGATATAAATTCATAATTTAACTTCCGTGTTAATTGTTGTTACCTTTAAAATTTGAATAGTTAATCATTGGTAAAACAATATTAATCAACTAATCACCAATTCAATTAGTTTAATTGTCTATCTGTCCAAGTGAGTCTCATAGTCAACAATGGTCACTAATTAAACACAAACAAAACTTTCCAATTGCCTGAATCACAATCAGTGGATTGTGATACTTAATTGTTACTGATTGTGTTAATATTAACCTAATCTAAATAATGATAATTAAGTTTTCTTTTATTTTTAAACAACCGTTAAATTATTATTATTGATGATTAACTAATGATAATCATAATTGTAATTGTAACCCAACTCAATGTGAATATAAGGAAATGATTAATAATCTGACTGATTTAGTTGTGAAAACTTTAATTAGAATTGATTTAAATTTGAAACTTTACACTTCTCTTAATCACAATTAAGCAAGTTAATATCCGGCTAATGTCATAATCAATTGTTAATCATCTTAATCAAATAATTATAATAAAGGGAAAAGTTTCCACTCGATAAATTGTCAATAATCAGGTAATCAAAAAAAGTCAATAAGTTGATTGTTAGGCTTAATTGTAAATCTTATTTAAATTGCTGATGATGATAATGATTAGTTTATTATTTTCTTATCCAATTCAAATTTTTAATCATTTCAAATTATATTATCACATTTCCTTCATAGTTTAATTTAGTTTTGTTAGTCCTTTCGTATCTCATTAATCACAATTTACTAATTGTCTACTAATTACATCTCAATATAAATTAGTAATTGTTGGGAATACTTTTCATGGCTTAATTTTTTTTTTTGATTTACTTTTAAATTGTTGTTGTGATCACAATGATTAAATTGTTAGGAACTCATTTAAATAGCTCATCTAATCATATATTAACCTACTAATTGTTGATATGTACTAATCACTACAATTAAATTACAATATTACAATCAAGTAACTTATTAGATTTTCAATTAATTAATCAACAATTTCCGTAAGTTTAATGCTGATTAAGTTAATCTCAATTTGATTGATTAATCAGATAAGATTTTTGATTGGTGGCTTGATTGTTATGATTACAATTAACTCTCTTAATTTACTTTGATTTGATTGTTAATCATCATCATTATCATCAGGAATTATTAATTTCTTAGTGTTAATCAAAAATTGAAATTACAATTTTTTAATTTCTATCTCCTTAATTGTTTAATTGTTACAACAACCATCCAATTACTTCCGGTCTCCTTAACAACAATTAAAACATAATGAGATTAATGATGTTGATAGTGATTAAGATTATGGTAATTTAAATTGTAAATTAATTGTTACAAAGGTTGAAAGACAATTAAATTATTGAAGAAGCAAAAAAAATCAGATCAAACTTCAAGTTCAAAGATTTTTTAATTGTTTAATTACTTTAATTGGAGTTATTGGAATCAAATTAAGGTTAATCATTTAAATTTCTTCTTCATTCACAATTAATTGAGAAATTTAGTTTTCTAATCATAATAATTAAAGGCTAATTATCAACAGAAAATTCAGTCTACTGATCAGGTTGATTGAAACTTAATTGTTGCCGTTGATTTAGTTTGTTTAACTCTGTCCATTGGTATAAATAGATTACCACCATTACTAATTAATTATAATTATGATTAATTAAAAAGGTGAATAAATTTTAATTGTTAGTATAAAAAAAAGTACAATGAACCTTAATTGTGAACAATTTTTGTGACAATTTCTTATATGTTGAAACAATTAAAATCTATTAACGATGAACAATTAAATTTAATGTTTACCATTACGAGAAACTAAAAACTTTCACTTCTTAATTGTGGACAATGGGAAAGATTTAATCAGTTTTAATTGTTTGGCCTGATTTAGATTGTTATTAGAATCAATTGTAAACAATTTAATGAACTTAAATTTTCATCTATTTGGATATGAAAACAACAACAATCAGATTAACTTTTGATAATCAACGATCAACAATTAAGCGATTATCTTAATCATGATTATGTTGATGTTTCTTGTTTCAAATGAATAAAAAAAAATTGTTAAATTGTTGTTGACACATGAAAATTAAATTTAATTGTTGTCCATCAAGATGAAATTAAAAGTTTATAAATAATTAAAAGATTGATTATAATCTTGATTATGTAGAGATGAGGATGATGATTAAAGTAGAGCAATTAACTAATTATCATCATCACGTTATCAATTGTTTCATAACTTTGTATATGAAAATAGATTTCAATTTTTCCCAGTTGATGTTAATTGTTAACAATTTGTTTTAATTGTTGTCAATATAATTAACACCATGTAATAGTAATTAAAATTGATGCATCTTATAATTAGAGATGATTTAAATGGCCAACTGACCATTAAATTGGAAACATTATAACTACAACAATTTAACTAATCAATTGTTTGTGCATGTTAATTTTTTTCATCATTTCTTTAGATTTTCATTAAATAACAATTAAATTAATTGTTGGTAACCAAAAAAAGGATTAAACAATTAAACAAAAAAACGATGAAGATCATCTTGTTAATCACTATTTTTTCAACCTTCTATTTGGATCAAGCTTTATCAGCCTACACAAGGGTAAGCAATTAAATTTAGTGAATGTTAATCCAGTTGAATTTGGAGTTAATTGTCGGTTAATTGTTATTGTTGTTGTTGTTTTGAGAGTAATTAATTTGTTGTTCTTGGTTTTAGGAGAAAAGGTTGATTCGTTATCCTTTCCCTGGGCCTCGGGCTGATGCAGTTCGTGATGAGAATGCTGAAGCTTATGGTGCAGCATCGGCAGGTCCACTTTCACCTCGAGTTAAACGGAAGCCACAATACGAGGAGCTTATTGATGATTATTCAAAGGAAACTTATTCCCAACCTGCCGGACGATCTAATGCCAGGTCATCTTCATCTGGATCACCAGCATCTTCTTCAGCCGCTCAAACTTACCGACCAACCGTAGCCGATCCTTATGCCGAACAGCCTTACCGATCATCTCAACCTTCCGCTTATTCATCATCGTCAGCTTCCGGTTCCCCTGATTCTCGTTACCAATCAGCTGGTTTTGCTTCAAGATCTTCCGGTGAATCGGTAAGTAAAGAAAGAGAAAGAAAGAGAGAGAGAGAGAGAAATACAATAAGAAACAATCAATCTAATTTATAATTAACATCTAATTACATCAATCATCATTAGTCAACATTCAACAATTTAATGTATTAGTTATAAATATAACACGACAATAGAGATCACAGAATCAAGTTAATTGTGATCAATTTTTAATCTACTTGTACCATTAATAGAAACTCAATTTAACGATTTAGGAAGAAAGTGATTAACGAGAAATGATCAATAACAATTTAGATAATAGTCTAAATGATTGAACAATTAGTCTGATCCTTAATTGTTAACAATCTTGACACTTTTTTTTTATATTCAACGATAATTTTAATCATTTTGATCAATCAAATTTCATTTACATAAAATCATAAAATCTAAACTTTTAATTATTAGTTGATTTGATTCAAATGAAAGATTAACCTTGGCCCTTTAACTAATCCAATTAATTTGATTTTCTGTTAATTGTTACAAGTTTCTTGATAGTGAGAACAATTAACTTTTGCTTAATAGTAAAAGGGGTTTAATTAAAGATTTTAATCCAGATTAGATTATCAATTAAACAACATGATAAAAATTAATAACTTCATTTTCATCATCATGATTAAAAAGATTCATTAACAATTAGAGTAACAATTTAATTCTGTTATCGGATTTTACTACAATCGGTCAGTTAACACAATGGAAAAGGTCAATTACAATTAATCATTATTATCACAATTAAATACATAATTAAATCTGATTGTTGAGATATAAGATTAACCGTAACATGATTTAAATCTGTTAACCTTAACAATTAACATCTCATATTGTGATTTACTGACTGATTATCACTTATTTTTAATCACAGTTAAAGTCTAATGATTATTATTATTACAACAATCAAGATTAACCCGATTAACACTGAGCAAATTGATGATAATCAAATTAATTGTTACTCTAATTGTAAACTTGTTTACTTACATCATAATGGACAGAGTTAATTGTTCAACTGATTTTAATCACTTTCACTAGATAACAATTATAATCAATCAAAGGTTAAAATTGATTGCGGTATTTTAGAATCACAATTGTTATTGAGTTAAATTAACCAAACACAATTAAGGATTATTTATGAAAACAAAATTGATTCAATTTTCAATAACTTAATTGTTGTTGTTAATTTCTGTGGCCCTAATCAAGACAATCAAGTTAATCAAGATTAATGATTAACTCTTATCATGAAGTTTGGGTCAGTTAAATGATAAATAACTGACCAAATGATGAAAAAGTTGATTAAATTTGACCAAGAAAATTAGTCGAAGCAATTTAACATTGTTCACAATTTAATGGTAAATAAATTGTTACTTAATCATTTACAATCTATAATTATTATTATCAAACTTACAGTCAACAATTAAGATGATTTTACAAACTGACCTGAAGGGTCAACATTAATATAATAATCTAATGTCATTAATGTGATGACCTTACGATGACCATTAGTAAAGATTTGATTAATTGTGTTTAATATTTTATAACAATTAAGAGTTAATCATTACACTTCAATTTAAATTAAATTGTCACTTTGGTTAAAAATTAGATTAGGAAAAGTTTTCCCTGCTATTAGTTAACAAGAAACTTTAATTACCTTAACACAAACATAACAACAATCAAAAGTTTTACAGTTAATTGGCTGTTGATTTGTTTGATTATTGTGATTAGTTTAACTCTATCATTGTGATAACTGTGAATTTAATCAATCAATCATTTTTTTTTACAAACACCACGTTGATTATGTTGATTAACAGATTGATTATTCGTTAACTGTGAGATGTTAATTAACTATTAACGAAATCAATAGTTTAAGGTAAGAGTAGGAAGCCGAATACAAGAATAAATTAGAAAAAGAAAAAAAAATTAACAAAATCAAATCAATCGGAAGTTTAATCAATTGATCTCGATCAGTGATTCTGATCAAATATTATCGCTCACTATGGTGGACCATTGAATTGCTACTTCTACTAATTTAACTGGATTGATAATCATAATTGATAGTCACAATTAAATAATAATAGCTGCTGATTCACTGTTAACAATTTAACCTGATTAACGGTTGTTTGGCAGAGTGGAAAAAGTAAAATGAACAGATTAGAAAACTTTTTTTTTCGTCTTCGATTCTTAATCAATTCAATTTCGATCAATTTTTTTTTCTTCTCTTTTTTTTGAGGTTAACTGGTTGATGTACTTGCCACTTAAGGATGATGATGATGTTGATGATGATGATAATTGAGCTAAAATTGATTGTGATGATTTCCTGTTATAATCAATTAAAATTGTGTTGACGATAAATCATAAATTGTAATAGTAAAAACTTTTCGGGTGGAGTTACGAGATTAACGATAGTGAACATTATTTAAACACCTTTAGGACAATTTAACTTTGATTATTGTAATTATTGTTTAAAGGAGTGATTAAGATGATTTAGATAATTTTTCAAGTATTAATAAGGGTAAACGGGTTAACAATTAACAGCAATTAATCGTGAATTAAGTTTTCCAAACCAAATCAAGATTAACTGTTGACCTAAACTTGAAAATTAACGTTTTCCAATCAATAATAATTACAATATTGTGTCTCAAGTGTTTCCTTTTAACAGCCTCAGTTTAATTATAAAATTTAAAAGGCAAGTTAATTGTTTGAAGAAAATGTGAAAAGAGAAAAGAAAAAAAATTAAATTCTAATCACAATTAACATTTAAATTCTAATCAAAACAATAGATGGCGTTAGTTGTATTCTAATTCAGCTGATTGATTGTTGTTGTTTATGTTTATGAGAATCTTTTTGATGATTTAATTGTTTTCTTTGTGTTTCGATGTTTATATTTGATTGAATTTTTATTTTCTTTTCGACAGTATGAATCAACTAACCAGAAACAAGGTAAAAGCAAGGAAGAGGCTGAAGAGGAAAAGAAACCAAGCCGATTAGAGCTTCTTTTGGGTCAATCTAAATTCACTTGTAATGGTAAAAAGGACGGTTATTATGCCGACGCTTCTGTGGCCTGTCAAGTTTTCCATTATTGTGTTGGTGGTGCTAAACACTCATGGCAATGTCCCGAAGGAACCGTTTTCCATCAAGTACACTTGAACTGTGTCCCCGCCAGTCAAGACATTTGCGATCAATCTGAGAAATTTTTCGTCGTCAATGAATATCTTCACAAGGTAAATAATTTTTAGAGAGAGAGAGAGAGAGAGAGAGAAATGATTAGGCCTAAGATTTTTAATCCATTTTCTTGTTGTATATAATTTAGCCAATCGACAATGGAGGACCAAACAATAGTGTTCGATACCATCAAAGATACTATCCAGAAGAATTCCTTGGTGATCCATTAGCCGCTGCTTTCCCCGCTGGTTCAGCTCAATCTTATCCCGCTAAGCCCGTTCCTGTTAGCAATGGCGGTGCTGGTTCATCTGCTCCTCGAGCTCCCCAAGGAAGTTACTCTGGTTCATACGAAGATGATTACAGTGGAGAGGATAATCGACAATCTTCACCTTACCGATCACCTCAACCCGCTGCCCAACCACCTCGTCCATCAGCTCCACGAAATCAACCCAATTATGGCCCATACTCACCAAAACCCAAGCCACAAGGACCACCACCGCCACCACCCCAACAACCATCATACACTTTCTCAGCTAAACCCTATTCAGGATCAGGATATGGTTCTAATCCATCTCGACCTTCATACGCCAATGAAGATGGTCCAAATGAACGATCATCCTCATCCTCATCATCATCATCATCATCACCTTATCGACCAACACCTTCACCTTATTCAGGATCAACTCGACCCTATTCTGGATACTCTGTTGGTCCATCATCTCCACCCTATGCTTCACCCGCTCCCTCATCAAATTACTCACCATACAAACCAGTAACCCTTTCAAGCTCATCACCCAACTATGGATACTCACGATCATCACCTTCCCCATCATCAGTCTCACCCTCATCAGCATACAATCCAAAACCAAACGCAGTGCCACCCTACTCATCATACCCACCATCATACTCACCCTACTCATCAAACGCTTATGGTTCATCAGCCGCCTCAGAACGAAACGTTAGACCTTCATCCTATGACCCCCGAGGCTATTCAGCCACATCAAACAAACCATATGGTTACAGTGGTGTCACTTATGAGGAAGATTATTAATCATCTGCTTCATCAAAGTCAATCCATCTCTTCATTATCACATCTCTTCATCATCCTCATCCTCATCTTCATCCAGCCAAGTCATCAAATTAAATCATTATCACCTCAATCACATCTCATTTTCCCGAATAGATTAATCAAAATCTTCAGTTAAAATTTTTGTACAATCTTAAATTACCTGAAGACAATTAACAACTCTAAATCTCTATAAATTAAGCCTTCATCTCTAAACACTTTTTTTGTATCATCTTAAACATTATCAAAATCAAATACTAATGATGAAAATAATGTTTCATAATAACTTATATACTTTTTTAATTGTAATTGTAAACCATTAAAACTTTCCTCTCTCTCTCTCTCTCTCTCTCTGTAAACAATTAACAAACAGCAAACCAATTAATCCAAATGTAACTTCATGATATATCTTGTAAATGCAAGGATATAATTTAATGAAAAGTTAATTTTGTATCAACCTCACCAACTCAACAATTAGTAAAATTTAAATAATCAATCTAAAAGTTAATTGTAAGAAAATTTCTCGAAACAATTAAAGTAAGTAACACCATCTACCGAGTATAATGAATAAAAGTTAAATCATTTTCCCTTTTCGGTTTCAATTAAAGTAACAATTACAATCAAATTGAATAAATTATGTAAATTATATTGATGATTGATTAACCTACAATTAACTAATAACAATAATAACCTTCAAAAAAAAGGTTTACATTAAAATGAAATTTCAAAGTGAAAAGTATAATTTAAATTTAAACCCATTGAAACAATTTAAACAAATAAAATGACTAATTTAATATACAAAATCAATCAATATATATGATCACCTTAACAATATAATATAACTGAATTAACAGATTATCACATATACAAAATGATTACCAGTATATGAACAAGTGATCAATTAAATTCCCCGAGGGCATGGAAACAGTTATATCACCATTATAATAGGGATAGAAAAGTGAATTAAATTAACTGATTGTTGAACATAAGGTGTGATTCTAATCATGATTAACCTTAATATCTGAAGGTGGATTTATATTTTTTCATAGAGGTGAACACTTGATCTCCTTGATTGATATTGACTATCAGATTAAAAGGTTATCATTTATCTGGATCCGAGTAAATTGTTGACAGGGATAAATGGTAACAACAATGAGACGACAATAAGTTTATCTTAATCCAGAGTATTAATACTTGTCCATATTAATTGTATCACTTTGATAGTACAAAAAAAAAGGAGAGAGAAAAAAAATTGAACAGTAAATGAACAATAAATCATTCATTGGATTGACTCTGTCTCTTTATTAACATGATCATTATTAACCATTTTTTTTTACTCTCTAACAATCAACTAATAATCAAGGTAATAGACTGAAAATAACATGGATTAAGTTTGTAAATCCTTTCTCTCTGTGGATATAGATATTCATTAGATTGATCCATTTCCATTTCCACCTTCACCTTTTTTCCGACTCTGAATTTTATCCTTAATCAATTGCGCATTTCCATTAATCTTAATCCTCCTTCCTTATTGTCCACTCTCTCTCTCTCTCTCTCTCTCTCTCTGTAAACAATTAACAAACAGCAAACCAATTAATCCAAATGTAACTTCATGATATATCTTGTAAATGCAAGGATATAATTTAATGAAAAGTTAATTTTGTATCAACCTCACCAACTCAACAATTAGTAAAATTTAAATAATCAATCTAAAAGTTAATTGTAAGAAAATTTCTCGAAACAATTAAAGTAAGTAACACCATCTACCGAGTATAATGAATAAAAGTTAAATCATTTTCCCTTTTCGGTTTCAATTAAAGTAACAATTACAATCAAATTGAATAAATTATGTAAATTATATTGATGATTGATTAACCTACAATTAACTAATAACAATAATAACCTTCAAAAAAAGGTTTACATTAAAATGAAATTTCAAAGTGAAAAGTATAATTTAAATTTAAACCCATTGAAACAATTTAAACAAATAAAATGACTAATTTAATATACAAAATCAATCAATATATATGATCACCTTAACAATATAATATAACTGAATTAACAGATTATCACATATACAAAATGATTACCAGTATATGAACAAGTGATCAATTAAATTCCCCGAGGGCATGGAAACAGTTATATCACCATTATAATAGGGATAGAAAAGTGAATTAAATTAACTGATTGTTGAACATAAGGTGTGATTCTAATCATGATTAACCTTAATATCTGAAGGTGGATTTATATTTTTTCATAGAGGTGAACACTTGATCTCCTTGATTGATATTGACTATCAGATTAAAAGGTTATCATTTATCTGGATCCGAGTAAATTGTTGACAGGGATAAATGGTAACAACAATGAGACGACAATAAGTTTATCTTAATCCAGAGTATTAATACTTGTCCATATTAATTGTATCACTTTGATACTACAAAAAAAAAGGAGAGAGAAAAAAAATTGAACAGTAAATGAACAATAAATCATTCATTGGATTGACTCTGTCTCTTTATTAACATGATCATTATTAACCATTTTTTTTACTCTCTAACAATCAACTAATAATCAAGGTAATAGACTGAAAATAACATGGATTAAGTTTGTAAATCCTTTCTCTCTGTGGATATAGATATTCATTAGATTGATCCATTTCCATTTCCACCTTCACCTTTTTTCCGACTCTGAATTTTATCCTTAATCAATTGCGCATTTCCATTAATCTTAATCCTCCTTCCTTATTGTCCTCTCTCTCTCTCTGTCATGGTCACTCTATCATCTTGGTGATGATAATGTAAAAAATTGAGTGACTTTTTTTCCCTCTCCTTTATTATCATCATAAGTGTCCCCGTTGTGAATCTGGGAACAATTAACTTTAATTGTAACAATATTCATCTCCATTGATTAGGCATAAATGATTGGAAAATGATTATAATGATTACAATCATTTTCCATCATTGGAAAAAGTAAATCAACTCAAGTTTAATTAGTTCCCAATCAACATGGTTAATAAGATGATTGACTGGATTAGTGATTTTATTAGAGCTAAATAATAATAACCTTTACAATTTGATTAACAATCTAAATCATTTCATTGGCAATTTTTTCATTTCCCAAAATTCCCATTGTTTATCCGATAATTTTTTCCTCTATCAACATTATCATCACAATCATCTTCATTGATAAGATTAATACAAAATGATGATGATGATCATCATCATCATGATAATCTCAATGAACCAACCATGAGTTTCAATTCAGTTTGACTCAATTTCCAATATTAAATGACAATAACAATTTCATGATAATGTTGATCATTCCCATTGGAATTACAGTTTCATGATATTTTTATTGCATCAATTTCATCTTATCATCATCATCATCATCATCATCATCCTTATCGATCCTATTATAGGAGATGATGAGGATGATAATCAAGATGATGATAACAATGATGATTTGAACCTAGAGTATAAACTGTACGCATGATTATCAAAACGATTGTCAATCTAAATGATAATCAATTGAAATTAGATTAACAATCAATCATTCATCTTTAATGAAAGGTAATAATTCAATTATAATGATCATGATTAAAGTTAATTGTGTTTTCCAGACACAAATCCAATAACTTTTATCACCAAATTGTTAATTGTGATCATAATGGTCAACCATTTAACCTGAAGTAAAGTTTTGATTTAATTTTACCTTGAAATTTATATATTAATAAATGTATTTGATTTTTTATTGAAGCAATTAAGAGCTTTTAATTGTATTGTTTTAACTTAATTGTGAAAGTATGGGAAATTAATTATTCAAATAGTTAACAATTAACTACAATAATCATCATTATTATCAAAGGGATTATAATCAATCAACTGTTGAGATTTTAAATGATAATTACCTTCAGTGAATTACTCTAATCATTACAATTAGTTGATTAAATTGAATCAAATTTCATTATTTCAATTGATTATCCTAATCATCATCATCAATTAAACAATTATCATATTGTTATATTGTTTTGTTATAAATCAACAATTAACTTAAATTGTTAATCAAATGAATTTCAATTGTATCTCAAACTTGAATCCATATTCATTTGATTAATTGGATAATAAACAATTTTACAATTAATTTAAATTAAGAATAGGAAATTTAAATTTAGCTAGAAACAAATATATTCATGTTAATTGTTATCTTAATCATATTGTGTATTGTACATATTATATTGTTGATTGATTATATTTAATTTTATATATAAATAAATGCTGATGGTAATCAATTGATTGTTATTGGCTAATTTTATGTAATAATTAAATTTACAATATATAAATTCAGTTAACTATATATGGTTATTTATAGACAGGAATCAATGTTAAATAACAACAACAATTTAAAATTGATTATGATAAATGATCGTTTATGTTAATTGTTATAACCAAATCAAGGGAATCAAAATTGTAAACGTATTTATAATTCATACCAATGTGTTAAAATAATCAATACTCTGTGGTTCAATATTGTACAATTAGTTGATTGTTATTACCTTTTAGATCAATTATCTTTTAGCAATTAGCCCATTTACCATTTCAAATTGAAGTATAACAATCAGTTGATTGTTGAACGATTGTTTTTTTCAATATTTCCTTGTAATTGGTTATCAATTTCATTTTTATTCTGAGCTCAATTCTGATTGTGATTAAGTTTCATGTGAGTTTCATTCATGATACTCAATTAATTGATCATGAACTAATCGTTACTGAGAACTGAGGATGAGTATCAAATTAATTAGGTTAAATTGTGGATGATTAGTTGATTAGAGTGTTAATTGTTTTCTCTTCGTCTTGATTGGTGAATTTTGTTATCGATTTTTTTTTGCTAAGTTTCGAATTTTAGATTTTTCTTCTTCTTCTTGTTTACTCTCTAGGAAATCGATTTTTTATTCGATTATCGATATCGAATTGGATTAGAACTGTTTTAAAACTCTCATGTTAACATGAGCCCATTTTACTCAAACTACAGCTCATGGATACATATAGTTGAAACTGTTCGTGATTGTGAAGGATTTGCCATTCAAATAATTGATTTACTAATTGTGTCAACTGATTTTCTTGTTTCAATCATCATTTACTAATAAACTATAGTTTAAAGTGAAACAATTAATAAAAATGGGCAAAGGACCAACTAAAGGTAAGAACAATTTAACTTTGATTTTACAATTTGCGATTTGTATTAATATTATTCAAGTAATTCAACTTTAATTGATTAATTAATAAGTGAATTAGTAAGTTGATTGATCTACTTTGAGTTAATATTGTGGAGTTAGTCTTTGATTTTCTTGGTTCGTGATTTAGATTGAGATTTGTGTTAATTGTTTTAACAATTGAACTATACTTTAATTGTTTTAATTGTTGTTAATTCTCTTGTTGATATGATCTTAATTACAATTTACCTGAATTAAGATGAATTATCATTCGTTTCAATAGTTGACCAAACATTTTGATGACATTATTATTGTCAGTAAACTTTTCTTTACTATTTACCAACAATTAAGGTAACAATTTGTTGATTGTCGTTTGGTTTTTTCTGTTTACTATTTATACAGAAATTATTTATTTATTTATTTATTGTAAATGATTAAAGACAAATAGGTAATCATTGTTATCGTTGTTAAATGTTAACATAAAGGTTTAAGCTTCGTGTTGATGTAACATGAAAAGGATAAAGGATAAAGAAGATGAGGAAGAGGAAGAAGAATAAGAGGAAGAAGAAGAAGATTAATAAAATTAAAGGTGAAATGGATTAGGAAGATTAATCCGAATATCAAAACATATGATTTTTAGTTTGTTTGGAAATTTAATTTTAAATATTTTTCTCGTTTCTTTCTAGTCGGACAATCTCATTTTATTTATTTGTCTTCATTTATTATCAATTAGTGATTAAGATATTTTTAGACTATATTGTTGTGTAATATGATTGTATTATCATCTTTGTCCACTAATCAATTGTTATATTGAGATGATAAAAAGAGGAGGCGGATAATAAGGCGGAGATTAAGGCAGAGGTTAAAGATGAAAATGATGAGGTTAAAGGTGGTGATGACGGTGATGAGGATGGAGATGGTGATGTGATGTTGGTGGTACTGGTAATGTCTATGTTACCATTACCATTGGTATTACCATAACTATGACCATTGTCAACGATGTTTGTGGCCTCAAAGGTACAAAAGGCCAAAGGCACGTGAGTGAAAAACAAGTGATATCAATAAATAGAGAGAAAAGTTTATTTTCTGTTTCTCTTGTCAATCAGTAAAAGGGATTGATCGTAATAGGCCAATTAAATGAAATACTAATAAATCTTAATTTCAACAAACACATAGACTCACACACACACAGAGAGAGAGAGAGAGAGAGAGAGAGAGAGAGAGAGAGAGAGAGAGAGAGAGCACACATACATATCAATATAGAGTAATGATGATAATAATAAGGTAATGAATGAAATGAAATGAATAAAAGTTGACCAATATAAAAACGAAAGTATTGATTACTTAATTTAAAACTATTGACCATTTCGCTGCTTGACCTTTGCAATACAATAGTTTTATCCACAAAGTCAAATCATAGTAAATTTCAGTTACGATGAAATTTACATTCTAATTGTTAGATGATAATTGTTGCTACTCATTCATTGTTATCTAAATCACTGATTAATTTCATATTCTTATAATCAATGTTTCGATTTGTTGAGATTAAGGGAAACGTACATCTAAAGTTTCTTTCAGCAATTGATCATGTCGATATTTGTCTCGATTAGCAAATAATCGGTAGCTCAATTAGTGCAATTAAATTTGATTGTTTTATATTGTATTACGAATCATCGATATGCAGCAATCAAATAGTAACAAAGTTTCTTCCGCCTTTTTAACAAATACGTGTTAAAATTGATTCTCTTTGAACTTTATTTTTTTTTCTTTCTCTCTCCAAATGACCGGATATTTATTTAAAAGATGCGGTGATTGAGAGATGATGATGATGATGATGAGTATCATTAACATCATCTTCTCCTCTATTATCATCATTATCACTTTGAATCCTAGTGAATATTAGCTTGAGACTTGATAAAAGCATCACTTTGGTGTAAAATTAACAGGGATGAAGATGAGTAAAGTTACTTATGATGATGCAAAGAAGATTAAAAGTGATAAAGATGATGATAAAGATGATGATTAGATTAGGTTGTAATGTGATTAATGCTTACAAAATGATGGAGAGTTAAATGTTAAGCCGGAGCGAAATCGAAACTCCAACTTAGTAAAAAGTTTTGTCTTCCAGAGAGTAGTGGGAGTCTCATCTTCATCCTGTCACCCAATCATCATCATCATCATCATCATCACCAACAGCATCTTTCAAGACTGTAGCTAATCAACATTTTGACAGAGATAATTTTTCACTAAGTAGTTTGACAATTAAATCAATTTGATTGTCGTTTAAAAAGTGATCATCACCATTTCTTTGCAAAAAAAACGTTTAACAGTTTAAATCAATTTCCGGAATGTTTGAGAAAATTGCTTGTCTTTAATGACAATTAGAGTAACAATTAGCAGTTAATTTAAGAACACTTTAATCTCTATATGTATGTAATCGATGACAATCAGTTAATTGTTTCTATTTTCGTATGAATCTCTCGTTTCTTTTAAATCGGTTAGAAAAAAGTTCAACCAAAGGTAAACACGATTCAAAGGATAAACAATCGGAATCGACCACTCGACGGTATCGAACTGCGTTTACTCGTGAACAATTAACCCAACTCGAGAAAGAATTTATCAAAGAGAATTACGTTTCGAGACCTCGCCGATGTGAACTCGCCGTTTCCCTCAATTTACCCGAATCTACGATTAAGGTTTGGTTCCAAAATCGGAGGATGAAAGGTAAAGAATTCGGTTAGCATTGAACTTTTTTTTATTCTTTTTTTTTCTCGCCTTGCCAATGTTTCGATTCAGTTACGAATTTACACTTATCCTTATTTACGATCATTCGTCTCCCCCCTTCAAATGTACAATAGATAAACGTCAACGAATGCAATTGACGTGGCCATACCCCGCCGATCCTGCTATCGCTGCTTATATACTTGCGATGGCGGGAATGATTCCCGATCAAGCGCTTTGGATGCGAGCATTGGGCTCAACTTATCCTGGAAATCCTTGTATGATGGGACTTCGAGGTTCGACCAGTGGTTCACCTCCCGTTACAATTGGACCAATAACAACACCGCCAACCTCAACAACTCCTACAACAATTAAAACTGATTGTTCATCTTCATCCTCATCATCACCTAATCATCAACACCTCCAATGGAAATTTGATAAAATTTCAACAAATTTCTAAATTTAAATTCTAAATTGTCTCATCTCAATAATCATTATAATTATATAAATTATTATCATCATCTCATCATTAATCATCTCATTACTATTAAACCATCAATTATTTAACCGATTAAATTAAAAATAAATTATTGATTAATACACGACCGTTAATGGTCAATGAAAAAACTAAAGTTTAACTGGTCAACTTTTTTATTTCCGCCTTTCAAATCAACTGGTCAGTTGGTCAATCAATTGAAAAACACTGACCTTTGACCGAATATCTTTTCTAATGGTTTCACCTCTGTTGATATTGATTGGTCACAGAAGCTGAAAAGATAATCAAATCAACAATTTAACCTTAACAATCAACTTAATTACCTCGGGTCAGTCTCTTTTTTTACTTTCATTAATAATTTTTTTTTTACTCTTCTTTCAAAGTAAACAAACAATTTACTCTTACTTTTTGTAAGTGATTGGTCAAATGTCCACTATCGGGTCCATACCCTTTTTTTACATGTTACCCTTTCACTTTGTACTAAAATAGACCAACAAGTTGAATCTATTTTTGAGCTTGACCATTAAGGGTTAATCTATTAACATTTGAGCTCCAGTGATTTCCACTGGTCAGTGTTATAAAAAAAAGGTATATAAGAATATGTGTCCACTTTCACCGACTGGACAGTCAAATATTTCTAAAGGGAAAGTTTCGGTTATGTTGACAAAAAAGTTTCCATTGAAAAAAAAAACTTTCTCTCATAAAAAGTGATTATTTTTAGCTCGAGAAGAGTCAAGAAAAAACATCTTAATCAGTTGATTGCAGTTTGTAAGTTGAAACTACAATTAAGCTTAATGATTAGCTGATAATGGGAATGTTCATAATAATTGATTTCAATTGTGACAGCAAAAGTAAAAAATGATAATTACAAGTGAATATCCGAATATGTGAATGTTAATTGTTCAAGATAATTGAGATAATTTCTAAAATTACTTAATTCTTAAATAACTAGATTAGTTTTTCCTCTGATTAAATCACTGGAAAACCAAAGTCACGATTAAAACTTTATTGGTAACATCTTAATGACCAATGTTTGTGTCTGCTGCCCGTTGGTCAATATAACTTTTTGTTACTTTTTCACAGCTATTTTTTCATTGTATTGCAAAGGTCAAGCAGCGAAATGGTCAATAGTTTTAAATTGAGTAATCAATACTTTCGTTTTTATATTGGTCAACTTTTATTCATTTCATTTCATTCATTACCTTATTATTATCATCATTACTCTATATTGATGTGTATGTGTGCCTCTCTCGTACTCTCTCTCTCTCTTTCTCTCTCTATATGTGTGTGTGTGAGTCTATGTGTTTGTTGAAATTAAGATTTATTAGTATTTCATTTAATTGGCCTATTACGATCAATCCCTTTTACTGATTGACAAGAGAAACAGAAAATAAACTTTTCTCTCTATTTATTGATATCACTTGTTTTTCACTCACGTGCCTTTGGCCTTTTGTACCTTTGAGGCCACAAACATCGTTGACAATGGTCATAGTTATGGTAATACCAATGGTAATGGTAACATAGACATTACCAGTACCACCAACATCACATCACCATCTCCATCCTCATCACCACCGTCATCACAATCACAATCATCATCATTGTCATCATCCAAATCATCACCACCTTTAACCTCATCATTTTCATCTTTAACCTCTGCCTTAATCTCCGCCTTATTATCCGCCTCCTCTTTTCATCATCTCAATATAACAATTGATTAGTGGACAAAGATGATAATACAATCATATTACACAACAATATAGTCTAAAAATATCTTAATCACTAATTGATAATAAATGAAGACAAATAAATAAAATGAGATTGTCCGACTAGAAAGAAACGAGAAAAATATTTAAAATTAAATTTCCAAACAAACTAAAAATCATATGTTTTGATATTCGGATTAATCTTCCTAATCCATTTCACCTTTAATTTTATTAATCTTCTTCTTCTTCTTCTTCTTCCTCTTATTCCTCTTCCTCATCTTCCTCATCTTCTTTATCCTTTATCCTTTTCCATGTTACATCAACACGAAGCTTAAACCTTTATGTTAACATTTAACAACGATAACAATGATTACCTATTTGTCTTTAATCATTTACAATAAATAAATAAATAAAAATTTCTGTATAAATAGTAAACAGAAAAAACCAAACGACAATCAACAAATTGTTACCTTAATTGTTGGTAAATAGTAAAGAAAAGTTTACTGACAATAATAATGTCATCAAAATGTTTGGTCAACTATTGAAACGAATGATAATTCATCTTAATTCAAGTAAATTGTTAATTAAGATGATCAACAAGAGAACCAAGACAATTAAAACAAATCAAAGGACGATTCTCGGTTTGATATTAATCTCGGTGATAAATTGAATTTTGATTGAAATTAAGGATCAAAATTGATGATTATCGGTTAATATGATAATCTAAATGAATGATGAAAATTTCAATTCAAATGAAAAGAATATAATAAAAAAGTAGAATCAATTTAAATCTAAATTAAATCAGATTGAAATAGGAATAAGATTTCAGGAAGATGAAAATTGTCAGGAAAATCTCATGAGATTTTTTCATCTATTCTCATCGGAAATTCATCTTCATCTTTATATTTGATTATCATCATTATCTCACCTTCATCCTCATCCACATCCACATCCTCATCCTCATCACCTTATTATAGATGAGCAACTAAATGTTTACCTATAAAAACAAGGATAAACTTGCTGATGATGATTCAGGAAGAGGAAGACAAGTGATGACAAAAGTTATCATATAGGTGAAGAGGATAATGATGATATATATATTGAGAAGATGATGATAATCTCATTATCATCATCATCACCATCGACATGATATTGATCAAGATGAAAAGTAGGAGGAAACAAGAATAGAAATCAATGAAAAATAGGAGGAGCAAAAAGTTTATTCTGATCAATGAAGAAACAAAAAAGTTTGGACATTTTGATTGACCATCAACAAAATTATTATCATCATCATGATGATGATTGCAAAGTAATTTATGTCAAATTGGTCAAGATTGATGATTGATAATCATCATCATCATTTATTCACTTGATTATGATTGTTAACAATCAAGATAATGATACATGATTCGGATCATCATCGCAATTTGAATTACGATCACATAATTTATTTATCTTTGATTAGTTATTATTATTATATAAGATTTTAGGAGTTGATTGTGTTCATTAGTTAATCATCATGATGGTTTGTTGATTAATTTAATTTAGTTTGCCTGAATCGTTTGTTGATTAATCTTTGCTCATTTACATTTTCTTTGTCTTTATAATCCACAATTTGATAACTAATTTAACAACAATTTAATCTGATTTAACATCCAACTGTGATTAACTAATGAAAAAAAGGTAAAATCAATAAAGTACCTTAATAATCAGTTGGATTAATTAATTGCAATTTATTATTATTACTCTAGAGAGTAATCAAAGTGTAATCAATTGTATTTAGGTAATAATAATGTTGATTATTTAATTCAGTCTACAAACAATTAACTTTTATTTATATTAATCTGATTGGGTAAAAGGTAAATATCATTATCATTAAATGAATCACAATCAATGGATTGAGAATTGTGAGTCTTACAGTTAATTAATCACAGATTTAAAGTTAATTTGGTTGATCAATTCAATTTTCAATAATAATCATCATCACTATTTTCATGGGGATTAGATGAAATCATTTGATGGGTAAATTAAATTAAATCAACTGATTCAACAATTAATTATTACACCTTAATCTTGATAAGTAATTGTGAAGGAAAAGAAAAGGGATTTAAAGATTATCTTTATCGTATTAATGATGAAACAATTAAATCACCTAAAAGCAATCAGGTAAATAACAATTAAAGGTAAACCAAAATAAAAGATAACAATCAATTGAGATGATCAAGAATTGACTAATGGTCAGTTGTAGAGGTTTTTTTTTACTGGACAAATGGTCAAGTGTAATCACAAATATGATGATGATGATGATGAGTAGGAGAGAGAGACAAAGGTGAAGATAAAAAAAGGTTAAAGGTGGCAAAGGAAGACAAAAGGTCAAGAAAGGTATCATATGTGATAGCCAGTAGGTATTGGGTGTCCAGAGGAAACTTTTTATAACCTGACCTAAGGTGACCATTGGAAATTTGAGAGAAAAAAACAATTTTCTGATGAGCAATGAAAAGATTATAACGAAAAAGGTTCAATAAAAATGCTTAACAATATACTCACTATGGGCAAGAAGATGATGCGGATCAAGATGAAGATGAAGATGGTGATAAATTTTTAGTGGGTGCAATCGCCATTAAGATTTTTCCATCTTCTTTTTTTTTGTTGCAAACATCAACAAGACGAAGAAAAAAGATGAGCCACCCTGTTGACTCTCTCTCTCTCTCTTCCTATCATCATCATCATCATCATCATTATTATTGTTATTATTACTACTACGTTTATTATTGGCCCTGAGGCGACATTAGGTCAATATAATTGAACAGTAACTAACGACACGAACAATAAGCCGCGAAAACAAAGGTAACAGGTAAGAAATAAATTATCGTCCTAATGTTCAACAACCATTGAAACAAATTCGTTGTTTTTATTTATATTGATCTCTTTTTTTTTGTTTCCTCGAAACTTTTAAAACTTTTTTTCGTGTAAATTATTTGTTAAGGCAAATTATTATTATCGCTCATTATTAGGGTTTATTGGTCATTAATAAATTGTTAATTTTACTAATTAGATTTTAACCTTAATCATTGAGAGTATTTGAGAGTTGAGAATGGAAATTGAGTTTTCCTATCAATCGGATTTTCGAGTTTTGGAAAAGTTTTTTCTTGGTTAATCTAATTTATATTCCAAGGAAAATGATTACATTTGGATCAATAGTGATTACGATCAGTTAATCGTGATGATCATCATGATGAATCTCATGTTGATAATTTATGTGATATGTATAAATAAATTGTTGACAATCAAACGATTGTAATAAATGAAACATGAATGATTCAAATATAATCATCAACAATTTATCTTCAATCATTGGTTATCTCTTCTTGATTATCCAGTAACCATTGAAATTATTATCACAATTAAGGTTAAATTGTTGTTTAAAGGATGATGATGATGATTATGATGATGGGAAAATAAAGTTATTACATTTTAATATTATTATCAAGATGATAATCAAATGGGTTGATTGTTGATAGTCAAAAGTTAACTGTTCATCTTTACCAATGGTTAGAAACAGTTTTCTTTTTATCATCATCATTGTTATTATCATCATCATCATCATTGAGAGACACAAATTATCATCAAGGGATCCGTGTAATGGTGTTTATAAGGTCACAATTGTTGGTAATGTCCGTTTGTGTCCAGTGATTATCCGGAACCAATTACGATTCAATGGTGATCAAGCGAAATTGTCAAAATATTTTGACTTGAGAAAAAAACTCCTAATGATAATATTTATCATTTCTTTTGTTTACTTTAAGAGTTGTTGATAATCATCATCATCATCATCTTTTCTATCATCAGCTGACCAATGGTCAAAGTTAATCCAATGTCACGGTTTCCAAAATCCCTCAAGACAATTTAAGGGGTAAACCTATTGACTTTTATGTTGGAAAATTAACAAATTAATGGTTAATTTTTTTTCTTCTTCTTCGTGAAGAACTTGAAAAACAAAAGAAAATTGTTTTTACTTTTTTTTTCGTCTCATTTTCACCATTGATGATTTTCTCTTCTATCTCTTGAGATTGACCAATGGTCATTTTTTTCTTCTCTCAGGTAAATATTCATTTTCTTTTCTTATCTTGGTTGTCTTACCTGGTTTTCTATTCTCGTTTTTTTGTTTGTAACTTTCTTTTTCTTTACCTCTTGTTGCTGTTGTTGTATAGTTGTTGAGTTGAGGTCATAACTCATTCGTATATTTATGTAAATATGATAATCATAAGCAGTTGTGGTTTTCAACTTACTGACCTTTAGCTGTTGAAATGTTGACCGCAAGAGATGAAGTCAAAAAACATGACAATATTTTTGACATTTATTATGATGGTTTGTGGTCAAGGCTTTTAGCAAAAGCGTGTCTCTGGGATCAACTGAAAGAAAGGGTTAGAGAGAGAGAGAGAGAGATGACCACCATGAATGGACAAAGGTGGACACAATATTCATGAATTATCACTGCAATTGAATATTGATTACTTGTCAATTATCAGAATATATAAAATATTTGAAAGGAGCATAAGGAGATGGGACAATATTTTTACACTGAGTTGAGTTGATGAGTACAAACAGTGATGTAGGTAATGATTAAGGTAAAGGAAAACAATATTATCAATGATAATCATCACCAGTAATCATAAATTCAAATTGAGTCAAAAGGTGTACGGAGTAACCTTAACACTAATGAATTATTGCCTTACAAGAAATACTTGCATTGACATAATGACAATTTTTCTGTTGGACATTATTGTCATCATATTGTTAGTTATTGGGATATCATCATCATGATTATTATCATAATTATTATCATGATCACAGTTGGTGTTGTTGTTTTGGTTTATTGTCAAACCAATTGTACCACCATGTTTGCTTATCCAAACTGGACGCTGGTCAATCACTGGCCTCAACTTTGTGGTCTAAATTTGAAGAAAAAAAAATTTCTCTATATTAATTATGTATGTAAAGTCACTAATTAAAAGCTACATATGTTATTGTTTTCTTTTACCATTGGAAAGTCTTGATGATGATATTTGGGGAACAAATTCTGTTGGTGTTTGGTTAATTTCAATTTAGCTTTTGAAATTAATTGAATATGAACCAGTATCAGGATTTTTAATCATTTGGAAATTATCGGTTGATAGACCGAATTTATTGAGAACAACATTACCGATGTCTTTCAATTTTCCAATCATCTCATTTTTCATCTGTTCGTTACGTTTGTCAATCTCTTCTTTTAACTGGTTAATTGCTGGATAACATTCCTTGATTGTTGGATCAATTTTAATCACCTTCTCATAATCTTCCAATGAAAGGTCCAATTTATCCTTTCCCATCTTTCTATAAGCTTGAGCTCTCTTTAGATAGGGTTTAATATACTTTTCATTAAGATTAATTGATGATGAACAATCAGCTACACATTTGTCCAGCCAACTTTCAGTCTTTTCCTTTGTCTCCAAATTGAAACGAAAAAAATTTTTAAATTTTCTCGAAAAAAGATCAACTTGATTAGTTGAATTTCTGTCCAAAAGATGGAGCCACAAACTAGAAAAGCGATAATGGTGACATCTATTGAGTTGAATTTTCTCCAATACTTTTAACCTTCATTGGGGTTGATTATTGTTGGATTATTGTTGTTGTGGTTTTTTTTTGATTTAATTAATTGATTACAATTAAAAAGATAATCATGTTAAATTTAGCATCTAGAATTTTAGTCTCTCCACTTCCTGTGGCCTCAGGAAGGTAAGTTTGATTGTTTTCTTTTCTATTCTCTTTATTGATTAACTTGTAATCTGATGATTTTTTTTTCTCATTTTCTCATCTTGATTTTCTCAATGTTAATAAATAGCCGAGTCAGAGGAATAGCAACTCTTAAAGACAGTAAGTTTTAGATTTTATTTCTCTACACCTTGAACAATTATTGATTCTAATTGATTTCTATTTCCATCCATTTCTAGTCCGTGTCCGATTGAAGTCTGTTAAAAACATTCAAAAAATTACATCAGTTCGCTCATTAAAGACTAGTAGTGATGGTAGCGGTGGTAAATCTTCGGGACATGAATTTGTTCCTCCTGCTGTACCTCATGGAGGTGACGGTGATATTTACTTGGCCCCTGGTTTAAAAAGAAGACCACCAGGAGCAAAGACTGTGGAAGAATTCATGAACCCTGAAGGAGCCGATAAAAATTGGCTCACATGGGGAGCAGATCCACTTGATAAGAAACGTGATCGTTATGAGGTTCATTATTATGTTGCCACTACAATTGTGGGTATTATCATTTGGGGTGGTTTAATTTTCCGTTATTATAGACCTGATTATGCTCCGCTTAACATTTACACTGGTTATAGTGCAGTTATTGGACGTGATCAATTTGATTATTGGGCAATGAGAGAAGCTTATCTAGAATTAGAGAGACGTGAAAAATTAGGTTTACCATTAATTGATCCAGATTATATTCCAAGGGAAAAAATGTTAACTCAATTACCATCCGAAGATGAACTTGAACTGTACGATTTCGATGTTTACGTATAAAAGATCAATAATTAATTTTGGATGGAAACAAATTAATCAACAACGCCAACAATTAAGAAGATTACCTGTACAAAAAAAAACAACAATTTTAACGATGTTAACGTGATGATTTAAAAGGAAACAAAAAGACAATAACAATTTACCAATGAAGAAAAGTTTGTCTGAAATTTTCATCATTTTACTTTAGCAGAGGAGAGAAAATCGAGGAAAAAATCAATTCAATCAATCCTTTAACTTGAGCAATCAGCAAATTAACTCATTAACTAATTGATGTAATATAAAAAAAACTACAATAATCCAAATATTAGTTGTATATTAAATGTTATGTACTTTTAAATCTCTTAATCCAATTGAGAATGAGATTTAAAGATTGACACTAAAATGAATGAGAAACATGAACGTAGATTTTGGTTTTAATTTAATAAACTAAAATTTATTTAAATTAAATAATTGTGAACAATTAAAACAAATGTAAACAAAAAGGTTGAAAATGAGAGTCACTTTGATGAAGATGCTTTTCCAATTAAAGCTTATGAAGGTGGAGTGGAAATTGGATGAAAACAAAGAGAGAGAGAAAGGCAAATGATGGAGGTGGTTTTTGTTTCGATTTTTGGAAATCGTCGATTTTTTTGTTCTTTTGGACATTTGTTTTGATTGGTTTTCGAGAGTTGACAAAAAAAGAGAAGAATAGATAATAATAATTAAGAATAATAATAAGATAATGTTGATGTGTTTTCTTTTGATTGTTTGTTGTTTCGTTTTATCTTCTTCGGCCGAAATGGTGGAAACCATGAGGTGGAGGTGGAGGTGGTGGTGGCGGTGGATGGTGTTTCTTTTGTTTACCGTAGCCGACACCCTTTTCTAGGACGACGCCGAAAACAACTTTACCATTTAAGTTGACTCGCGGTTTGGGTAATAAGGGAAGTAGGAGAGTTTTAAATATACCCAATGGACTGGTCATTACTTGACCACCGCCGCCCATTGGACCACCGCCAAAGTGGAAGGTTAATCCCTTTTGTGGTGTAGATTCTTGGTAACCCCCTGATTCTTCAGGAACTTGTGAGGCATGGAAATCAAGGAGCGGTGCACTTTCTTGGGCTACATATGAATCTCTGTTGTTGATGAATGAGGGACGAGGGAAACTTTCAGCGGCCATTTGGTAATCGCGTCCAACTTGTTGACCATTGGGTCCTTGTTGTTGCTGTTGTTGTCCAAGGTGATTCATTTGGTAACCCTGAGTACCAGGTTGTTGTTGTTGTTGTTGTGCTTGTTGCTGTTGAACTCCTTGAGGTACTTGAAGGTGACCATGGGGATGACCATGATGATGGAGGGACGATGCTTGTCCTTGGTGGTCACCCTGATAACCTTGATATTGTTGATGACCATATGAAGATACATAAGTTGGATTCTGTTGACTTGCCGCTGCCATCATTTGCTGATGATGTTGACCTTGTTGGTGTTGATGTGATGGACCTGATCTGTAATGACCTTGCATGGGTCCATGTCCCATACGATTTGAAACGACATAAACTGGAAGATGTTGAGTTGATGAGGCCATCATTCGTCCGCCATGATGAGCTTGACCATTTAATTGTCGCTCGTAAGATGCATGTTTATTAATCCCCGCACTGTTGTAATGATAATTGACACTTGGATTAACATTAGCACCAACATTTGTTGTACCACTTTGTCCAGTACCAGTTTCCTTGGCAGTACTATCGGCACTTTCTGCCGATTGACCAGCGGTAGAAGTGCTTGCGATTAAATTAGCCGATTCAAAGCCAGGCTTTTCGTCACTGGAACTTGTTTCGATTGAGAAAATTCCCTTCTCGTCATCTGATCTTTTCGATGCAGTCGAATGACGAGCTAAAAGATGAGCAGCGGCTAATAAGGTGTCAGCATCTCGAGAAAATGCTCCAGTCTCATCGTTGTAACGATTCCTTGGCGGTGGAGTGGTTGTGGTGGTCGTTGAAGTGGTTGGCTTAGAAGTCGTTGTTTGAGCAGAGCCTGAACCTTTTTTCGATTTATCGGACAAAGGTGCAACTACGACGATATGTGGAGATGACCCTTCGCTCTTCCTCTGCTGGACCAATCGATCGATCACTTCGGCAACTCGAGCCCCTGCGCTTTTCTTACTATTACCACTATTATTTGGTTCACCCGGTGAACGATAACCAGCGAAACTTGGCCTTGCTTCAGAGTTTAGTGATTCCAAACCTTTAGATATAATTAAAAATGAGAATAAAAAAATAACAATTAACCAAATTGTTCAAAATATCAACCATATCAACATTTCTACATTTTAATTGTCCAAACCAGAGTTGATTAAACTTTCAAAAATGAATCACAATTAGTAAGCAAACAAACTGAACCACAATTGATCAGCTCTTAAATCATCATTATTTTGCATTAATTGTCATCTAACGATAATCAAATCGCAACAATTAACATAAATGGTAAATCGATTACTAAACCAATTGAAAAAAAAGATCATTCAAGATTCTTGATCACCCAGTTAATTGTTATGATTAAGTTAACCACTAAGTTAATAAAAAGCTAATGAAAATATCGAAGCTCTTACTTTCTAACAACATGGCAAATTGTTAATTGTAAGCAAATGAAAATATTGAAATTAATTTTTTCTCAGCTCACTGATCATGCAAAACGAATTTATCTTCAATCAAAGATGATGATTATCATGATGATGATGACAAAGAAAAGGTAAAGAAAGAGATGATGATGATGATGATGATGAAAAAAATTCTGAAGAGTTGAAACGGAAAGAATGAGTTTGCACGAGCGATCGACTATTGAACCGTTCCAATGGATTAACGAGTAAATGATAATGATGATTAAAGATGAAGACTAATCTTATAAACAAGATAGAAATTAACAATTAAGGTGATGATGACAATGACACACCCTTTGGCCTCCTTATTGCTCCTTAATCATTTCAAACTTGAGTCTAACTGATTAATTTTCAGGTAAGTAAATTGTAATGAAAGATTTACCGTTATACCGTTAATTAGTTTCAATTAGTTGCAGCCAGTTAACAAATAGCTAAATTTGATTATCATTGACTAGTAAATATCTTAAATCAACTAATTAACTCTAATGTTAATCATTGTTAGTCTCAATTTGGATGTTCAATTGTAAAATCAACTGATTGTAATAATCTAATCAAACAATGGACACAAATACCTTGTCAAAGTCAATGAAAGTATCTTAATTGTGTAAGTCAATTGATTCACAATTGACTATTATTAACTGTCAAATGTCATCTGTTAACTTAATTGTGATTAACTTTGACTTTCTAACTTTCTAACAATATCTAAATCATATTGATTTTCCCGTTTACTTTTTTTTTCACCAATTGACTTTCAATTTGATTGCCATTTATATGGATAACATTATGTGTGAGAAAAAAAAAGTTAAATTGTTCAATTTGATGATAATAATGATTAACTGATTGCGAAAAGGAGAGAGAGAGAGAGAGTGAATCAGTTCAATTGTGAAGATATTTCAACAATGAGCAATTCATATTGATAGAGTGAGAGAAAAAAAAATTAAGCAGAGCGAAATAACAATCAAAATCGCTTTCACCTTTCCAACAATTAACTAATGATCCAATCAATAAGATGATGATGGTTATCATCGTCTCTTTGTAATTGTTGACTTAATTTAACTCTCTAATTGTAATTAACTTACCTGCAAGAAAGTAAACATTGGCATTGCGATTATCATCAACCTTTGATGATTTAAATTGACTTGATTGATTCAAATCGTCCAATTTTGATTCAGTAATTCTGGACTCTTTGCTCATCCCATTACGATGAGCTGTTGATGAGATTGATGAAGATGAGGGTGAAGATGAGGGTGATGAAGATGATGAGGATGCTGATGATGATGATGATATACGATTCTTAGCTTCACCTGGTTTAAGGTCCAATCGGTCAATAGCAAATTCATCATGATGACCATTCTGATGATGTGGAACAAGAAAAAAACAAAATGAAAATCTAAAAGTTAATCATGTTTGATTTCACTTTATTATTGATCAAGTTTCGATCAAATTGTCAATCAATTAATTTCTTCATCTTAATCGGATTGTTGATGATTAAATTAACTAATGTCAGCCCTTTACTGATGATTATTATCATGATTAAATCAAATCAAGGGTTCAATTGGGTTCAATTATTGAAGGTGAAAACAAGAGAGAGAAATGATTTTGGCCTAATTATTATATTAATCGTATAAATATAAACTTTACCTTATTATTGTGACCTGAATCTTGATTATTATCATTAACAATTACAGGTCTTGGTAATAATCAACATGATAATTAAATGATTGTGTATATAAATAATAATTAGATTGGTCAGTTTGATAAATCGCCATAAAAAAAAAGATTCAATTTGAGAGAAAATAAAAACTAATTGTGATTAGATAAATTGCTTTTGCATAATTATAATCATCTTATCATCATTATATTACAATAACACAATCATGATGATAATTTATATTTATTTGATTGTTAACAATTAAAGGTAATATTTAAAACTAATCAATATCAATCAACTGATTGTGATAGTCCTATTTTCAAGTGACCAAACAAAAAAGTTTTTCAATCAACAATTTAATCAGCAAAAATAATATATTGAAAAACGATCATTATTGTTAATCATAATCAATATTAACAATTTGTTAACTGTTGATTTGATATTTGATACCTTTGGGAAAGGGTCATTGATTAATCAAAGTTGTGGTCAGTATAGTTAAACATTTGCTATTCACTTATCATTAATATCTGAATGATTATTATATTAATAAACTTAATCTATCAATTGATTGTTAATTCATATTCTGAATTGACCTTAGCCTCCAGAATAATATTGAAAAAAAAAGTGAACGTTCATTGACCAAGAATAGCAAATTAACCGTTATCATGATGGTTACTCAGCGATTCTGGATTCAGGGGTTGAAATTCATGATATCATCATGAAAATGTATCTCAACTCATCCCTAACCCGATAAAATATTTAATCTTAAGGTTAATTGGGAACGGAATGAAAAAGTAAAGCTAAAAAAGGTGAAACCTTTAGGGTGACCACTAAAAACCAGTATCTTTATATTAATACTATTATTATTGTTGTTGTATTTTCATCATCATCATCATGATGATTAGTTGATTACAATTATATTTATATCGTTATTTATAATAATGATAAATAAATAGATAGCGACGGCTAAAGGTAAACGGCTAAACTTGACCTGGAAAAAAAAGTGAAAAAAAGTTTCTAAAAACAAACGATTTCTATTTCAAGTTCGAGTAGTTAATGTAAATCTTTTTGAGCTGGTCAATGGTTAGACTGACCATTACACTTTGCTTTTCTACTCCTTTATTAATCTTGGACAATTAACTCTTACTATCACACCTATTGGATTTCAATTGTTGTCACCAATTGAATATAAAATGATACACAAACAATTTAAGTGTTAAAAACTTAAACTTTGTTAACTAAAAGTGTTAATTGCTGGTCAATGGTCAGTAATTGTTTGGAAAATAACAACAACAGTTAAGATAATAAGATCTTGATTAGAATCATTTTTCTCATACAGTTTGTATTGCTAATTATGGCTTCAATTAGTTGATTGTAAACATTTAGCTCGGTGGATAAATATTCATATATCTTGGGAATCATCAACAATCCAAGTTAATTGTTATCGGAAAGTTATGTAACAATTTAGTTTGCGGGAAAGAAAATCATTTTAATCCAAATTTGATTAGTGAAAATTTGATTACTCGATTAGTTGATTACTTACTGAATGAAATCGTGATGGACCAGATAATTTAAATGCTGATTCCCTTCTTGCTCCCATAACAACCTCAGCACTTACAGCCCAAGCTACGACACCTAATTGTGATCAAAAGATTAATTAATTAGCCAGAAAACAAATGAAATGAAATCAATTTAAATTATTACCAAAAAATTTTAAACTTTTCTAATTGTTAATCTTTTATAATAATAATAATATTTTCATTATTAATCCACCAATCAACCTGATAATTGATTGTCAACAGTTAAGATTGTTTTTTTTCATCTTTTAGTCTTTATCTCTTAATCTGATTGATCAATTTTTGTAACAGTAATAATTTAATTTGATTGTTGATTTCCAATCATCAGTAATGTGAAAGTGTGTACAGTCTGTCAATTGTATTTTTAGTGGTGATTTTTTTGCTGCTTGATTAACACTCAATGGGATTAAAGAAACGTAATCAACAACAATCAACGGACAACAATAATGGTAGTGATAATAAAGAGTAAAAACAAAAATAAATTCACTTTAAATTGTTGTATGATTATGTTGATTTCTCCTCCTTCATCTTCATTTCTCTCTCTCTCTTTAAATAAATAAATCACAATCGATAGACAGGAAATTGGCAATTAAGGTCACAACCTTTTACCAACAATTGACCAACTGAATTTAATGTTAAATTGCGATTAAATTGCTGCTGATTAGCATGATAATTAGGCTTACCTATGATCGCTGCAAGTGCAGGTAAAAGTAGTCCCAATGAGAGTATCCATCTCATCCTTGTTTTGGCTTGTTCATTTGAAGATTCTGAGCCGGGTGTTGATCGTCCAGTCGCTGATGATGGTGACCGTCCACGGTGATGATGATGTCGAGGTTGATGATGATGACTTCTTATTTGTGAATGATGACCATGATGACCATGACTACGACCACAGCTTCCCTCTGTAAGTAGATTTGACGGTCGAGGCATTTTTTTTGATTATTTTGAGAAAAAAAATGTTCCAAGTGTAAATAATGATAAGAGCAGCAATTAGAAAAGTAATTAATCCTCTTTTGCTTTTAATCAATGATTAAGTGTATTTCTTGTGACAATTGATTAGCTTAACACTTATCCTAAGCCAATGGACAAACAATCAAAGGACTTTAATCCAATAACACTGGATCTAAACACAAAAATCAAAATGACTGGACACTCATTCCCTAACACTGACCAGATTGTTTAATATTGACGATACATTGATGATTAAGATGATGATGATAATGATGATGGAGAGTGATGGTTATACAAAATCACAAGTTAATCAAAGTTGATCAGGTTGATGGAAACAAAAGTTTCAAACTGAATCAAGAAAATTGATCATGAAAAAGTTTCATCTTAACTGAACGATGGATTAGTTCAAACTGAATGGACAAAAAGTGATATTAAATCTAGAAGGATGTTACCTTCGTATTGACTTTGGGTTAACTTAAAATAGAATCATCATCATTCAACTCTCTCTCCCTCATCATCATCATTTTCATCCTCATCTTCATCATCTTCCTTCATAAGTCCATTTAGTCCCTTCTCTCTCTCTCTCTCCTGCATCATCTTCGTGGACTCATCTTTTTGAAGACCTACTTTCAAACGTTAACCTCACTTTTGGCGATATTGTGTCACGGCATTAAAAAGATGATGATGATGAGAGAGAGAGAGAGAGATGCTTTTGCTGCTGTTTTCTGTTGTTGATCATCATCAACAATCAACGGGATCAACAGAATCAAGTTTAACTGGGTAAACAGTTATCTTTACCTTCACATGAGGCCGATTTTTACCTTTTTCTTGTTTCATTCTAATCATGATAATAATAATCTCCCTGATTAATTTACCTCAATTTCATCTGAATCATTTATTCATCATCTCTTTATCTTCATCTTCATCTCTCTTTTATCACTTTCCATTCAAAATTTTTAATCTATTCCCAAATTCAACTAACATTTAACTTTCTCATTTCTCATGATGAACTTTTTTTCCTTCATAAATTCAATGAATTTACTATGAAAATTTAATCAATAGTTTTCATTCATCAAATTTGTCCACTTGATTAACTAATTGTCCACCTTATTTACTATACACTTAGTTATCAACTTGATTCACTTTAATTTAATTGTTTAATTCAACTTGTTGCACGTGTTTTTTTTTTGCTAATTACTTGCTGGTTGGCACAGTTTTTAATTGTTCACATGCAAATTAGATTATTAATAAGAACCAATTAATCAATTAATCAATTGAATTGAAATTGAGGTCAATTGAATTGAGAGAGAGAGACTAAAATTTAATTTCACCTTTGAATCTTTTGTTCCAATTGATTAGGTAATCACAGGAATGATTAACTTAATTGATTTACATGACAATTAAAAGGGTTGGAGGAAACAAGGGACAACATCATTAAGATTGAATAATCAATTAACTGTTCCACTAATTAATTAAGTTGATTTAGTTAAATTGTAAAAATGGAAAGGCAAAAATTTCGAGGTTGATTGAGATTAGAACGAGAAGAAAAAAAAAGTTATCGAGGATTCGAGACAAGGTTCAAGAATTAGATTATTATTAAGATAATTGTGATATTATTTGATTACTTGTTAAATAATTATCGCTACTGAATTAACTGTGTCGATGAACTTTTCAGCTTTTATCCGACTGACCCTTTACTTGGAAAAGTGGCCTTAACCTTTAATACCGTTCGTTATTTTAAGAATCAACGAAAACGATTATAATCAAGCCTCCGGGTGTTTAATTTTCTTGATATACAATCAAATTGTTATCTAATGATGATGATGATTAACTTTTAAATTGTAAAATGTGAGAATTTGCTTGGCAATAATTAGTTAATTGCTTTGAAACAATCAACATGTTACTGTTTTCATCATCAACATGATGGCACTTTAGTTAGTTAACTTTTCATTTCAATCTTTCAATTCATTATAATAATTTAAATTGTTTGCACAATTTATGGCTAATCAAAGTTTCCAGGTAATTGTAATTATAACAATCGGGTAACAATTTAGCTTTTAATTTACTCTATGAGATTTATAAATGGAAAACAATAAAACACAATTAACTTTTTTTTCTGCTTCTTTATATAAAGAAAACATTAAACAATCAAATTGACCAGACACTTAATGATCAGTAATTAATGTTAATTGTTGGTTAGTTTGAGACAATCAAAACTTTATAAATATATATTCAGTCCATTGGTTAAACCGTAATCACTTTTGATTTACATTAAAGGACAATTTATAAATTGTCATGGTAAAATTAGCCTTTTAATTTAGTCTAATTATCTTGTTGTAATTGTCATCATAATTATCACAATTAAATTCACTTTCACCAGGTAAATTTAAAAACTTTAATCACCTGGAAAATTTAAATTTAAACTTTACTGATTACAGGAAAAACTTTGGTTTCATCAATTTGATTAGTTAATTGTTGATTATTTCAGATGAATCGTTGACACTGAATCAAAGTGTATAAATAAATTGCCTTGATTGTTGTTAATAATTGTAAAGTTAATCATAATTGACAGACTCTATTTGAATGGAAATACATTTTTCTTACTTAATTTCCAATTCTAATCATTGATTGTAAACAACTAATTGTAACAATTTACTCATTTTGTTAAATTGTGATTATAATCAACGTAATTTGATGAGGATGGAAACAAGATCATAAATTAGGCCAATTTCACTTGTACATGAGGATGAGGATGATGATGATGATCAAATTGTTGATTAGATTGATAATGAGAATGGTGAGATTATGATTAAACACCAACAATTTAAATTTAGATTGTCATTGTCACTTATTAATTGCTATTAATATATAAAAAAAACGGTGAAAAAATAAACTTTCAAACTTGGACTTGACTTTAATTTACTTTCCCAATTTAAATCTTAATCATAATCATAATTAACTATTCACCTTAACCAACAATTAAACTTTTCCATCCTTTTCTAATAATAATAATTGATGATTGTCACAATTAACATTTTGTTTCATCCTGACAATTATAATTAGCATTATTTTATGTATTGTAAGGGATGTACAGTCATTGACTGTTTTCGACCCCTCTCTTTATTTATCTCATTTAAAATTCATTGGTTAATCATTTTAAATTTCGCTCTCAACTGCCATTTTAGAATAGAATATAAACAAATTCTATTCTCTTAACACAAGTCAGTAGTTACTCACCCACAAGTCTTACTTGTCACTTGCCCTTTCTATTATATTTACTCATTTTCCTTACAATTATAATTACCTTTATTTTCCTTAATTACTGTTACAATTATCACCTTAATTCAGTCTCAATTCTGTTCTCATTTACCCTTTGTGTTATTAAATTTACATTTGAATTAATAAGTTTTACGTTCTGCCCTCCTTTGTATATGTGGTCAGTTAACCTTAAAAGTCTTTGACTTTATTCTGGTTTGAGATACTTGATCTATTAAAGATCTTGGTTTGAGTTAGCCTTGGCCCCGAAATTAACTCTGGGTATTCTTAACGAAACACCTAACAAATGGTGGAGATGCCGAGTATCTCATAAAAAACGTGAAAATTTTTTTTCTGTTCAAATTGTTCTCTGCAAAAAGCTAAATTTTCCTCTTCCTATAAAGTCCTTTGACTTTAAGTGCTGTGTCTTAAGTGTTACAAAAAAAAAAAAGCCAAATAAACTTAACCTAGTGAATCAAATCATCACATCATTCATAAAGGTCACCTTGAAAGTCCTTGACTTTACCATCATCTCTACGCTTCAAATAAACTATTAATTCATCAACCTCTTCATCATACTACTCTATCGAAGACGAAAACATGCCGATAGACCCAAGAAGACCAATAGAAATCACCATTGGTGAATTCACTAAAGAAGAAGAAAATAAAATTCGTTTCATCAAGGAAGTTGGAGTCATCAACATACCGAAAGACGCTTATTTAACCAGAAAATTTAACGAGGCGCTTCAAACAATGATGATGTTCTACGGGGATTCTGATGATCCAAGGAAAAATCCAACCAAATTATTCAACTTCGATTGGTTTAGTTGTCCTGACAAAATGAAAGCTCTTAGAGCAAATGGTATGACTGATACTAACATTAAGAAACTCATTGAGTTTGGGTATTTTGAAAGTGAAGATAAGTCACTGACTTATGAAGATCTTAAAGGTCAAATGACCGAACCCCAAATCAAAATTTTCTTTCAGTCATGTAATCAAGAATATAAGATTAACCCAGTTAAGTCAGCAAATGAACCCGAGACACTAATCGATACCAATGAAGATTTAATATCAGGCCCTACTCCAATTAACCACGACTATCCTCCGATGAATCAGTTCCATTTCCAATCTAGCTGGTTGAAAGTTTATAAGAAATACAAAGAGACTGAAAGTTTACATGAATGGTTAGAGGGTTTAGAATCAACATTAGAAATTCTCGAGTTCGGCGATTCAGTCGCGATGAGAATTTTGTGTTTGAATCTCCCTAAAAAGATGTACGATGAAGTCAAAAGACTTCAACTAGATGAACCCCATTTAAATTTCCGACAAGTTTGTGTAAGATTAAGAGAGAATCACATAGGTACCCATGAAATGATCTCAGCCCTTCACACCTTGTTCAACCTCAAATTTTATAAAGGAAACGATCCAGTTTCGCACGTAGAGAAGATCAAAAAAGCTGCAGAATTAAAAGTTCCTAATATTCCAGAAGAATGTATTGTTCATGCAATAATACATTCACTTCCTTTAGATCTGAAAACCAAACTCACCAGTAATCTCAATTACACAACAATAGATTCAGTACTTATAAAAATGAAATCGTATAACAATGGTCAGATCCTTTCCCTTAATAACCAGAGAAGTTATAACACAACCCAGAGACAAAACAAAAACAATCGAAGTACCGATTCAGAACAAA